CGCGGTTCAACTTCCATTTTTGGCGTTATTGCATTCATTCAACGGCAAATTCGATTGTTAATTACAAGAAGTACATTAGTCAAAGCAAACATGAGCAATAATATTTACAATTTAATACAAGTAAGTTTATCGAGTTTTTCCGATTGAGTTTTTTTAAGATAATTGGCCTGCAAGTGAAAGTCTTTGTTATTGAAAGTGAAACTGTATGTTAGTCCACACAAGTTCAATTTTGTGCGTATGAGAGCAACTTTGCTCTTCTTTTCACTAGAAAATCAATGGTGCATATTTTCAACTTGTTTTAGTAGTTGACATGACTATTTGAAATTCAATAAACCAATAGAAAACTCAATAAAACCTTATCTCATCGTGTGAATTATAGATGCTCTGCCTCTGAAGTGATAAAACATAAACAATCATCTATAAAACAATGCTTTATTACTCTTGGGAACAAACACCAACACACATGTCAACTTGCAATTCATAGATTTTATTTGCTACGTCTGTCAAACTTGGAAAATATTTACTCGTATAGATTAAAAAACTCTGTATCATGTACATTTCTATGAAATTATTAACAAAATAAGGCAAAAGTTGTAATAAGTAATGATAATATATACATTGTGTATACGTCTGTAGATGTTCATTCACTCTTGTATAAAATCAAAAGTGACTCTTTTATTTCACCATAACGTCTTCCATTACGTTCGAAAGATAATTGCTTAATGTAAACAAGTGTTTCTTTAAGTTTCAAAGCAGAAACGTTGCTACGATAATTCTCTGTATTCGTCAAAAAGTCTAGGAAAAGGTTACCTTCGACTGAATCCGCAAAGAATACATCAGTGACGTCAAGTTGCAGGGTTTTTGGGTGAATTTCATAATGCCAACCGTATTTTTTAGCAAGCTTTATTATTTCATCGGAAATTTCCAGTCCTTCGGAAGTCGCAAGATCATTATTGACCTTCGTCATCGTTTTATTTTTCGCTTGTTTAGTTAGAATCTTATTAGTAATGCTATCCTTGTCTCCTAGCAGACATACCAAATGTCCTTTCTTTTTCAGTTGTTTTACCATACAATACTAAATAGCACTCTTTAGATCAACATAGTATAAACTATGAATGAAGTGAATAAGATCAAACTTTACACTTTCATTCGACACGCTGTTACGATATTCACTGAACGTTTGAGGTATGATTTCATAGCTGGCAGGAGAGTTTTCGTTCATTGCAGAGACATTGGCTTCATATTCAGAACAAGAAAATTTATTTGGCTCAAGTGCACGGTTTAAAATTCTGATACTTTCCCAGTTACGATTGCTGAACAGTTTCTAGGCAACGATGTTTGCAATTTCGATATCAATTTCTCCTGTGCCACTACCAACACTAAGAATGTTGAAACTTGGGTGTTCTTTATCCTCATGTCGTGATGCCAGTGATTGTTGCACGTGTGAAGGTAGATGTTTCTTCAAGGTTGTAACATTTCTGGAGTGTTGCTGACATTTTTCTTTGAAGATTTCGAAGCTTTTCACAAATGCAAGCCCAACATATTGTCTTTAAAGTGATGATTAGATGAAGAAATATTTATTTCAATTCTCTTTTATCACCAACGAAGCAAAATGCGTTATGCGTTACCCACCACCTTTAAAGGTCCTTTTATATGTGTGCAAGGAATAATCATTTACATGGTGCTATTGTTATCACTTAGTTTCATGCACGCGAGAGATATATTCTATATAGGGTGACATAAATAAGTTATAATGCCAAGGGCAATCTTTTTATGGATGACTAAAAGCACACGACTCTGCACGTGCATCTGCAGGCGACTTGCTGTTATTGGCTGTAAAAAACGTCTTTATTTATTTGATTATAGCATTGTTTTTGTTTATTGAGATCTGCGAAAACAAATGTGCTGAGAAACTATACCAGACTACACTGTACTACGTCCCTATAAATAATAAAAAAATATGATGGAGTTGTTTAACAATAAATATACTCTCAATCACGCGATATCTCTGTCTCTGTATAAAAATGCTCTAAAAATAGCTATTTCATCCCCTTGTCAAAATTTACTGTTTATAATAGAGAGTGCGTCAGTGCATGGTGATTTTTCATTTGAACGTCCACTGGAGATCTATCTTATATACACTTCACATCAGTTACTCTCCGTTAAATGTTAAACGTTAAAACAATATTATTAAGAAAATTATAACTAGCTATAGGATGAAAATAATTTCTTTTGAATATTGTAACGCTCAGAAACTTCATTTGTGGGAAGTTTGGGTTAAATTTGATTGCAAACAACTTGTACGTTAATTTTTTTTATCTTTACTTCCGTCTTTGTGAACGAGGAGATTATCTTGCATTGAATTCAGTGCCAATGAAGATAAAATCTGCCGGAGGCATTTACACGGCGTTGTTTATCATGTTTTGTGATGAAACATATTTAAACTCACGCCTTTGGTGTCGCAGATAATATTTTATTGTAACAAACGTTGAACATCACTGCCCTTGAATGATTGAATCTTTAACTTTCACTCAAAGTATCCTTAACAGAAAAGAATATCATGTAATTATTGGAATATATTTCAGATGCAATTAATTGCTGATGAAAAAGTATATTTTCGTTGATATTTTGAGGTCTAAAACAAAATCCATCAATATGACCAAAATAAGATGAAATTAAGACTTTCATTACACTCAACTATCTCTCGTGATTGCTCACGTGCATGAATCTACTTAATGACAACAGCAAAGTGTGAACATTTAATTCAAACATGCAAATAAAAAACTGTCTTCGAAGCGAAAAGATTATTACACATTATTGATATACAACCATTCAAAAAGTATAATTTTTTGTTTGACAAACTTCGTTTGCAATTTCATGAACAACACATCGATGATTAAAGTAAATGGTTTGAACCCGGGAGTATCGTTATATGTTTGTAAATGTAGATCGTCCAGGTTGGTATAGTCCTGAGAAGGACTATTTTTGTTGTTGTTGAATGGATAACCAGATAACAAATACGGCTAACCTGACGTTTACTCTACATTTGACTCTGAAGATGACTACCGCTAAGGTTGTCGAAACGTCAGTCAACAACAACAAAAGCAGTCCTTCTCAGGACTATAACAACCTGGACGATCTACATTTACAAACATGTAACATCTATGATTAGCAACGTATGACGTCAAAGAAATCAAAGCCGTTCTCCACAAGACCAATTTATATTTATAGATCGTACCCGGATCACTTTTCATGTACAGCAGTGTTTACCATTGGATCCTGCAAACATGTTTATGCACACGTTAAAGAAATCCCTGACGATTTATACATTAACTATCACTTAAACCGATTCTTATAACTCAACATTGGATCTTCACAATGCGAATATTACGACATTCTTCTAACGCGAGTGCAATACGAATTGAAATTCTTTAATAAAAATCGTAAAATCACACGTTAATTATAGGTCATAAACTGTATTTTAAATTGTTTTCTATAAGTGTTGCTCATGTTGCTCTTCATGCATAATACAATGTTGCTTCGAGTCTTTTTCAAGAAATAAAAGATGTTTACTGTGTTTGCACAGGCTTATGCAAACCGAGGAGACCTTTGGGAGAACTCGAGAGCAGATCAGTGCACATGCTCGAGAGTTCTCACAAACGTCTCTGAGGTTTGCATAAGCCAGTGCAAACACGACAAACATCTTTTATTTCTTTTATAAAATAAAAATAATGCGAAACGACAAACATTTTAATTTTTCCACTAAAATGAATTCATGATCGATATGCAATTTTCTTTGACTGATTGATTGAATTATTAAAATATTAAAACTCCTATATATTAAGGGCCTGTTTATATGGAGCCGAGTTACCCGGCTGAGCGAGTTACTCGCCAAGCCGGGTAACTCGGCCCTTTATATAAAATGAATGCATTTCCCGGTGAATCGTTTATATGACACATCCGAGTAACTCGCCTTGCCGGGAACTCGGTTTGTGTCAGCGAGTTACCCGGCTAGGCGGAATGAATTTTTCCATATAAACGCATTAGCCGGGTAACTCGGCGAGGCGAGAAAATTGGCTCTGTTGGTACGCATGTGTACTAAGCCTTGTACTTGCAGCATTATTATACAAAAACATACACATATCATAATTTTCAATTTTATATTCACCCATTCCATTTTTGCTGCAAAACTGTGAGGCTTTTTAAAATCTCGCGCCTTTACTCGAAGTTAGCATAGCCAAACTTTATTTAAGACAAATGAACGGAAGTACTAGCCGAGTTACCCGGTGCCATATACACAGATCACTTTGTCAAACCCGGTTGAGCGAGTAACTCGCTAATGAATGCAAGAAAAAATTAAAAGTCAATGTTGTTATTGGTCATTAAATACATCTTAGCCTTATTAGAACAGATCTCCACCGGATTTTTGTGTTAAAATCATTTGCAGTTATGAGTGACAAGCTCTCCTATATTATACGTTCCTGCCAAATGTAAAGTGCCGATGTACATTATACAGAATGTATTATACCCTCATACATATATCCGTTTACAGAAGAAACGCATTGCAATTACTGTACATTGATATTCCCTAAAATGAATTTCTTTCAATCATGAAAACGTTGGACGATTTCAAAGATGAAGAGTTTTTGGATAAACATTTTATACCCCTTTATATGGAAAAGCCATCTGCACGTGTTAAGTCATGTGTTCGAATATTGGTCTGTTAGAATATTGCCTTAGGTACGAAAATTTGCTCCAATTCCCTTCAATTTTTAAATGTTTAAGTGACCTACTGACGTTTACAGCAAAATATTTGGAAGTTTAACATTCTCCAGCATTATACAAATGCAAAATTAGCGCTAGGTTCTTGCTCACTAGTAGAATATGTTCATAAACTTTTCATGTGTTTGCCACGTGCTTGAGATTACAACAATATCAGAATGTAAATAAGTTAAGCCATTTACATTTAAAAAATTTATTTAAAAGGCGATAGCCTAACAGATAAAGTATAACGCTTCTGGCTTCGCTGGTGATAAAACAGATTGGAGTAATCTCATCTTTCTAATCAACATTTTAGACAAAATGTTAAGCTTACATTTTGTGAAAAGTTACGAAATATTTAAAGAAAAATGTCAGCTACACTCCAAAAATGTTACAGCGTTGAAGAAACATCTACCTTCACACGTGAAACAATCACTGGCATCACGACATGAGGATAAAGAACACTCAAGTTTCAATATTCTTAGTGTTGGTAGTGGCACAGGAGAAATTGATATCGAAATTGCAAACATCGTTGCTAAAGAACTATGCAGTAATTGTAACTGGGAAAATATCAGAATTTTAAACCGTGCACTTGAACCAAACAAGTTTTCTTGTGCTGAATATGAAGCTAATGTCTCCGCAATGAACGAAAACTCTCCTGCCAGCTATGAAATCATACCTCAAACGTTCAGTGAATATCGTAAGAGCGTGTCGAATGAAAGTGTAAAGTTTGATCTTATTCACTTCATTCATAGTTTATACCATGTTGATCTAGAGAGTGCTATTTTGTATTGTATGGTAGAAAAACTGAAAGAGTATGGACGTTTGGTATGTCTGGTAGGCGACAAGGATAATATTACTAATAAGATAACTAAACAAGCGAAAAATAAAACGATGATGAAGGTCAATGATGATCTTCTGACGTCCGAAGGATTGGAAATTTCCAATGAAATTGTAAAGTTTGCTAAGAAATACGGTTGGCATTATGTAATTTACTCAGTAAACTTGCAACTTGATGTCACAGACGTTTTCTTTCCAGATTCAGTGGAAGGTAACCTTTTATTGGACTTTCTAACGAATACAGAGAACTATCGTTGCAATGTTTCAGCTTTGGAACTCAATGAAACACTCGACTACATTAAACAGTTGTCTGTTGAACGTAATGGTAGACGTTATGGTGAAAAAAAGATTCACTTTTGATTTTATACAAGGACGAATGAATATTTGCGATGAACTTTCTTTATCTTTTGCACACATTATCTTATTGCAACCTTTGCATTACTTTAAGACAATTTTGTTGAAATGTACATGATGAAGTAAGAATTAGTGAAATAAACTGAGTAAAGAAACTACTTAGAATTGGTAAAAAAACTGACGAAAGCAAACTAGAAATTTTGGCGGATGTTTTTAGGTTATAAATTCATTGTTTATATGAATGAATTGAAGGAGTTAGTATAGGTGCAAGGTCATAATGACACAAAGAAAATTTCCATAGCAAGTACATAATTATGTACAGACAGTATCTTGGAAACGAGTTATGAACAGAAATAATCTACTCTTCTTGTGTTAATCTTAAAGCTTTACATACGACAATTTTTTTGAATACAATATTTTCTTCTAAAATGTTGAACTTTTGACATTGGTCGCTGTTTCCTTGAGTCTTAAGTTCGTTTGTTTGCAATTATACCCCATAAGCCCTCAGCTCACCAAAACTGACTGATAGTGGACTAGACAATTATCACTGATTTTGAAGTGCTTATAAGCGCATTTTGGATTTTTATTAATTCCGTCACATCTCAAAAAGTTATTTAACACTTTTCTAAATTAGTTCTTGTAGCCATCAACTTTCCATAGTATAATTTGACTTAAACCTACAATTAGAGATATAACATATATCAATACGATCACATTTTAATGTTGAACGTCAATGTCAACGGTCTACGGTGTATCTTATACAAGGTTTCTTAGGTAGGGATATTTCCATATCTTTATTAAATATGGTTTCTTTAAAATAACGGAAAACTACCTAAGTATCACATGAAAATCGTCAGTGATTTTATACAAGAGCGAATGCACATCTACAGACATTTGTACAACAAAACGTTTTTCATTTTGTACACTTTATCATCACTTATTACATTCTTTGCATTACTAAAATCTGCATGAGATTTGTATGATAAGCCTGACTATACTAGCCTAGAAATTTTAACACATATTTGAAGGTAATTAAATTAGTGTTTATATTGAAGGTGTGTTTAGGTGCGAACAAAGTAATATTAATACAAATTAATTTCCATAGCAACCATGTAACTATGTACATGCAGAAAAAAATTTAGAAAATTTTCAGAGATAGCAAATGTTGCCATTCTCAATTATGACAGAACCCCTTATCGAATTTACCCATTACAAGCTAATCCCACATAAATGAGCCAGTGGCAAGAGACGACTCAAATCTTAAAGTATATTGCATGTTACTTTGTTACGTAGGGCAGTGCTAAAGAAAGGAGTAAAGCAAGTATGAAAACGTTTCACATTTTAACACTGCTATATTGGTCATTTTTAGAATAAATGTGTCAGAATAACCAGAGTTAGAAGCTACAAATTCCTGTTCAGCTTTGCAGAACTCATAAATTAAGAATCTTGCTATACAAATGTTATAATGATTTTATGTTGTGACATTGTTACAGCCTCGATTAAATATTTTACACTGACTGAATTTAATTGAAATTGAATTTTAATCTTTTTTATGCTTACAGTATTCCTTTATAAAGCTATTAAATGTGTTATATAGAAATTTTTTGGCTGGAGACCAAATGTAAACCTTAATCGGCTTTTAAATGTAGACCACTGGCTTGGTAATTTGTAAAAATAGTTGCCTACATATTTGATGTGAAGCATATAAATGATTTAAGTGATAAAAAATATAACACATTCACAAAAGAGGAGTATTTCTTTTTAGGTACAAATAGAAGACTTTAGATTTTAATTTTAGAATTAAATGGTATTTTACATTTGATAGCTATAAAGATAGTTGGGTTGCTTTGTAATGAAGTGTTGCTAAAGATTATCACTCAGCTTTACAAGCAGCATTCAATGGAGTATAAACTCCTAGGCAATATTGAGTACTGACAAGCATGGAGCTTCAATTTAGCAGCACAACATTTAATCCCTCGGCATTCACATCTCATAAACCAAATACATGAAAATTTTAACAATGGATTTGATTTGACGTTAAATTTTGCACTAAGATCTATGACAAATATTAACGGAAAACTTACTTGTTCACTTGAGCGTGAAAAGATGGTGGTTCTGAATTGAAACTCCCAGAATAATATTCTATCATTCGCCGACAGATGTATAGAAAAAAAAGCCATAGATGAATGCCCCCATATTGTACATAGTCCGTTTGGCTGTTACCAGTTATCGCGCTCTTCTTGAATGTTAATTTCATTTGGTCAATTATTTACCATAAGATTTTTCCCTCCAAAATTTAAAAATTTGGCTCCTAATTGTTCCTTTGGACCCAGTCTACTTCAATCGCTTAATAAAAGTCAATACGACGATCGCTTAATAAAAGTCAATTCACAGTAAGTACGAGCATTGGCGGCCCAGTAATCTGTTTAGGTTTTTTATGCCATCGATTTAGGTAGTAAATATATTTCTTGATTTATATGCAATGTTTGTCACGCGCGCTATCTCGCGTGAGTTACACGTATGTATGGCTTATGGGTCTTATATAAGAGTTGATGATCCAGGACTATATTTTTATATGACGTAAGAACCAGATAACAAATACGGCTAACCTGACGTTTACTCCTCATTTGACTCTGAAGATGATTACCGCTAAGGTTGTCGAAACGTCAGTCAACAACAACAAAAACAGTTCTTCTCAGGACTATACCAACCTGGACGATCTACATTTACAAACATGTAACGAAACTCCTGGGTTCAAACCATTTACTTTACTATATTTTTCATTTACAAAACCAAAGCTAAGACACTTGGTAACTGAAAATTTGCGCACACAGCTTAATCAACTGAGAATATTGTGGGGCAGATCCAGAATTTTATCCGACAGCATTCTCGCCAAATATCATTACATTCATGAATTATTAAAAAATATCGTTTATTTATTTGTTACACATGAACCTTTAAGGAATTTAAAAGAACTCCTTTCATGAATTTTAAGAAATTTCAACGTACAATATAATTCAATCAACTTACACATTCCATTGCAAAAATTCATTCGACGCTGTCTTGTGCGGGCAGCAAAGTAGTATAATTGGGTAAAATAATGTAGACAAAACTATTGAATTTATAAAGAATCGTTCCACAACACGACTTCAGTCTTTAAGTCCAAAAAATTGATCAAAGTGTGGCTCATGAGGTAAGGCTTGTCGTCGTGGATAAAATGTGATATCATTGGGATAATTGAGGAGGTTTGAGATGCACGAGGAGTATATATCAGCAAAACGAACAAGACGACGCGTAAAATAGGAAGGGTTATGATACGTACGAAACACACTTCCAAACTGTGGATTAAACATGATTTTGAGCTGTTCTCTGAAAAATAAGTATTTCTAACATAAACCCAGAAATCAATAAACTTTGGTTATGTTTTTTTATGTTGGTAACATGACAATGTTGTAATGATCAATTTGTCTTTCCTTCATCAGGTTTTGTCGCACGTGATTTTACAAAATGCATGTATATTGCTACAGTACATTATAAAAAAGATGAATTTAGTAAGAGGAAAAGTTTAGTTTAGAAAAGAAAATTATAAAAAAATTCGTTGAATATTGAAAAAAACGTTCTTAAAATGTTATTGGAAAGTGTAGAAAAAAATGAACAAAAAGATCATTCATTTTATGATGTTTTTAATTTACAGAACGTCCATTGTATCATACGTTTTTCCTTTGAAACACAGAGGCCGATAATCGAGGGGGGGGGGTTTATGTACTTGTATGTTTTAATTTTGTTAATCCATAACCACTAAGGTAGAACATGCATATATGAATATTTCCCCTAATTATCGAGCTTGCGCGGCCTCTTAAATAAGAAACTTCTTTCAGATGCCTCTTTTTAGATAATTTTTACCTCAACATGTAGCGTTCTCTTTTCCATTCTCGCAGAAGTTCATAGGCTTCATCAGAACTATCAGTCTGTAAAGTCAAAAAAAAACGTACACATTTATTTAAAAAATAAAAAAAACAAAGAAAGAGACACATAGAACTCGAACCAGATTAGAAGCGAAGATGAAAATTTTCAAAAGGAATCACACATAGTCTATTGTTGTTCAGAAAATAAGGTCCAGTATTTTACTGTATTTTACCTGAAGTGCTTCGATTAATTCCTGTAGAGACAGTAGCCAAGTCACCGATTTTTGAAATTCTTTCATATTTGATATTTTGATTTCTTTCTGAATGATATGGAAACAATTTAATATTCAATTACTCAATCTATAGATTCAATATTTTTAGACAATGAACACAAAATTTCTGTTTCAGCTCGAACATTTTATATTCGTATACATGTCATATCAAAATTAGTGCCTGACGAATGTTTTTGAAATGTCCTACCTCAAGATCATGAACAACCGCTCCAGCGCGCCATCCATGTTTAAGAGTTGGTCCCTTAGTATAAAATTACAAATTTGAAGGCATTATCACAGAAAAAGAATATACAGAAGAGTCACTCGTGTCGGAACCATTGATGGTTTTGTCCTCGCGCATGTCGTGCCGCGCATGGTGGCCGCCATTATTCCAGCCAGATGATTAGGGTTTTTGACTTTTTCCAAACCTTTAAAATGATCCGAAGTCATTTCTTGAGTCAAAATATACTTGAATTCATTATTAACTATTGACGTCATTTATTTTAATGGTTGGAAACAAGTGAGAAATCCTAATCATCTGCCTGGAATAATGGCCGACATGAGGACACATTGTACACCAGAGTGACCCTTCTGTATAATCTTTATTTTGTGATATTATACTCTTTTACACAGCAAGACAGAACGTGATGTAATAAAATATGCAAACGTGTCATAATCAAATATTTAAACGGATCAAAATCAATCAACAGATATTTTACTTTTACAAGATTCAGTTAAAAGGAAGAAAACTGATTAAAAATAACAATATCTAGCAGTTTCATCGCTAATTTATATAATATTATATAATAACCAAAAGAACTTGAGAATTTTATTGGTCGAGAGCTATGATCAAAAAGAACTGACGTCACAGAAATTTCTTGTAAAAACTCACACTTAAAAAAGTTAGTGTCTAGATACACAGACACCCAGGAACCCGGACACCCATGGCTTCCCAAGCCCTTAGCTTATAATTTCAAGATTTTACAACAACACCAAGCTCTAGTTTGAGCTATAGATCATACTGCCACACAATATTGTCAATAATTACAAGCGTTGTACAATCCCTTGTTAATCAATAACCACAATTGATTTCTATAAAAACTACTACAGTAGAACGTGCATATGTGAATATTATCCCCCCCCCCTCCCCCCAATTATCGATGCTTCCCGGCCCTGAAATGGAAGTATTGTCATTTTGATATTTACCATCAGATCACTGAACACGTGATCACCAAAATAGAGAACTTTAGGTCCGTACCAACCAGTAAACTTCATAAATTGTTCGACATTTCCCTTAATTTTTTAAAAGTTTATTCAACAAGTTTTTGTTATCAGGAGACAATTTTGCAAAGTATACAACACATGTACAGTTATCACAATAATTCACACAGAAACGTCTTTTACTTTGAAAAACAACATTAATAAAAAAAATAAAATATTCTATCCTATTGGTCTCAATCGAAACAAAATTTATTGAACTGAGCTACACTTTATATGATTAAAACAATAAGTTAAAATACCTCTGCATACAGTTCTCCGCTATGAAAATGGCTGACTCTTTCCCATGTCTTCACTCCCCGACTGTCGAGACGTCTGAAAGGTCTTTTTAACATAAAAGAACCAAAAAGATATGTATTTTTTATTGGTTCCATGTAAATATTCAATTAAAAAAGTTCGAGTCATTCTATTAACTCAACAAATAGGAGATTTACATAATTGCATCAACACGCTAGAATGTTATTACAATCGCTTTAATCCCCACAGTTTACCCTGCTGAAAAGCTCAATCCTGTTCCATCAAAAGGAGTTCATCTAAAGTGTCCTTTATTCTTGATTTGGAATTTTAGTATGATATTATGATGCTGATATTGCTTTAAATGATGGTGGATGGCTGATACGCGTTTCTTGCATCAAATATCACATGCATCAACTATTTGATAAAAATGTCAAGATCGTCTGACATTAGATAATCTGTCTGTTATATTGGAAAATGTAGATTCTTTAATAGCTGAGAATAGATTATTGCATTATATTCAATATATTGCTTTCCTGACTTTCCAGAGCAGTTATAAATACAGGCCACAGCAGGAGGCCTTTTAAATAAGTACGTGAAAGATGAATTTGATACAAAACATGAAATTTCTCACCTTCAGGTATTTACCTTCATCCGATGGAAGCCAAATCTTTAACTTACTTATTTACCCTCACCTGTCAGTGCGTTGATAAAACGCTGGCTTTCGAGCACTTGTTATAATAACATCAAACAACTCCATCCATTGTTTGTCAAGCATATGTTCCATGCCTTTGTTCCTGCAAAAGAACCATGACTTTACAGGAACCGCAGAGGATCTTCTTATTGGGACGAGGGAGGGGAGGCTTCTCAACAAAATATCTGTCATCATGGGAAAACAACTGCAGAGGATTTTTTATTGGGATGAGAGAGGGGAGGCTTCTCGACAAAAAAACGGTCGTCATGGGGAAACAAGATTCAAAATTTCAAAATTGCAGGAAAATTATTGGGAGGACATAATCATTGGGTGGAGATGAACCTGCAATCCCTGCTTAAACATAAATTAATGATTTTTTTAAAATATATACTATCATAAAATTTAAGAGCAAATAGGTCTTTTCCATTGATTGCCTTAAAAACAATGTACGTAAAGTAAAAGGAAACAGTTGATTAATTTTGGATGATTTTTAAAAACAATGTGAAGCCACTATGTGAAGAGTGAATCTGTACAAATTCTTTAAATTCTTCTCAATCCAAGTATATAATTTCTTTTGCACAAAGTATAGCAAGTTTTCATATGCTGCAACTGTAAAGACCATACTGTGCGGTTAGTTTAAAATATTGTCAAAACATATTTACTTATCTCAAGGTAAACTTACACAAAACTTATATCACTGTTCGTGATTAAGAAGATATGTTTCCCACACGCAATTATACTCTCCAGGAAGTCTTTTAAATGTGGATTTGGATGTAGATATCGACCTAGAAACAATAAAATATTAAATGCTATGAAAGGTTCTAGATTTTCTATCAAAGTGCAGCAAATTTTTTGATGGGAGTGATTTTTAGTAATTGATATGAAAGTCATTTTACAACCTTTTATGTAATACCGTATACTTCGGTTTGTTTTCAATATTTTATAACTGATTATATATACATATAGTAGCTATTGATTATTAGTTCTATGTCTTCAGTTTCACTGCTTACGCTAAAAATACAAAAACCTTACATTTAATGGAAACTTGTAGATTTACACCTCACGTTTTAGACTTTACGTGTTAAACCTTACATTTTACACCTTGCATTTCACACCTTACGTTTTACACCTTATGTTTTGCACCTTACGTTTCACACCTTACGTTTTACACCTTACGTTTTTTACGTTTCACACCTTACGTTTTGCACCTTACGTTTTACACTTTATGTTTCACACCTTATTACACCCCATGTTTTACACCTTACGTTTTGCACCTTATGTTTCACACCTTACGTTTTACACCTTACGTTTTGCACCTTACGTTTTACACCTTACGTTTCACACCTTACGTTTTACACCTTACATTTTGCACCTCACGTTTCACACCTTACGTTTCTCCCTTACGTTTTACACCTTACGTTTTGCACCTTGTTTCACACTTTACGTTTTACACCTTACGTTTCACACCTACGTTTCACACCTTGCACACTCCATTTGCCTGTTTCACACCTTTACACCTTACGTTTTGCACTTTACGTTTTACACCTTACGTTTCACACCTTACGTTTTACACCTTACATGCATACGTTTACACCTACGTTTCTCCCCACGTTTTACACCTTACGTTTTGCACCTTACGTTTCACACCTTACGTTTTACATTGAATTTTTTTTAACTACCAAATTTAACATACGTTACTGTTATAAGCATTTCGACATTTTGTCAACTAATTACGCACGAATTTTACATTTCAAACTGTTGTAAAACAGCGAAAGCTTAGTGAGACAAAGATTGAAAGAGATTACCAACGTCTTTCTCTACAGCAGCTGCGATTTTCCCAGATCTATGAACATCTCGCACAGATTTCTAGTTGAAAAACACAAACTTGTTTTGAATTGTTTAGTGAACATGACCTACAAAACATGGACTCTTGACATTTTGAGTTACTAGAAAAAAATTTTCAAAAGTAGTTAACGAACCAACCTGGCAATCTTGGAAAACGTACGAAGGATCGTAACCAATGTTGTTTTGAGAAAAATACTGGGAAAAAGAACGATTTTTTATAAGTAAAAGAACAATGACTGGAAAATTTTTTTAATTAATTATTTATTGAAAACTGCAATCTACAGTTGTCAAATAACAAAATTTTACCACTATAGAAGGACATACAGAATGTTTTAGTACGGCCTAACATTTTTTAACAAAATCAGTTTATCAGCACTTCTGATATGATAACAATTCATTTATGAACAACGAGAGGATTTGTCCATTAATATTATATTTAAGAATAAGTTTATGCTATATTAAAATAACGTTAAATATAGCTCTCAATTTATAAATGCTCAATTCCTGATAGGTTTGCGCTGCTCGTTTCAGAGCATGTTGTGACAAATTTGGCTATGTGTTGCAAAATGTGTTGAACAGACATCAGGGAAAAGTAGCATTTATGAAACTGGGATATATAAGGCAGACTTTGAAGTAAAATCCCTGAAATATACTTGCTCAGCATAAATTGTCGAAACTGCCGAATGAATTGGATGAAAGAAAGCTGTTTGATTTATATGATAATGTATTGCTGTACCACGCATGTTGAATAAAGGTAGTCTGGCCCGGATACGAGTTCATAAGTTTTTCCAAGACTTTAGAAGAAAGTTGAAAAAATGCTTCGTTCGTCATCATTTTGAATAAAACTATGCAGTAAATGCAGTTCATGTAAAATCTGAACACATACTGTCATAAGAGAGAGAAAATGAACGATAACTGTTATTATTATATGGCAAGCGTCACGTCCGACAAAATGGCACGATTGATTGGCTCAGAAACATTTTTGCCTATCCATTATTTTCCCGTAATCGACTACGGTCCATAACGCATAATTTTACTGCCAAATGTAAAAAAACTTCGTAATGGAAACCGCAAAACGCAAAATAAACGAAACAATAAACCATTTACGAAGGTGATTCGAAGGAAAAACTCTTGGAAAACAGTTTAACTATCCGGACGATACAATTTAAAACGATTTATTTTTTATGGACAAAAACTAGAAAAGTGAAAACCAACCCGTAAAAACAACATGGAGGATAAAAAAACAAAGCTTCGTTTCATGTCAAATAATGCCATATAATAATCCTTTTAATAACCTCGTTTTCTCAGCCTTTACTGAGAAATATCAGACTTCTGTCTTTTTGTACAAACCTCGCCCGACGGGCTCGGTCTGTACAAAAACACCTCGGTCCGTTATTTCTCCGCAAAGACCTCTAGCTAGGTTATTAAGGGCTTATTAAGTCATCCACAATATTTAGTCAATATATTTTTCAAGGTCTTTTCCAGAAATGGAAATTCCAATCGTACAAGTTTTTATAAATGCTCCGTGGAGTGCAACATAAACTACGCAAATATTCAATCAGTTCATTATGTAGAGTATGCGTTGCCATAAACTACGCAAATAGCCAATCAATTAAATGTGTAGAGTATGCGTTGCCATAAAACTACGCAAATAGCCAATCAGCTCATTATGTAGAGTATGCGTTATACGCAAAAGCCAATCATTATGTAGAGTGCGTTGCCATAAACTACGCAAATAGCCAATCAATTAAATGTGTAGAGTATGCGTTGCCATAAACTACGCAAATAGCCAATCAGCTCATTATGTAGAGTATGCGTTGCCATAAACTACGCAAATACCCAATCAATTAAATGTAGAGTATGCGTGCCATAAACTACGCAAAAAGCCAATCAGCTCATTATGTAGAGTATGCGTTGCCATAAACGCAATAGCCAATCAATTAAATGTAGAGTATGCGTTGCCATAAAACTACGCGAAAAGCCAATCAGCTCATTATGTAGAGTATGCGCCATAAACTACGCAAATACCCAATCAATTAAATGTGTAGAGTATGCGTTGCCAAAACTACGCAAACAGCCAATCAGCTCATTATGTAGAGTATGCGTTGCCATAAAACTACGCAAACAGCCAATCAGCTCATTATGTAGAGTATGCGTTGCCATAAACTACGCAAATACCCAATCAATTAAATGTGTAGAGTATGCGTTGCCATAAAACTACGCAAAAAGCCAATCAGCTCATTATGTAGAGTATGCGTTGCCTATCATAAATATTTTTATAACAAATTTGCACTTCTATTATCACTGTCGATAATTTTAATGTGACAACACCATGTCTTGCGATATAAGATTTACAGCAATTTCCAAAAACGTTTTCTTCACTACTTGCAGTGGCCATTTTGCAAAATTACAATATAACGTGTGTTGCATTTTATGGGCCAACAAAGTCAAATTCTTGACTTGCGCACGACAAAACCTGAACTCTCCTGAAGTTTCCTGAGAGCGAGTAAGAAGTCGTCGAAGTTGCTTGTTATCAATGTCTGCGGAGTCGATCACTTCCGCTGAAAGCTGTGATTGAGCGGTATCATTCATTTACTTAATAATTGCTAATGGTGCATAAATTAATTACTCATTACAAATATTTTATTAGCTAAGTGCCCCATTCCTTGTCAGCTTGGGCATATTTTACACAGTCGATATCACTATTATTTCTTTCATTTGTGATAACACCATGTCTTTAAGTCTACAGTTAGAAGATTTACAAGAATTCGTGAAGATCTACGCTTCAGAATACAACAAGCCAGAATTTCATGATCGCATTCTTGTGTTTGATGTCGTGGCAGACGGTTTGGAAAATAAAACATTGCTTGCAAAGAATTCAATCGATGAAGAGAAAACAGGAGAAAATTCATTGAATGCCAAGAATCCAGATGATCAAGAAAATATTATCGAAGATGATGTAAAACCTAAAGACGACAATATTGAAAGTGAAACAGGAAATACTTCCGCGCAAAGTGAAAGCACTTTGACAGATAACAAGGAAACGCAATTTGGCATTGGAGATTTACAGTCTAACTCAAACGATGAAATAAATGATTCAATTAACATTCGAGAACACAAGATTTTTGTGCACAGCTCGTGGCTAGCTGTACAAAGCAACTATTTCCGCTCACTTTTCCTGTCAGGTAGTTGTTACTTACGTGTCATGTCATGTCTACAATTAGATGCAAATATTGTGTTAACAGTGGATACTACATTCGGCAAATTTCCGCTCACTTTTCCTGTCAGGTAGTTGTTACTTACGTGTCATGTCATGTGTACAATTAGATGCAAATATTGTGTTAACAGTGGATACTACATTCGGCAAATTTCCGCTCACTTTTCCTGTCAGGTAGTTGTTACTTACGTACCATGTCATGTGTACAATTAGATGCAAATATTGTGTTAACAGTGGATACTACATTCGGCAAATTTCCGCTCACTTTTCCTGTCAGGTAGTTGTTACTTACGTACATGTCATGTGTACAATTAGAAGCAAATATTGTGTTAATAGTGGATACTACATTAGGCAAATTTCCGCTCACATTTCCTGTCAGATAGTTGTTACTTACGTACCATGTCATGTGTACAATTAGATGCAAATATTGTGTTAATAGTGGATACTACATTCGGCAAAAATTTCTTTCAAAGACAAAAGATTAAATATGTCCGCAGTCCGCACCATATTTGTATAAGTCACAAGGAATAAGCTTACGAATGAACGAAGTGCTGAGGGAGTGCGAGCTCGGGCATTATATAAGAATACTGTTAATTTCAATAATGTTTTACAAAAAGCTTACTTTTAAGGTGTTTTTTAAAATATAAGGCTTTATGAACCTGTAGCAGGCATCTCATAAAACCTTAAACTATTTACTTGCAGACTTTAAAGAATCCAAATCTAGAGAAGTTCATCTGATGATCAGCGAATCAGAGGAAACGTCTCATTTGTTGATGCTGGAGGCTATTTACAACTCTGACATATTAAATGAAGCTAGTGTAGAAGACCTTCTGGCCGTGATGGAGCTGGCTGACAAGTACGAGTTGCGCTTTCTTTTCAGGAAATGTAAATACGTTCTCAAAACCCGCGTGACAACTCTAGATACATGTCGACAGATTATGCATATAATTAAAGAGAAGCACGATTTTGGCAATGTTGAAGATCTTCTACATACAATGGAAGTTATTATGGGCAACAGTTTTGGGCTTTTAGAACAACATGTTAGAACAGAAAAATTTACGAATCAGTCAAAACCTTTCATTAAACATCTTTTGCATAGTGTCACTCTTCAAACACGTCATGAGAATACCGTGTTTCAAGCACTCATGCATTGGATGGAGGTTAACAATGTTGATCCAGATTCCCTAGGAGATGACGAAGATTTCTTGCAATCAGTGCGATTTGAATGTTTGTCAGTTGACTATTTGTACAACGTTGTCAAAAAACATCCAGTTGCAAACAAAATGCCAGGATTCAAAGATTGTGTTCTTTCTGCCATGACTTATCATGCTTTGAAGGTGGAAGCCTCCCTGAATGATACTGCTCCCAGACCTCGACAGTCACTTCCCCCAACGACACCTTTATTCACTTGGATTGTTCCAAGATCACAATTTAAACATAACAGCACGCAAAATTTAACTTCAGATTTTTTTTTTCTTTGTGGCTACAAAGCAAAGATGCTGTTGAAATATCGTTCACATGACGCTAGCAATTATAGATTTCTAGTCGTGTTGACCCTTCTTGAGTTGCCAGAAAAAAGTAATGTTAATTTAACCTGTTACATAAATACACCTGATTCAGAATCCTTTGAGCCAAAATTTTTTCCGGAGACGAGGTTCAACTATAGTGTGTTCACACGCGTTAATCCGTCACAAAGTACTCCTCAAATTCAAATTAACACGAGATACATTGATCAAGACGTTGTTATAAATATAAGAGTTGATTGAAACCGGGAGAAGTATATACCATGAACCATTGATTTATGACATTTTTGAAAGCAAAATAATTAGTTAAACGATGCTGTTGAAGTTGAAATTATCTATTTTGCTAAATTAATCTTCTATAACCAATGACTTAATGGTAAAGTATTTACAGTTCCCTGTTTTACTGAAAACTTTTTGGTTGAAAACAGGAGCCTCAAAATAACTTATATAAATGCATGAAAGCAATTGCACGGTGTTTAGACGTATAGCTATATATTTCAAGAAACTTGATGCCCATGAAACCCCATGAAACTTGTATCTAGTCTAGTTCCTCTAGTTTTTAAACAAAAATACAACGAATAAAATCATAGTTTGAAGACTTTTTAGTAACTGGGTCACCATTTAATTAATTAATTTACACATAATTAAATGAAGGAAAGAAAATGCATAATTCCTATTTTTCATGAAATTAGAAAGCATAGAGGAGAAAAAACGGGAGGTTTTTGTTATGAAAGGTACCATCTTAACTCAAATGCATAGAAAAGGTAAAGGTTGAATTAAGTTACAAATTTGTTTGAAACATTGCGCTACGAAGATTAAGGTAATTATAGGATCATTCACTTTTTGTGAAAATAAAAGACATTTTTGCTTTGAAAAGATATGTGTCAAAACAGAAAAAATATTCGATTTTGCAGCTTTTAAGGCATTTTTATGCCGAGATATTGTTATAAGAGCTTTTATACAGCAAAAGTATATTAGTAATTAGGACTTGATATAATATTTTGTGATATTTTCACAATCTCGATCATATGCTTAAAGCGTGATGTTTATGACATCAATCCACTACGTTTTGTGACTGTGTATTTATTTGCTACATGTACGTACTGCGTACCTATTTTATTGCAGAGAGCGTAAATTGACTTCATCCACCTACACTACACTATGGTGATCTAACAGAGCTGTGTTAAAGTAAAAGTTCAATAAATAAAAATAGACATTTTAAAGATTCAAGCGCTGTTTTGACTACAGCAATACGGTATACATTGCTAAAACGCAATCTTTTGTAGTAGCGGTTAAAATTTTAGAATTACTGGAAGTTCACATTTCAATCTAAAACCACATAATAAAAATATACAGAAGAGTCACTCTATCGGAACCTCTGATGTTTTTGTTCTCGCGCATGTCGTGCCGTGCATGGTGGGCGCCATTATTCCAGCCAGATGATTAAGGTTTCTGACTTTTTCCAAACCTTTAAAATGATCCGAAGTCATTTCTTAAGTCAAAAAATACTTGAATTCATTATTAAATATTGACGTCATGTAATTTTAATGGTTGGAAACAAGTGAGAAATCCTAATCATCTGGCTGGAACAATGGCCGAGATGAGGACACGTTGTACACTTGAGTGACCCTTTTGTATAATCATTATTCTGTGCAAAAACTATGATAAAAACGGATACATGACACTCCACGCTATTCTTATTTACGTATTTTTTTTTTTTGGTTTTGCAATTCGTCACAACTTGGAAGCTGTGACGTTGTTGGTCAAACAATTATTGTTTTAATAATTTTGAAATATAACATCTTGTTTTTTTAGAAAACACCGATCCCACTGTAAAAAAAATAACATGACATCCTATTTGCATCGCCATGCCACATGATACACGACTTTGCCGTGCAAAAAGGTGGAAGTCGATAATGCCCTCTCCCTTCCGGGAAATTAATACATATTTCTATGAAGCAATTATACCTCAAATACGTTTGCCATTAGTGTTGCCGCACTACTTGCAAATAGATCAATCATATGTCTCATTCTTGGTCTTTCCTAAATCACGATAAAGATCATTGTCAAGAGTTTTGAAGACTTGTGAATCTCTTAGCGCGTGCATAAAGCGTAGCAATATGTGGACAAAAGATATGAAAAGCAATACATACAACACTCAATTTGTTGTTTTCGTCTCTCTTGGCGAGAACACGGAACATTTTTAGTAATTGATGTGCACTTAAAAGATTCATGTATCGTAAGAAAAAAAGCACTGACGGCAAATGAACAGTATAAGGAACAAACAGTAAGGCCACTCTACTCAGCGCTTTTCCATTTATAAGAAAATTTCCAAGGAAGTTTCTACTGGTAAAGAGAGAAAAGCAGACAATGGGAAGGTAAATCTAATGAAACGAAAATATCTTAGAAAGAGTGAATTGCATCCTTCATTACGCATATGTCTAGCATAGTGGTATTCAGTAAAAGGCATTTTCTGACCTATAGGAGCATTGAAACTACAACCAATTATGTAATCAAACATGAACCGAGTTGCGCAGTGAAGTGTTTTGTTTCTCCTATTTCTGCAACTACGACTTATGCACATGCAGTAATCAACAGACATTCAATTTCTAATGCTTGAATTGAATCATTCATTCAGGCTTCCCACCTTGGTAAACAAATATATTTAGTGGGTCAGATAAAAAGTAAAAACTGCTTTTGTTTTCTCATCAAGGCCCCCTAAATACATACAAAACACTCACGAAATTGCAAACAGTATGAATGACGTTAGTTTGACATAATTCTCTTGCGTACGAGGCAACAACATTTTAGCATTGAAGATGACCAACAAGAGAATTGTTAATATTTCTTACATTATTATCTCTAGTTGGTATAATTTGATCATTTCCAATATGAGTCCCACGATATAATTGTTGAATTTCCTCTTCACTTAATTGCTGATGACCTCTGAACAGAGCAAAGAATTTATTTCCTCAAAAAGCAAGCTTTGTCAATTATTAAACCGTTCAAAACCAATAGTACATTATAGAAGTAGAATCTTCAATTAAATTAAGGCCCTTTTATTAAAACATTAACATTGAATTCATTATAAAGACATCACACAGTACTGCAGTGCAGCCTGCATAGTTCTAACTTCAACTATTTAAGTTCTAAAAGATTACCATTATAAATTTTTTTAGAAATCTATTGTTGTCACAATCAGTAAACACGACAATATTTGCACGTAGGGGTTAAAATTTGTGTTGGCTACGCTACTGTCAACATGATTCAATTTTATCTAGACTTTTACAATCAGTTTGAAGAATTTGAAGTTGCGACAAACCAGAGCAATTTGTTACAAATTATTTAAACAAGCTAAAACAGCGTAGATAAATGTTACAATTTCAATGTCCTTTTATCCTTTATCGTTTTAGCTGTATCAGATACTCCTAACCTTAAAGATATTTACGATATAAAACATCTCACCTGTACGCAGTGCCAGGCATTATATTTTGATAGGAATCAATTTTCATCATAATTCCCTGTATGAATATAGATGACCAGAATCAGTTTGTGCATTAAACACGAACTTAGAAAGATTTTACTTTTGCAAAACGAAGTAAAGTTTTACAATGAAGAATGAATTTTCTCTAAAAACATGCATGCGGCTTTTTTCTTCAAAACTGTTGATTCATGCAGTCATAACTACTAACTGACTTTTTTTCATATGAAAACAAAACATCAAGTGTTTTAGATTACTTGCTAATAGCTAGTTTCCTGAATTCAACTTTATCAGAAATAAATTTTTACAATCCCCAGCAAGGTATATGATTGTTAAAAATTAAACGTTGTAATAATTGTGATAAGTATACAAATTTGTCTTTCTTTTAGAGTCATTCACTCGTTAAATTTAGTACTTACCTTATTTATGTCGATATGCAGACCACGTATGACAAAATCGGGATCGTACTCCATGACCTGCAGCTCATTTGGGTACTAAATTGAGTATTAACAAGGAAATTTTAACCAACTTGATTTTTGCCCCATTTCTTGTTGATTCGTATTTAGAAATTTCCCAATTTAATGAAGGTTATGAAATGGTCAAAATACGCACGTTGTAATCGTCGATAAGTCTTTTCAAAGCCATTTGATATATTAAACTGTTCAATTCATCTGTATAGTGTGCCAAAGTGTAATCGTAGTCGAAGCCATACACGGCAATGTCTCGCAAGCTGAGTTCATTATTTACGAACACTGACTTTTCATTCATCATTTTACAATGCCCAGTCTCTGCAACAAAGAATTTACTGCTTCAAATAAGAAGGCAGAAATTAAAATGAATTTAAATTTGTTTGTGTAGCTACCTAACAAACTTTACAAAATAAACGTACAAGTTAATTAACAGATTATATTTTTTTTTCATTTTGAAAAAGAAAATTATATAGTAATATGTTAACAGAAACATGTAATAGTAACAAGAGTTTTTCTAAGACAAAGCAGAAAGGACATTTTTTGTCTCATTACAAATACAGTCTTGCTTTTGGATAACATAAAAACATTGCAAAAAAGAAAAGCTGGCAGGTCTGCCATTCTTCATTTAAAAAATTACCGTACAATCCTTTGTACATGCTCAATGCACTGAAAAATCCGTCCTACACCTCATATTCATTAATCTTTCGTTCATAGACTTTCAAAACACTGAATATGTGATACGCATACTAGCTATAGTTTTCTCTACCGTTGAAACAGTCATGTTTCCGTGACACATATATCTCTTTCAAGTTGCTTGCAGTTTTTCTTTCAACCAAGTAAGATGAAATTTGTCTTTTAAATGATTTTCCGTTGTAAAATTTTTGTACTTTGATTGAGGAGCAAACAGTTTTTAATACATCCAAATATTTGAAACAGCGACAGTTTATCAATTCCGCCATTGTTATTTTCAAAATTTTTATATTTTTTTACAAAGTTCAAAGGTCGATGTCACTGAGCTTATTTTGGATCTGGAGCGATTCCTTCAGTAATTTTTGTTTCCTTAAAAGTTACTTCAAAAAAACATAAATCAGTTTACCTCTGCTGGCACGCGATAAAAAATATGGAAAGGATACTGTAATAACAGCTTTTTTGCAACTTGTAAAATTTTTTTGCTTCAACCATTCATGGCAAATTGTTTAGTATGACCATATATGTCAAATTAAATAAACTACTTTGCAACAGCCGTAATAAACAAAGAAAATTACTTTTGCAAGAACAAAAACTTTGTTTTTAAATAGATACAATCCATTCTACAACACATCACTGGCTTTATGTACGGCCAGAGCATAAAAACTCAGCATTTAAAACAATTGCAAATACTTAACTCATTCTCATACTGAATATGACTTAATTTAAGTCGAAACATGTTCATCGTAAAAAATTTTGTGGTTTATTATAAATGCTTAATCAATCTGGTGCTTCTGAGATCATACGGAAAAACAAATCAAACTGAATAATACAATGAACGATCTTCGCATCTAATTCTGTAAATTTTCTGAGCAAACAAGGCGACAGCCAGCAAAAAATATTTTTAGATAAGAATGCTGTGATAATATTTATGCTTTTGCGCCAGTAAAGCGTCTCCCTTATACTGTAGATCTACTGCCATATTTATGTAGAGTCAAAAACTAAAGAGGTTCATGTAATGGTCGGCGAAACAGAGGAAACGCATCAACTGATGATGCTGGAAGCTATTTACATCTCTGACATATTCAATGAAGCTAGTAATGGAGCCGACTAACAAGTGCAAACTTTGCAGCTTGCTCTTTTTGCTCAAGAAATGTGAATACGTTCTTAAAACCCATGCAATAAACCTATATACATGCAAGCAGGTCATCCAATTTCGAAAATCTTGAAGATCTTCTAAAACTTGGCAGCTTATGAAAAAATGAAATTGTGTCGTGTGGGTGTGGTCAATAGCGTGACCAGAAGACACAAATCTTTCATGTAATGTGCACAATGCGAAAATTTTGTCTTGTAAACAATTGCAGACTGCAAAGTGTAATTTAATTATTAATGTGGTCGAGTGTATACTGCCAGATAACTATAATAGTTGGAGAAAGGGGAATATTCATATAATCGTATGTTTTAATCCCTTGTTAATCAATAACCACAGTTGATTTCTATATAAACTACTACAGTAGAACATGCATACATGAATATTACCCCTCTCCCCCCAATTATCGATGCTGCTCGGCCCCTAAATGGAAGTATTGTCATTTTGATATTTACCATCAGATCACTGAACACGTAATCACCAAAATAGAGAACTTTAGGCCCGTACCAACCAGCAAACTTCATAAACTGTTCGAAATTTCCCTGAATTTTTTAAAAGTTTATTCATCAAGTTTTTGTTATGAGGAGACAGTTTGCAAAGTATACAACATATTTACAGTTATCACAATAATTCACACAGAAACGTCATTTTACTTTGAAAAACAACATAAATAAAAAAAAAACTATTCTATCCTATTGGTCTCAATCGAAACAAAATTTATTGAACTGAGCTACACTTTATACAATGTCTTATATAATTAAAACAATAAGTAAAAATACCTCTGCATACAGTTCTCCGCCATGAAAGTGGCTAACTCTTTCCCATGTCTTCACTCCCCGATTGTCGAGACGACTGAAAGGTCTTTTTGACATAAAAAACCCAAAAAGATATGTATTCTTTTTTTGGTTCCATGTAAATATTCAATCAAAAAAGTTCGAGTCATTCTATTAACTCAACAAATAGGAGACTTACATTATTGCATTAGCACGCTAAAATGTTATTACAATCGATTTGATCCACACAGTTTACTCTGTTGAAAAGCTCAATCTTGTTCCATCAAAAGGAGTTCATCTAAAGTGTCCTTTATTCTTGATTTGGAATTTTAGTATGATGTTATGATGCTGATATTTTTATAAATGATGGTGATGGCTGATACGCGTTTCTTGCATCAAATATCACACGCATCAACTATTTGATAAAAATCTCAAGATCGTCTGACATTAGATAATCTGTCTGGTATATGTTGATTCTTTAATAGCTGATAATAAATTATTGCAATTTATTCACTATATTGCTTTCCTCACTTCCCAGAGCAGTTATAGATACAGGCAACAGCAGGAGGCTTTTTAAAGAAGTGCGTGAAAGATGAATGTGACACAAAACATGAAATTTCTGACCTTTAGGTATTTACCTTTATCCGATGGGAACCAAATCTTTAACTTACTTATTTACCCTCACCTGTCAGTTCGTTGATAAAACGCTGGCTTTCGAGCACTTGTTATAATAACATCAAACAATTCCATCCATTGTTTGTCAATCATATGTTCCATGCCTTTGTTCCTGCAAAAAAACCATGACTTTACAGGGACTGCAGAGGACCTTTTTTATTGGGACGAGGGAGGGGAGGCTTCTCGACAAAAAAACGGTCGTCATGGGGAAACAAGATTAAAAAATTTCAAACTGGCAGGAAAATTATTGGGAGGATATAATCATTGGGTGGAGATGAGCCTGCAGTCCCTGATTTATATACTATCATAAAAGTTAGAAGCAAAATAGGTCTTTTTGATTGATTGTCTTAAGAACAATGTACGTAAAGTAAAAGAAAATAGTTGATTAATTTTGGATGATTTTTAAAAACAATTTGAAGCCACTATGTGAAGAGTGAATCTGTACAAATTCTTTAAACTTTTCTCAATCCAAGTATATAATTTCTTTTGCACAAAGTATAGCAAGTTTTCATATGCTGCAACTGTAAAGACCATACTGTGCGGTTAGTTTTGTATATTGTCAAAACATATATACTTATCTTAAGGTAAACTTACACAAAACTTATATCACTGTTCGTGATTAAGAAGATATGTTTCCCACACGCAATTATACTCTCCAGGAAGTCTTTTAAATGAGGATTTGGATGTAGATATCAACCTAGAAGCAATAAAATATTAAATGCTATGAAAGGTTCTAGATTTTCTATCAAAGCGCAGCAAATTTTTTGATGGGAGTGATTTTTAGTAAATGATATGAAAGTAATTTTACAACCTTTGATGTAATACCGTTTATTTGGTTTGTTTTCAATATTTTATAACTGATTATATATACATATAGAAGCTACTGATTATTAGTTTTATGCCTTCAGTTTCACTGCTTACGCTAAAAAAATACAAAAACCTTACATTTAATGGAAACTTGTAGATTTACACCTTACGCTTTACACGTTACGTTTAACACCTTAAGTTTTACGCCTTACGTTTTGCACCTTACATTTCACACCTTATGATTTACATTGAATTTTTTTTAACTACCAAATTTACATACGTTACTGTTATAAGCATTTCGACATTTTGTCAACTAATTGCGCAGGTATTTTACATTTCAAACTGTTATAAAACCGCGAAAGCTTTGTAAGACAAAGATTGAAAGAGATTACCAACGTCTTTCTCTACAGCAGCTGCAATTTTCCCAGATTTATGAACATCTCGCACAGATTTCTAGATGAAAAACACAAACTTGTTTGCAATTGTTTAGTGAATATGACCTACAAAACATGGACTCCTGACATTTTGAGTTACTAGAAAAAAATTTTCAAAAGTAGTTAACGAACCAACCTGGCAATCTTGGAAAACGTACGAAGGATCGTAGCCAATGTTGTTTTGAGAAAAATACTGGGAAAAAGAACGATTTTTTATAAGTAAAAGAACAATGACTGGAAAATTTTTTTAATTAATTATTTATTGAAAACTGCAATCTACAGTTGTCAAATAACAAAATTTTACCACTATAGAAGAACATACAGAATGTTTTAGTAAGGCTTAACATTTTTTAACAAAATCAGTTTATCAGCACTTTTGATATGATAACAATTCATTTATGAACAACGAGAGGATTTGTTTCCATTAATATTATACTTAAGAATAAGTTTATGCTATATTAAAATAACGTTAAATATAGCTCTCAATTTATAAATGCTCAATTCCTAATAGGTTCGCGCTGTTCGTTTCAGAGCATGTTGTTTCAAATTTGGCTATATGTTTGCAAAATGTGTTGAACAGACATCAGGGAAAAGTAGCATTTATGAAACTGGGATATATAAGGCAGACTTTGAAGTAAAATCCCTGAAATCATACTTGCTCGGCATAAATTATCGAAACTGCCAAATAAATTGGATAAAATAAAGGTCTTTGATTTATATGATAATGTATTGCTGTACCACGCATGTTGAATAAAGGTTGTCTTGCCCGGATAATAGTTCATGACTTTTTGCAAGACTTTAGAAGAAAGTTGAAAAAATGCTTCGTTCGTCATCATTTTGAATAAAATTATGCAGTAAATGCAGTTCATGTAAAAATCTCAACACATACGGTCATAAGAGAGAAAAAATAAACGATACCTGTTATTATTATATGGCAAGTGTCACTTCCGGCAAAATAGAGCGATTGATTGGCTCAGAAACATTTTTGCCGGTCCATTATTTTCCCGTAATCGACCACGGTCCATAACGCATAATTTTACTGCCAAATGTAAACAAACTTCGTAAAGCAAACAGCAAAAAGCAAAATAAACGAAACAATAAACCATTTACGAAGGTGATTCGAAGGAAAAACTCTCGGAAAACAGTTTAACTATCCAGACGATACAATTTAAAACGATTTATTTTTTTATGGACGAAAACTAGAAAAGTGAAAGCCAACCCGTAAAAAACAGCAACGACGAGAAAGAAAGCAAGCTTCGTTTCAGGTCAAATAATGCCATGTAATAATCATTTTAATAACCTCGCTTTCTCGGTCTTTACTGAGAAATATCAGACCTCTGTAAAAAACTTTGGTCCGATATTTCTCCGTAAAGACCTTGCGCTTGGTTATTAAGGGCTTACTAAGTCATCCACAATATTTAGTCAATATACTTTTCAAGGTCTTTTCCAGAAAAGGAAATTCTATTCGTACAAGTTTTTATAAATGCTCCGTGGAGTACAACATGATCTACGTAAATAGCCAATCAGTTCATCATGTAGAGTATACGTTGCCATAAACTATGCAAATATCCAATCAGTTCATTGTGTAGGGTATGCGTTGCCATAAACTACGCAAATACCCAATCAGTTCATTGTGTAGAGTATGCATTGCCATGAACTACGCAAATATCCAATCAGTTCATTATGTAGAGTATGCGTTGCCATAAACTACGCAAATATCCAATCAGTTCATTGTGTAGAGTATGCGTTGCCATAAACTACGCAAATATCCAATCAGTTCATTGTGTAGAGTATGCGTTGCCATGAACTATGCAAATATCCAATCAGTTCATTATGTAGAGTATGCGTTGCCATGAACTACGCAAATATCCAATCAGTTCATTATGTAGAGTATGCGTTGCCATAAACTACGCAAATATCCAATCAGTTCATTGTGTAGAGCATGCGTTGCCATAAACTACGCAAATATCCAATCAGTTCATTATGTAGAGTATGCGTTGCCATAAACTACGCAAATATCCAATCAGTTCATTGTGTAGGGTATGCGTTGCCATAAACTACGCAAATATCCAATCAGTTCATTATGTGGAGTATGCGTTGCCATAAACTACGCAAATATCCAATCAGTTCATTATGTAGAGTATGCGTTGCCATAAACTACGCAAATATCCAATCAGTTCATTATGTGCAGTATGCGTTGCCATAAACTACGCAAATATCCAATCAGTTCATTATGCAGAGTATGCGTTGCCTATCATAAATATTTTTATAACAAATTTGCACTTCTATAGAGGCTTTGCATGAACACGTGACTTACAACTTGTTGATTAGCAACCGTAACTATGGCGCCATGATAGGGGGCATACAAAACGCACATGGCGTCAAGTCAATACGAACGAGTGCCATGCCTTCCTAAATATCGTGAAACTTTAAGTGTTGAAGATCGTGTTAAATACGAAGAGAAGTTAAAGTTAATTTGTGGTATCGATCCCTACAATGTTAGTCACAAATTTTTTTCTGACGCGATGGATTTATGGCCCAATGTTGAGTTCCCCGACATTGTGACCTACCTGTTGTTTTCAACAAGTAGGTATACCAAGGAGCAACTGAAAGCTTACAAAAGCTTAGAATCATACCAGTATTTTGTTGCTGGATGGGTGAGGTGTGTGTATGTCGGTAAAGCAAGTACTAACATCATGATTTTAATCGCAAAGGTTAGTATAATTATTACTTAAAACGTGTTTTTACAATCATTGTCACAATCAGTATGAAAAAAATTTGGTGTTTAATTCATAGGTAAATCATTCGCAAAGCCTGAATGACACTCCTCTAAAACCATGGGCTGCTGTATATAACAATGGGTCTGTTATAACAGCACATTGCAACTAATAAAGCTGGACTAGGAGAATGTTGTTCACATGCTGGAGCGTTGCTCTTTGCTGTTGAAACTGGTGTACGAATAGTAAAGAACAGGATCAAAGATTACTTATCAAGAACTTTGTGACGTTGATTTTACTTCTTCCAAACGTAAAAAGCAAAAGCTGGATGAACATATCAATGAATTAGCTTCTAGTTCATCATCTACTACCGATCAGACAATGACAACAGACAAGCCTCGTTTGCAAAACAAGTACAAGCCGTCTGAAAATCAAATAAAGAAGTTTTATCAACATCTAAGCGACACTAAATGTAATCCTGCAATCTTGTGTCAATAATGTGTCATTTGATGGAAGTGGTTTTGAAGTGTGAAACTTTGCAAGAACCTCTGGTAAAATTGCAAAAATGTAGATTTCTTTTGCTTTTTCAATATTGACAGCAAGGAATTCCTCATCTCTCTGAATTCGTTCAATATAAATGTCATTTGGAGTCCAGACAACAAAATCTACATACTCTAACTTTGTAGAGGCTAATTGCAGTTGGACTTGATAGTAATATTGGTGTTTCCTGTCCATCTGTAAGGTACCATTTGGTGTCTTAGTGAGACAAAAATTCTTTCCATCACTTATGCCATGCTGGATAGTCTTGTTTCTTAAACTGTATGGGCACTTAATCTCAACACATCCTTCACCATGGCAGTTGCAGTAACTGATTGCATCTGGACTTGCACCAAGAAAAGGGTACTTAGACTTAAACTGTAAACCATAACAAACATCTTTGACCAGGCTTAGTGATGGTGTTTCAGGATTTGTGCGACAAGCCCTGTGGAAGTTGCTGGCAGTTATTCTCCCCATTCGCATTTGATGCCAAATCTGAGACTTGCTTTGATTTCGTTTAGCTTTTTCTATCATATCAGCTTGTTGTTGATTGATTGTAATTGTCTCCATAACTTCTTTTGATTTCGAAATTAGCTCCTCATACTCAAGACAAGCAAATTGGTGGGAGTACAACTTATTCAAGGGGTCTGGAAGGTTAACAGCAGGTCTCTTTGGCACAAAATTTTCGTTAAATGGAGAAATCAGTGACAAGATTGCAGGATTACATTTAGTGTCGCTTAGATGTTGATAAAACTTCTTTATTTGATTTTCAGACGGCTTGTACTTGTTTTGCAAACGAGGCTTGTCTGTTGTCATTGTCTGATCGGTAGTAGATGATGAACTAGAAGCTAATTCATTGATATGTTCATCCAGCTTTTGCTTTTTACGTTTGGAAGAAGTAAAATCAACGTCACAAAGTTCTTGATAAGTAATCTTTGATCCTGTTCTTTACTATTCGTACACCAGTTTCAACAGCAAAGAGCAACGCTCCAGCATGTGAACAACATTCTCCTAGTCCAGCTTTACAGTTGCAATGTGCTGTTATAACAGACCCATTGTTATATACAGCAGCCCATGGTTTTAGAGGAGTGTCATTCAGGCTTTGCGAATGATTTACCTATGAATTAAACACCAAATTTTTTTCATACTGATTGTGACAATGATTGTAAAAACACGTTTTAAGTAATAATTATACTAACCTTTGCGATTAAAATCATGATGTTAGTACTTGCTTTACCGACATACACACACCTAAACCATCCAGCAACAAAATACTGGTATGATTCTAAGCTTTTGTAAGCTTTCAGTTGCTCCTTGGTATACCTACTTGTTGAAAACAACAGGTAGGTCACAATGTCGGGGAACTCAACATTTGGCCATAAATCCATCGCGTCAGAAAAAAATTTGTGACTAACATTGTAGGGATCGATACCACAAATTAACTTTAACTTCTCTTCGTATTTAACACGATCTTCAACACTTAAAGTTTCACGATATTTAGGAAGGCATGGCACTCGTTCGTATTGACTTGACGCCATGTGCGTTTTGCATGCCCCCTATCATGGCGCCATAGTTACGGTTGCTAATCAACAAGTTGTAAGTCACGTGTTCATGCAAAGCCTCTATCATCACTGTCGATAATTTTAGTGTGACAACACCATGTCTTGCGATATAAAATTAGAAGATTTCAAATTCAAATCACTTTCAAAAGAAATCAGCAGGGCACAACAGAATATGTAGCAATTTTCTCCTTTGCGCGTTAGCACAAAGCAGTTATGCCTCTGCCAATTCGTTTTTGGGACTGTATGCTATCCAATTTGCATGCGCAGTCGACACACAATTTTTAATTTTGCTTTTAACTATTCCAATATAACTATTCCACATCACAGATAATCTTAAACATTTCAAGCTTTTACATTCACAGCCAGCGACGGAAGAACCCTGACTTTTAACGTGTCTTAACAAATAAAGTATTAGCATAAGTTCCTATTTCCGTTCTTCCATAAGTTCGTAGTATCAAATAACAATTATCTATTACTTATTTACATAAGTTCCGACAGAATATATGAATATGCACCCCAATTAACGTTCTAGTTACGCCAATGCACATTCCTTGTCAGCTTGGGCGTATTTTACACAGTCGATATCACTATTATTTCTTTCATTTGTGATAACATCATGTCTTTAAGTCTACAGTCAGAAGATTTACAAGAATTCCTGAAGATCTACGCTTCAGAATACAACAAGCCAGAATTTCATGATCGCATTCTTGTGTTTGATGTCGTGGCGGACGGTTTGGAAAATAAAACATTTCTTGCAAAGTATTCAAGCGATGAAGAGAAAACAGGAGAAAATTTATTGGCTGTCAAGAATCCAGATCATAAAGAAAATAATATCGAAGATGATGTAAAACCTGAAGACGAAAATATTGAAAGTGAAACAGGAAATACTTCCGCCCAAAGTGAAAGCACTTTGAGAAATAACAAGGAAACGCAATTTGGCATGGGAGATTTACAGTCTAACTCAAAGGATGAAATAAATGATTCAACTATCATTCGACAACACAAGATTTTTGTGCATAGCTCGTGGCTAGCTGTACAAAGCAACTATTTCCGCTCATTTTTCCTGTCAGGTAGTTGTTAAGGCTGAAACACACTAGGCAGTCGCTTTAGTCGCGCGTCTAAAACTACCGCTTTGCGTGGTTACTAAGCTAGTAGCGTAGTCACGTCAGCTAGTCGCTTTGAAAGTTCAACATGTTGAACTTTTGACATTGGTCGCTTCAGTCGCTTTACACTGATTGGTGTAAATAGATACATTTTAACTTGCATATGCCTAAATGCATATCATATTTCCCGTCATATGCATCATACGAAATTTATAGATTATACCTTGGAAAAGGAAGGCAATATATGGTGAATTCACACTGGAATCTTTCAGTTTTTATATGACTTATCAAATAGGGACAATAGAAGCTACAAACTGGAACCCTAATGCACATCCTAAATGCACAGAATAAGATTGTCCACGATATACGCGTAATGGGCTATGATCATAGTGGCGTGTTTTAACTGGCTTGTTCTCTTTTCTCCACATAGTAGTTTGTAATGAGTAAATATTCATATATTGGTAGGTATAATAAAGGCCGAAATAAAAAGTTTAAGTAATATCTGTGTCTGTAACAAACAGAAATCTCCGCCATGTTCAATAGACGCTTCGGTAAAAGTCGCTGCAGGTGTGTTTCTGGTCTTCAAGCGACTGACGCGTGCTCATCAATTCGCTTTGGACGCGCGACTGAAGCGACTGCCTAGTGTGTTTCCGAAGCAAATATTGTGTTAACAATGGATACTACATTCGGCAAATTTCCGCTCACTTTTCCTGTCAGGTAGTTGTTTCTTACGTATCATGTCATGTGAACAATTAGAAGCAAATATTGTGTTAATAGTGGATACTACATTCGGCAAATTTCCGCTCACTTTTCCTGTCAGGTAGTTGTTACTTACGTATCATGTCATGTGAACAATTAGAAGCAAATATTGTGTCAATAGTGTTTCCGAGGCAGGCATCTCATAAAACCTTAAACTATTTACTTGCAGACTTTAAAGAATCCAAATCTAGAGAAGTTCATCTGATGGTCAGCGAATCAGAGGAAACGTCTCATTTGTTGATGCTGGAGGCTGTTTACAACTCTGACATATTAAATGAAGCTAGTGTAGAAGACCTTCTGGCCGTGATGGAGCTTGCCAACAAGTACGACTTGCGCTTTGTTTTCAGGAAATGTAAATACGTCCTCAAAACCCACGTGACAACTCTAGATACATGTCGACAGGCTATGCATATCATTAAAGAGAAGCACGATTTTGGCAATGTTGAAGATCTTCTACATACAATGGAAGAAACTATGGGCAACAGTTTTGGGCTTTTAGAACAACATTTCAGAACAGAAAAATTTACAAGTCAGTCTAAAGCTTTCATTAAGCATCTTTTGCACAGTGAGACACTTCAAACAGGCCATGAGAGTACCGTATTTCAAGCACTTATGCATTGGATGGAGGTGAACAATGTTGATCCAGATTCCCTTGGAGATGACGAAGATTTCTTGCAATCAGTGCGATTTGAATGTTTGTCTTTAGACTATTTGTACAACGTTGTCAAAAATCATCCAGTTGCAAACAAAATGCCCGGATTCAACAAATGTATGCTCTTTGCCATGACTTATCATGCTTTGAAGGTGGAAGCCTCATTGAATGATATTGTTCCAAGATCTCGACAGTCACTCCCCCCAAAGACATCTTTATTTACTTGGATAGTTCCTAGCTCACAATTTAAATATAACAGCAAGCAAAATTTAACTTCAGAATTTTTTTTTCTTTGTGGCTACAAAGCAAAGATGCTGTTGCAATATCATTCACATGACGCTAGCTATTATAGATTTCTAGTCGTGTTGACCCTTCTTGAGTTGCCAGAAAAAAGTAAAGTTAATTTAGCTTGTTACATAAATACGCCTAATGCACAATTGTTTCGGGAGACGAGATTCAACTATGGTGAGTTCACACACGATAATCCGTCACAAAGTACTCCTCAAATTCAAATGAACAAAGGATACATTAATCAAGACGTTGTTATAAATTTAAGAGTTGATTGAAACAGAGAGAAGTATATAACATGAACCATTGGTTTATGACATTTTTGAAAGCAAAAAAATTAGTTAAACGATGCTCTTGAAGTTGAAATTATCTGCTTTGTTAAATTAATCTTCTTTAACCAATGACTTATTGGTAACGTATTTACAGTTCCTAGTTTTACTGAAAATTTTTGGTTGAAAACAAGAGCCTCAAAATAACTTATATAAATATATGAAAGCAATTGCACGGTGTTTAGACGTATAGCTATACATTTCAAGAAACTTGATGCCCAGTATATTGTCTTTAACCTCATGAAACTTGTATCTAGTCTAGTTCTTCTAGTTTTTAAACAAAAATACAACGAATAAAATCATAGTTTGAAGACTTTAAAGTCACTGGGTCAACATTTAATTAATTAATTTACACATCATTAAATGAAGGAAAGAAAATACATAATTCTTATTTTTCATGAATTTAAAAGCATAGAGGAGAAAAAACGGGAGGTTTTTGTTATGAAATGTACCATCTTAACTCAAATGCATAGAAAAGATAAAGGTTGAATTAAGTTACAAATTTGTTTGAAACATTGCGTTACGAAGATTACGATAATTATAGGATCATTCACTTTTTGTGAAAATGAAAGACATTTTTGTTTTGAGATGATATGTATCAAAACAGAAGAAATATTCGATTTTTCAGCTTTTAAGGCATTTTTATGCCGACATATTGTTATAAGAGCTTTTATACAGCAAAAGTATATTAGTAATTAGGACTTGATATAATATTTTGTGATATTTTCACAATCTCGATCATTTGCTTAAAGCGTGATGTCTGTGACATCAATCCACTTCGTTTTGCGACTGTGTATTTATTTGCTACATGTACGTACTGCGTACCTATTTCATTGCAGAGAGCGTAAATTGACTTCATCCACCTACACTATGGCAGTCTAACAGAGCTGTGTTAAAGTAAAAGTTCAATAAATAAAAAGAGAAATATCAAAGATTCAAGCGCAGTTTTAACTACAGAAATGCGGTATACATTGCTAAAACGCAATCTTTTGTAGTAGCGGTTAAAATTTTAGAATTACTGGAAGTTCACATTTCACTCCAAAACCACAGAATAAGAATATACAGAAGAGTCACTCGTGTCGGAACCTTTGATGTTTTTGTCCTCGCGCATGTCGTGCCGCGCATGGTGGGCGCCATTATTCCAGCCAGATCATTAGGGGTTTTGACTTTTTCCAAACCTTTAAAATGATCCGAAGTCATTTCTTGAGTCAAAATATACTTGAATTCATTATTAAATATTGACGTCATGTAATTTTAATGGTTGGAAACAAGTGAGAAATCCAAATCATCTGGCTGGAACAATGGCCGACATGAGGACACGTTGTACACTTGAGTGACCCTTTTTTATAATCATTATTCTATGCTAAAACCATGATAAAGACGGATACATGACACTCCACGCTATTCTTATTTACGTATTTTTTTTTTTGGTTTGCATTTCGTCACCATTTGGAATCTGTGACTTTGTTGGTCAAACTTTATTGTTTTAATAATTTTGAAATATAACATCTTGTTTTTTTAGAAAACACCGATCCCACTGTAAAAAATAACATGCCATCCTATTTGCATAGCCATGCCACATGATACACGACTTTGCCGTGCAAAAGGTGGAAGTCGATAATGCCCCCTCCATTGAAATAATTACATATTTCTATGAAGCAATCATACCTCAAATACGTTTGCCATTATTGTTGCCGCACTATTCGCAAATAGATCAATCATATGTCTCATTCTTGGTCTTTCCTAAATCAAGATAAAGATCATTGTCAAAGGTTTTGAAGACTTGTGAATTTCTGAGCGCGAGCATAAAGCGTAGCAATACGTGGACAAAAGATATGAAAGGCAAGACATACAACACTCAATTTATTGTTTTCGTCTCTTTTGACTAGGACACGGAACATTTTTAGTATTTGATGTACACTTAAAAGATTCACGTATAGTAACAAAAAAAGCACTGACGGTAAATGCAGTATAAGGAACAAACAGTAAGGCCACTCTACTCAGCGCTTCTCCATTTATAAGAAAATTTCCAAGGAGGTTTCTACTCGTAAAAAGAGAAAAGCAGACAAAGGGAAGGTAAATCTAATGAAAGGAAAATATCTTAAAAAGTGTGAATTGCATCCTTCATTACCCATATGACTAGCATAGTGGTATTCAGTAAAAGGCATTTTCTGAACTATAGGAGCATTGAAACTACAATCAATTATGTAATCAAACATGAACCGAGTTGCGCAGTGAAGTGTTTTGTTTCTCCTATTCTGCAGCTACGACTTATGCACATGCAGTAATCAACAGACATTCAATTTCTAATGCTTGAATTGAATCATTCATTCAGGCTTTACACCTTGGTAAACAAATATATTTAGTGGGTCAGATAAAAAGAAAAAACTGCTTTTGTTTTCACATCAAGGCTCCCTAAGTACATACAAAACATTCACGAAATTGCAGACAATATGAATGACGTTAGTTTGACATAATTCTCTTGCGTACAAGGCAACAACATTTTAGCATTGAAGATGACCAACAAGAGAATTGTTAATATTTCTTACATTATTATCTCTAGTTGGTATAATTTGATCATTTCCAATATGAGTCCCACGATATAATTAATGAATTTCCTCTTCACTTAATTGCTGATGACCTCTGAACAGAGCAAAGAATTTATTTCCTCAAAAAGCAAGCTTTGTCAATTATTAAAGCGTTCGAAACCAATGGTACATTATTAGAAGTAGAATCTTCAATTAAATTATGGCTCTTTTATTAAAACATTTGCTTTCTCCAATGCGTTGTCTAATAAAAAAAATTACAAGACATCACACAGTACTGCAGTGCAGCCTTCATAGCTCTAACTTCAACTATTTAAGTTCTAAAAGATTACCAATATAGATTTTTTTAGAAATCTATTGTTGTCACAATCAGTAAACACGACAATTTTTGCACGGGGTTAAAATTTGTGTTGGCTACGCTACTATCAACATGATTCAATTTTATTTAGACTTTTACAATCAGTTTGAAGAATATAAAGTTGTGACAAACCAGAGCAATTTGTTACAAATTATTTAAACGAGCTCAAACAGCGTACATGAATGTTACAATTTCAATATTCTTTTATCCTTTATCGTTTTAGCTATCTCAGATACTCCTAACCGTAAAGATATTTACGATCTAAAGCATCTCACCTGTATGCAGTGCCAGGCATTATATTTTGATAGGAATCAATTTTCATCATAATTCCCTGTATGAATATAGATGACCAGAATCGGTTTGTGCATTAAACACGAACTTAGAAAGATTTTACTCTTGCAAAACGAAGTAAAGTTTTACATTGAAGAATGAACTTTCTGTAAAAACATGCACGCGGCTTTTTTCCTCAAAACTGTTGATTCATACAGTCATAGCTGCTAACTGACTTTTTTCATATGAAAACAAAACATCAAGTATTTTAGATTATTTGCTAATAGCTATTTTCCTGTATTCAACTTTATCAGAAGTAAATTTTTGTAATCCCCAGCAAGGTATATGATTGTTAAAAATTAAACGTTGTAATAATTGTGATAAGTATACAAATTTGTCTTTCTTTCAGAGTCATTTACTCGTTAAAATTAGTATTTACCTTATTTATGTCGATATGCAGACCACGTGTGACAAAATCGGGATCGTACTCCATGACCTGCAGCTCATTTGGGTACTAAATTGAGTATTAACAAGGAAATTTTAACCAACTTGATTTTGGCCCCATTTCTTGTTAATTCGTATTTAGAAAAATCCCAATTTAATGAAAGCTATGAAATGGTCAAAATACCCACGTTGTAATCGTCGATAAGTCTTCTCAAAGCCATTTGATATATTAAACTGTTCAATTCATCTGTATAGTGTGCCAAAGTGTAATCGTAGTCGAAGCCATACACGGCAATGTCTCGCAAGCTGAGTTCATTATTTACGAACACTGACTTTTCATTCATCATTTTACAATGCCTAGTCTCTGTAACAAAGAATTTACTGCTTCAAATAAGAAGGCAGAAATTAAAAGGAATTTAAATTTGTTTGTGTAGCTACCTAACAAACTTTGTGAAAATTACTGAACTGAAAAATAAACGTACAAGTTAATTAACAGATTATAGTTTTGTGTCATTTTGAAAAAGAAAATTATATCGTAATATGTTAACAGAAACATCTAATAGTAACAAGAGTTTCTCTAAGATAAAGCAGGAAGGACATTTTTTTGTCTCTTTACAAATACGATCGTGCTTTTGGATAACATAAAAACATTGCAAAAAAGAAAAGCTGGCAGGTCTGCCATTCTTCATTTAAAAAATTACCGTACAATCCTTTGTACATGCTCAATGCACTGAAAAATCCGTCCTACACCTCATATTCATTAATCTTTCGTTCATAGACTTTCAAAACACTGAATATGTGATACGCGTACTAGTTATAGTTTTCTCTACCGTCATGTTTCCGTGATGTTTCCAACAGTCATGTTTCCGTGACACATATAGCTCTTTCAAGTTGCTTGCAGTCTTTGTTTCAACCAAGTAAGATGAAATTTGTCTTTTAAATGATTTTCCGTTGTAAAATTTTTGTACTTTGATTGAGGAGCAAACAGTTTTTAATACATCCAAATATTTGAAACAGCGGCAGTTTATCACTTCCGCCATTGTTATTTTCAAAATTTTTATATTTTTTGACAAAGATCAAAGGTCGATGTCACTGAGCTAATTTGGATCTGGAGCGATTTCTTCAGCAATTTTTGTTTCCCTGAAAGTTACTTCAAGAAACATAAATCAGTTTGCTTCTGCTGGCACGCGATAAAAAATATGGAAAGGATAATTTAATAACAGCTTTTTTGCAACTTGTAAATTTTTTTGTTTCAACCATTCATGGCAAATTGTTTAGTATGACCATATATGTCAAATTAAATAAACTACTTTGCAACAGCCGTAATAAACAAAGAAAATTACTTTTGCAAAAACAAAAACTTTGTTTTTAAATAGATACAATCCATTCCACACCACATCACTAGACTTATGTACGGCCAGAGCATAAAAACTTTTTTTACACAAAAATCTTGAGGCAGCATTAATTAACTCAAAAAAATTAGAAGTCAGTTGGATAATGTGATTATACCCTGTAGCTGTTGTCATTTGTCAGTGCTCAAACAGCTGCTATCAAAAATGGTTCTTTAGTTTAAAGAAAAACAAATCAGCATTTAAAACAATTGCAAATACTTAACTCATTCTCATACTGAATATGACTTAATGTAAGTCGAAACATGTTTATGGTAAAAAATTTTGTGGTTTATTTTAAATGCTTAATCAATCTGGTGCTTCTGAGATCATACGGAAAAACAAATCAAACTTAATAATAAAATGAACGATCTTCGCATCTAATTCTGCAAATTTTCTGTGCAAACAAAGCGACAGCCAGCAAAAAATATTTTTAGATAAGACTGCTGTGATAATATTTATGCTTTTGCGCCAATTAAGTGTGTCCCTTATAATGGAGATCTGCTGCCATATTTATGTAGAGTCAAAAACTAAGGAGGTTCATGTAATGGTTGGTGAAACAGAGGAAATTCATCAACTGATGATGCTGGAAGCTATTTACATCTCTGACATATTCAATGAAGCTAGTGATGGAGCTGACTAACAAGTGCAAACTGCGCAGCTTGCGCTTTTTGCTCAAGAAATGTGAATACGTTCTTAAAACCCATGCGATAAACCTATATACGTGCAAGCAGGTCATCCAATTTCGACAATCTTGATGATCTTCTAAAACTTGGCAGCTTATGAAAAAATGAAATTGTGTCGTGTGGGTGTGGTCAATAGCGTGACCAGAAGACACAAATCTTTAATGTAATGTGCACAATGCGTCAAATTAAGTCTTGTAAACACGTGTGGACTGCAAAGTGTATTTAATTATTATTGTGGTCGAGTGTATATTGTCAGATAACTATAATAGTTGGAGGAAGGGGCATATTCATATATTCGTATGTTTTAATCCCTTGTTAATCAATAACCACAATTGATTTCTATAAAAACTACTACAGTAGAACATGCATAAATGAATATTACCCCCCTCCCCCCAATTATCGATGCTGCTCGGCCCCTAAATGGAAGTATTGTCATTTTGATATTTACCATGAGATCACTGAACACGTGATCACCAAAATAGAGAACTTTAAGTCCGTACCAACCAGTAAACTTCATAAACTGTTCGACATTTCCCTAAATTTTTTAAAAGTTTATTCAACAAGTTTTTGTTATCAGGAGATAATTTGCAAAGTATACAACACATTTACACATGTCACAATAATTCACACAGAAACGTCATTTTACTTTGAAAAACAACATTAATAAAAAAAATAAAATATTCTATCCTATTGGTCTCAATCGAAACAAAATTTATTGAACTGTGCTACACTTTATACAATATTTTATATGATTAAAACAATAAGTAAAAATACCTCTGCATAAGTTCGAGTCATTCTATTAACTCAACAAGTTGGAGATTTACATTATTGCATTAGCACGCTAGAATGTTATTACAATTGCTTTAATCCCCAAAGTTTACTCTGCTGAAAAGCTCAATCCTGTTCCATCAAAAGGAGTTCATCTAAAGTGTCCTTTATTCTTGATTTGGAATTTTAGTATGATGTTATGATGCTGATATTTTTATAAATGACGGTGGATGGCTGATGCGCGTTTCTTGCTTCAAATATCACATGCATCAACTATTTGATAAAAATGTCAAGATCGTCTGACATTAGATAATCTGTCTGTTGTATTGGAAAATGTTTGTTCTTTAATAGCTGAGAATAGATTAATGCAATATATTCACTATATTGCTTTCCTGACTTCGCAGAGCAGTTATAAATACAGGCCACAGCCGGAGGCCTTTTAAATAAGTGCGTGAAAGATGAATTTGACACAAAACATGAAAATTCTCACCTTTAGGTATTTACCTTCATCCGATGGAAGCCAAATCTTTAACTTACTTATTTACCCTCACCTGTCAGTTCGTTGATAAAACGCTGGCTTTCGAGCACTTGTTATAATAATATCAAACAATTCCATCCATTGTTTGTCAAGCATATGCTCCATGCCTTTGTTCCTGCAAAAGAACCATGACTTTACAGGAACTGCAGAGGATCTTTTTATTGGGACGAGGGAGGGGAGGCTTCTCGAAAAAAAACGGTCGTCATGGGGAAACAAGATTCAAATTTTCAAAATGGCAGGAAAATTATTGGGAGGAGATAATCATTGGGTGGAGATGAACCTGCAGTCCTTGCTTCAAGATAAATTAATGAATTTTTTAAAATATATACTACCATAAAATTTAAGAGCAAATAGGTCTTTTTCATTGATTGCCTTAAAAACAATGTACGTAAAGTAAAAGGAAACAGTTGATTAATTTTGGATGATTTTTAAAAACAATGTGAAGCCACTATGGGAAGAGTGAATCTGTACAAATTCTTTAAATTCTTCTCAATCCAAGCATATGATTTCTTTTGCACAAAGTATAACAAGTTTTCATATGCTGCAACTGTAAAGACCATACTGTGAGGGTTAGTTTTGTATAATGTCAAAACATATTTACTTATCTCGAAGTAAACTTACACAAAACTTATATCACTGTTCGTGATTAAGAAGATATGTTTCCCACAAGCAATTATACTCTCCAGGAAGTCTTTTAAATGTGGATTTGGATGTAGATATCGACCTAGAAACAATAAAATATTAAATGCTATGCTAGATTTTCTATCAAAGTGCAGCAAATTTTTTAATGGGAGTGAATTTTTAGTAAATGATATGAAAGTCATTTTACAACTTTTTATGTGATACCGTATATTTCGGTTTGTTTTCAATATTTTATAACTGATTATATATACATATAGTAGCTATTGATTATTAGTTCTATGTCTTCAGTTTCACTGCTTACGCTAAAAATACAAAAACCTTACATTTAATGGAAACTTGGACTCCTGACATTTTGCATTACTAGAAAAAAATTTTCAAAAGTAGTTAACGAACCAACCTGGCAATCTTGGAAAACGTACGAAGGATCGTAGCCAATGTTGTTTTGAGAAAAATACTGTGAAAAAGAATGATTTTTTTATAAGTAAAAGAACAATGATTGGAAAATTTTCTTAATTAATTATTATTGAAAACTGCAATCTACAGTTATCAAATAACAAAGTTTTACAACTATAGAAGCACGAACATTTTTTAGCAAAATCAGTTTTTCCGCACTTTTGATATGATAACAATTCATTTATGAGCAACGAGAGGATTTGTTACATTAATATTATACTTAAGAATAAGTTTATGCTATATTAAAATAACGTTAAATATAGCTCTCAATTTATAAATGCTGATTTCGTGATAGGTTCGCGCTGTTCGTTTCAGAGCATGTTGTGACAAATTTGGGTTTACGTTGCAAAATGTGTTGAACAGACATCAGGGAAAAGTAGCATTTATGAAACTGGGATATATAAGGCAGACTTTGAAGTAAAATCCCTGAAATATACTTGCTCAACATAATTTGTCAAAACTGCCGAATGAATTGGATGAAAGAAAGCTGTTTTATATATATGATAATGTATTGCTGTACCACGCATGTTGAGTAAAGGTAGTCTGGCCCGGATACGAGTTCATGAGTTTTTGCAAGACTTTAGAAGAAAGTTGAAAAAATGCTTCGTTCGTCATCATTTTGAATAAAACTATGCAGTAAATGCAGTTCATGTAAAATCTGAACACATACTGTCATAAGAGAGAGAAAATGAACGATAACTGTTATTATTATATGGCAAGCGTCACGTCCGACAAAATGGCGCGATTGATTGGCTCAGAAACATTTTTGCCGGTCCATTATTTTCCCGTACTCGACCACGGTCCATAACGCATAATTTTACTGCCAAATGTAAAAAAACTTCGTAACGGAAACCGCAAAACGCAAAATAACCATTTACGAAGGTGATTCGAAGGAAAAACTCTTGGAAAACAGTTTAACTATCCAGACGATACAATTTAAAACGATTTATTTTTTATGGACGAAAACTAGAAAAATGAAAACCAACCCGTAAAAACAACAAGGACGAGAAAAAAAGCGAGCTTCGTTTCAGGTGAAATAATGCCATATGAAAATCCTTTTAATAACCTCGCTTTCTCAGTCTTTACTGAGAAATATCAGACCTCTGTCTTTTTGTACACACCTCGCCCGACGGGGTCGGTCTGTACAAAAACACCTCGGTCCGTTATTTCTCCGCAAAGATCTCTAGCTAGGTTATTAAGGGCTTATTAACTCATCCAAAATATTTAGTCAATATACTTTTCAAAGTCTTTTCCAGAAAAGGAAATTCCAATCGTACAAGTTTTTATAAATGCTCCGTGGAGTGCAACATAAACTACGCAAAAAGCCAAGCAGCTCATTATGTAGAGTATGCGTTGCCTATCATAAATATTTTTATAACAAATTTACTTCTATTATCACTGCTGATGATATTAGTGTGACAACGCCATGTATTGCAATATAAAATTGGAAGATTTACAGCAATTTCCGAAAACGTTTTCTTCGCTACTTGCAGTGGCCATTTTGCAAAATTACAATATAACGTGTATTGCATTTTATCGGCCAACAAAGTCAAATTCTCGACTTGCACACGACAAAACCTCTCCTGAACTTTCCTGAACTTTCCTGCGAGCGAGTAAGAAGTCGTCGATGTTGCATGTTATCAATGTCTGCGGAGTCGATCACTTCCGCTGAAAGCTGTTATTGAGCAGTATCAATCATTTACTTAATAATTGCTAATGGTGCATAAATTAATTACTCATTACAAATATTTTATTAGCTAAGTGACACATTCCTTGTCAGCTAGGGCATATTTTATACTGTCGATATCACTATTATTTCTTTCATTTGTGACAACATCATGTCTTTAAGTCTACAGTCAGAAGATTTACAAGAATTCCTGAAGATTCCTGAATTCTACGCTTCAGAATACAACAAACCAGAATTTCATGATCGCATTCTTGTGTTTGATGTCGTGGCAGACAGTTTGGAAAATAAAACATTGCTTGCAAAGAAGTCAATCAATGAAGAGAAAACAGGTGAAAATTCATTGACTGTCAAGAATCCAGATGATCAAGAAAATATTATCGAAGATGATGTAAAACCTAAAGACGAAAATATTGAAAGTGAAACAGGAAATACTTCCGCCCAAAGTGAAAGCACTTTGACAGATAACAAGGAAACGCAATTTGGCATAGGAGATTTACAGTCTAGCTTAAAGGATGAAATAAATGATTCAATCATCATTCGACAACATAAGATTTTTGTGCACAGCTCGTGGCTAGCTGTACAAAGCAACTATTTCCGCTCACTTTTCCTGTCAGGTAGTTGTTACTTACGTGTCATGTCATGTGTACAATTAGAAGCAAATATTGTGTTAACAGTGGATACTACATTCGGCAAATTTCCGCTCACTTTTCCTGTCAGGTAGTTGTTACTTACGTGTCATGTCATGTGTACAATTAGAAGCAAATGTTGTGTTAACAGTGGATACTACATTCGGCAAATTTCCGCTCACTTTTCTTGTCAGGTAGTTGTTACTTACGTGTCATGTCATGTGTACAATTAGATGCAAATATTGTGTTAACAGTGGATACTACATTCGGCAAATTTCCGCTCACTTTTCCTGTCAGGTAGTTGTTACTTACGTGTCATGTCATGTGTACAATTAGAAGCAAATGTTGTGTTAACAGTGGATACTACATTCGGCAAATTTCCGCTCACTTTTCTTGTCAGGTAGTTGTTACTTACGTGTCATGTCATTTGTACAATTAGATGCAAATATTGTGTTAACAGTGGATACTACATTCGGCAAATTTCCGCTCACTTTTCCTGTCAGGTAGTTGTTACTTACGTGTCATGTCATTTGTACAATTAGATGCAAATATTGTGTTAACAGTGGATACTACATTCGGCAAATTTCCGCTCACTTTTCCTGTCAGGTAGTTGTTACTTACGTGTCATGTCATTTGTACAATTAGATGCAAATCTTGTGTTAACAGTGGATACTACATTCAGCAAATTTCCGCTCACTTTTCCTGTCAGGTAGTTGTTACTTACGTGTCATGTCATTTGTACAATTAGATGCATATATTGTGTTAACAGTGGATACTACATTCGGCAAATTTCCGCTCACTTTTCCTGTCAGGTAGTTGTTACTTCTGTGTCATGTCATTTGTACAATTAGATGCAAATATTGTGTTAACAGTGGATACTACATTAGGCAAATTTCCGCTCACTTTTCCTGTCATGTAGTTGTTACTCAAGTTTCATGTCATTTGTACAATTAGATGCAAATATTGTGTTAACAGTGGATACTACATTCGGCAAATTTCCGCTCACTTTTCCTGTCAGGTAGTTGTTACTTACGTGTCATGTCATTTGTACAATTAGATGCAAATATTGTGTTAACAGTGGATACTACATTCGGCAAATTTCCGCTCACTTTTCCAGTCAGGTAGTTGTTACTTACGTGTCATGTCATTTGTACAATTAGATGCAAATATTGTGTTAACAGTGGATACTACATTCGGCAAATTTCCGCTCACTTTTCCTGTCAGGTAGTTGTTACTTACGTACCATGTCATTTGTACAATTAGATGCAAATATTGTGTTAACAGTGGATACTACATTCGGCAAATTTCCGCTCACTTTTCCTGTCAGGTAGTTGTTACTTACGTACCATGTCATTTGTACAATTAGAAGCAAATATTGTGTTAATAGTGGATACTACATTAGGCAAATTTCCGCTCACATTTCCTGTCAGGTAGTTGTTACTTACGTACCATGTCATTTGTACAATTAGATGCAAATATTGTGTTAACATTGGATACTACATTTAGCAAAAATTTCTTTCAAAGGAGTAAGACAAAAGATTAAATATGTCCGCAGTCCGCACCGCATTTGTATAAGTCACACGGAATAAGCTTACGAATGAACGAGATGCTGAGCGAGTGCGAGCTCGGGCATTATATAAGAATACTATTAATTTCAATAATGTTTTACAAAAAGCTTACTTTTAAGGTGTTTTTTAAAATATAAGGATTTATGAACCTGTAGCAGGCACCTCATAAAACCTTAAACTTTTTACTTGCAGACTTTAAACAATCCAAATCTAGAGAAGTTCATCTGATGGTCAGTGAATCAGAGGAAACGTCTCATTTGTTGATGCTGAAAGCTGTTTACAACTCTGACATATTAAATGAAGCCAGTGTAGAAGACCTTCTGGCCGTGATGGAGCTTGCTGACAAGTACGACTTGCGCTTTCTTTTCAGGAAATGTAAATACGTTCTCAAAACCCACGTGACAATTAGAAGCAAATATTGTGTTAACAGTGGATACTACATTCGGCAAATTTCCGCTCACTTTTCCTGTCAGGTAGTTGTTACTTACGTGTCATGTCATTTGTACAATTAGATGCAAATATTGTGTTAACAGTGGATACTACATTCGGCAAATTTCCGCTCACTTTTCCTGTCAGGTAGTTGTTACTTACGTGTCATGTCATTTGTACAATTAGATGCAAATATTGTGTTAACAGTGGATACTACATTCGGCAAATTTCCGCTCACTTTTCCTGTCAGGTAGTTGTTACTTACGTGTCATGTCATTTGTACAATTAGATGCAAATATTGTGTTAACAGTGGATACTACATTCGGCAAATTTCCGCTCACTTTTCCTGTCAGGTAGTTGTTACTTACGTGTCATGTCATTTGTACAATTAGATGCAAATATTGTGTTAACAGTGGATACTACATTCGGCAAATTTCCGCTCACTTTTCCTGTCAGGTAGTTGTTACTTCTGTGTCATGTCATTTGTACAATTAGATGCAAATATTGTGTTAACAGTGGATACTACATTAGGCAAATTTCCGCTCACTTTTCCTGTCATGTAGTTGTTACTCAAGTTTCATGTCATTTGTACAATTAGATGCAAATATTGTGTTAACAGTGGATACTACATTAGGCAAATTTCCGCTCACTTTTCCTGTCATGTAGTTGTTACTCAAGTTTCATGTCATTTGTACAATTAGATGCAAATATTGTGTTAACAGTGGATACTACATTCGGCAAATTTCCGCTCACTTTTCCTGTCAGGTAGTTGTTACTTACGTGTCATGTCATTTGTACAATTAGATGCAAATATTGTGTTAACATTGGATACTACATTTAGCAAAAATTTCTTTCAAAGGAGTAAGACAAAAGATTAAATATGTCCGCAGTCCGCACCGCATTTGTATAAGTCACACGGAATAAGCTTACGAATGAACGAGGTGCTGAGCGAGTGCGAGCTCGGGCATTATATAAGAATACTATTAATTTCAATAATGTTTTACAAAAAGCTTACTTTTAAGGTGTTTTTTAAAATATAAGGATTTATGAACCTGTAGCAGGCACCTCATAAAACCTTAAACTTTTTACTTGCAGACTTTAAACAATCCAAATCTAGAGAAGTTCATTTGATGGTCAGTGAATCAGAGGAAACGTCTCATTTGTTGATGCTGAAAGCTGTTTACAACTCTGACATACTAAATGAAGCCAGTGTAGAAGACCTTCTGGCCGTGATGGAGCTTGCTGACAAGTACGACTTGCGCTTTCTTTTCAGGAAATGTAAATACGTTCTCAAAACCCACGTGACAACTCTAGATACATGTCGACAGGTTATGCATATCATTAAAGAGAAGCACGATTTTGGCAATGCTGAAGATCTTCTACAAACAATGGAAGATACTATGGGCAGCAGTTTTGGGCTTTTAGAACAACATGTCAGAACAGAAAAATTTACGAGTCAGTCTAAAGCTTTCATTAAGCATCTTTTGCACAGTGAGACACTTCAAACAGGCCATGAGAATACTGTGTTTCGAGCACTTATGCATTGGATGGAGGTGAACAATGTTGATCCAGATTCCCTAGGAGATGACGAAGACTTCTTACAATCAGTGCGATTTGAATGTTTGTCTTTAGACTATTTGTACAACGTTGTCAGAAATCATCCAGTAGCAAACAAAATGCCCGGATTCAACAAATGTATGCTCTTTGCCATGACGTATCACGCTTTGAAGGGCGAAGCCTCATTGGATAATATTGCTCCCAGACTTCGACAGGCACTTCCCCCAACGACATCTTTATTCACTTGGATTGTTCCAAGCTCACAATTTAAACTTAGCAGAAAGCGAAATTTAACTTCAGAATTTTTTTTTCTTTCTGGCTACAAAGCAAAGATGCTGTTGCAATATCATTCACATGACGCTAGCAATTATAGATTTCTAGTTGTGTTGACCCTTCTTGAGTTGCCAGAAAAAAGTAAAGTTAATTTAACCTGTTACATTAATACGCCTAATGCACGATTGTTTCTGGAGACGAGATTCGACTATGCTGTGTTCACACACGATAATCCGTCACAAAGTACTCCTCAAATTGAAATTAACAAAAAATGCATTAATCAAGACGTCGTTATAAATATAAGAGTTAATTGAAACCTGTAGTATGTACCATGAACCATTGATTTATGACATTTTGAAAGCAAAATAATTAGTTAAGCGATGCAGTTGAAGTTGAAATTATCTACTTTGTTAAATTAATCTTCTATAACTAATGACTTAATGGTAACGTATTTACAGTTCCCTGTTTTACTAAAAACTTTTTGGTTGAAAACAGGAGCCTCAAAATAACTTATATAAATGCATAAAAGCAATTGCACTATGTTTAGATATTTCAAGAAACTTGATGCCCAATGTATTGTCTTTAACCCTATGAAATTTGTATCTAGTCTAGTTCTTCTAGTTTTTAAACAAAAATACAACGAATAAAATCATAGTTTGAAGACTTTAAAGTCACTGGGTCACCATTTAATTAATTAATTTACACATCATTAAATGAAGGAAAGAAAATGCATAATTCTTATTTTTCATGAATTTAAAAGCATAGAGGAGAAAATACGGGAGGCTTTTGTTATGAAAGATACCATCTTAACTCAAATGCATAGAAAAGGTAAAGGTTGAATTAAGTTACAAATTTGTTTGAAACATTGCGTTACGAAGATTAAGATAATTATAGGATCATTCACTTTTTGTGAAAATGAAAGAGACTTGCTTTGAAAGGATATGTATCAAAACAGAAAAAATATTCGATTTTGCAGCTTTTAAAGCATTTTTATGCCGAGATATTGTTACAAGAGCTTTTATGCAGTGAAAGTATATTAGTAATTAGGAATTTATATAATATTTTGTGATATTTTCACAATCTCGATCATTTGCTTAAAGCGTGATGTCTATGACATCAATTCACTTCGTTTTGTGACTGTGTATTTATTTGCTACATGAACGTACTGCGTACCTATTTTATTGCAGAGTGCGTATATTGACTTCATCCACCTACACTACACTATGGCAATCTAACAAAGCTGTGTTAAAGTAAAAGTTCGATAAATAAAAATAGACATTTTAAAGATTCAAGCGCAGTTTTAACTACAGCAATACGGTATACATTGTTAAAACGCAATCTTTTGTAGTAGCGGTTAAAATTTTAGAATTACTGGAAGTTCACATTTCACTCCAAAACCACAGAATAAAAATATACAGAAGAGTCACTCATGTCGGAACCTTTTATGTTTTTGTCCTCGCGCATGTCATGCCGCGCATGGTGGGCGCCATTATTCCAGCCAGGTGATTTGGATTTTTGACTTTTTCCAAACCTTTAAAATGGTCCGAAGTCATTTCTTGAGTCAAAATATACTTTAATTCATTATTAAATATTGACGTCATGTAATTTTAATGGTTGGAAACAAGTGAGAAATCCTAATCATCTGGATGGAATAATGGCCTACATGAGGACGCGTTGTACACTTAAGTGACCCTTTTGTATAATCATTATTCTGTGCTAAAACCATGATAAAAACGGATACATGACACTCCACGCTATTCTTATTTACGTATTTTTTTTTTGGTTTTGCAATTTGTCACAACTTGGAAGCTGTGACTTTGTTGGTGAAACTTTATTGTTTTAATAATTTTGAAATATAACATCTTGTTTTTTTTAGAAAACACCTGTAAAACCAATGTAAAAAATAACATGACATCCTATTTGCATCGCTATGCCACATGATACACGACTTTGCCGTGCAAAAAGGTGGAAGTCGATAATGCCCCCCCCCCCTCCCCCTTCATTGAAATAATTACATATTTCTATTAAGCAATCATACCTCAAATACGTTTGCCATTAGTGTTGCCGCACTATTTGCAAATAGATCAATCATATGTCTCATTCTTGGTCTTTCCTAAATCACGATAAAGATCATTGTCAAGAGTTTTGAAGACTTGTGAATCTCTGAGCGCGAGCATAAAGCGTAGCAATACGTGGACAAAAGATATGAAAGGCAATACATACAACACTAATTTATTGTTTTCGTCTCTTTTTAGGAGCACACGGAACATTTTTAGTAATTGATGTACACTTAAAAGATTCATGTATCGTAACGAAAAAAGCACTGACGGCAAATGCACAGTATAAGGAACAAACATTAAGACCACTCTACTCAGCCCTTCTCCATTTGTAAGAAAATTTCCAAGGAGGTTTCAAACTGGTAAAAAGAGAAAAGCAGACAATGGGAAGGTAAATCTAATGAAAGGAAAATATCTTAAAAAGTGTGAATTGCATCCTTCATTACCCATATGACTAGCATAGTGGTATTCAGTAAAAGGCATTTTCTGACCTATAGGAGCATTGAAACTACAACCAATTATGTAATCAAACATGAACCGAGTTGCGCAGTGAAGTGTTTTGTTTCTCCTATTTCTGCAGCTACGACGACTTATGCACATGCAGTAATCAGCAGACATTCCATTTCTAATGCTTGAATTGAATCATTCATTCAGGCTTTCCTCCTTGGTAAACAAATATATTTAGTGGGTCGGATAAAAAGTAGAATCTGCTTTTGTTTTCACATCAAGGCCCCCTAAGTACATACAAAACATTCACGAAATTGCAGACAATATGAATGACGTTAGTTTGGCATAATTCTCTTGCGTACAAGGCAACAACATTTTAGCATTGAAAATGATCAAGAAGAGAATTGTTAATGTTTCTTACATTATTATCTTTAGTTGGTATAATTTGATCATTTCCAGTATTAGTCCCACGATATAATTGTTGAATTTCCTCTTCACTTAATTGCTGATGACCTCTGAACAGAGCAAAGAATTTATTTCCTCAAAAAGCAAGCTTTGTCGATTATTAAAGCGTTCAAAACCAATGGTACATTATAGAAGTAGAATCTTCAATTAAATTATGGCTCTTTTATTAAAACATTAACGTTGAATTCATTATAAAGACATTTCAAATTTGCTTTCTCCAATACGTTGCTAATAAGAGAAATTACAAGACATCACGCAGTACTGCAGTGCAGCGTGCATAGCTCTAACTTCAGCTATTTAAGTTCTGAAAGATTACCATTATAGATTTTTATAGAAATCTATTGTCGTCACAGTCAGTAAACACGAAAATATTTGCACAGGGGTAAAAATTTGTGTTGGCTACGCTACTGTCAACATGATTCAAGTTTATCTAGACTTTTACAATAAGTTTGAAGAATTCGAAGTTGCGACAAACCAGAGCAATTTGTTAAAAATTATTTAAACGAACTCAAACAGCGTACATAAATGTTACAATTTCAATGTCCTTTTATACTTTATCGTTTTAGCTATATCAGATACTCCCAACCGTAAAGATACTAACGATCTAAAACATCTCACCTGTATGCAGTGCCAGGCATTATATTTTGATAGGAATCAATTTTCATCATAATTCCCTGTATGAATATAGATGATCGGAATCGGTTTGTGCATTAAACACGAACTTAGAAAGATTTACTCTTACAAAACGAAGTAAAGTTTTACATTGAAGAATGAACTTTCTGTAAAAACATGCACGCGGCTTTTTTTCAAAACTGTTGATTCATGCAGTCATAGCTACTAACTGACTTTTTTTCATATGAAAACAAAACATCAAGTGTTTTAGATTACTTGCTAATAGCTAGTTTCCTGAATTCAACTTTGTCAGAAACAAATTTTTATAATCCCCAGCAAGGTATATGATTGTTAAAAATTAAACGTTGTAATAATTGTGATTACTATAAAAATTTGTCTTTCTTTTAGAGTCATTCACTCGTTAAAATTAGTATTTACCTTATTTATGTCGATATGCAGACCACGTATGACAAAATCGGGATCGTACTCCATGACCTGCAGCTCATTTGGGTACTAAATTGAGTATTAACGAGGAAATTTTAACCAACTTGATTTTAGCCCCATTTCTTGTTGATTCGTATTTAGAAATTTCCCAATTTAATGAAGGCTATGAAATGGTCCAAATACGCACGTTGTAATCGTCGATGAGTCTTCTCAAAGCCATTTGATATATTAAACTGTTCAATTCATCTGTATAGTGTGCCAAAGTGTAATCGTAGTCGAAGCCATACACAGCAATATCTCGCAAGCTGAGTTCATTGTTTACGAACACTGACTTTTCATTCATCGTTTTACAATGCCTTGTCTCTGTAACAAAGAATTTACTGCTTCAAATAAGAAGGCAGAAATTAAAATGAATTTAAATTTGTTTGTGTAGCTACCTAACAAACTTTGTGAAAATTACTGAACTGAAAAATAAACGTACAAGTTAATTAACAGATTATAGTTTTTTTTCATTTTGAAAAAGAAAATTATATAGTAATATGTTAACAGAAACATCTAATAGTAACAAGAGTTTTTCTAAGACAAAGCAGGAAGGACATTTTTTGTCTCATTACAAATACAGTCTTGCTTTTGGATAACATAAAAACATTGCAAAAAAGAAAAGCTGGCAGGTCTGCCATTCTTCATTTAAAAAATTACAATCCTTTGTACATGCTCAATGCACTGAAAAATCCGCCCTACACCTCATATTCATTAATCTTTCGTTCATAGACTTTCAAAACACTGAATATGTGATACGCATACTAGCTATAGTTTTCTCTACCGTTGAAACAGTCATGTTTTCGTGACACATATATCTCTTTCAAGTTGCTTGCAGTCTTTCTTTCAACCAAGTAAGATGAAATTTGTCTTTTAAATGATTTTCCGTTGTAAAATTTTTTTACTTTGATAGAGGAGCAAACAGTTTTTAATACATACAAATATTTGAAACAGCGACAGTTTATCACTTCCGCCATTGTTATTTTCAAAATTTTTATATTTTTTTACAAAGTTCAAAGGTCGATGTCACTGAGCTAATTTGGATCTGGAGCGATTTCTTCAGTAATTTTTGTTTCCCTAAAAGTTACTTCAAGAAACATAAATCAGTTTGCTTCTGCTGGCACGCGATAAAAAATATGGAAAGGACAATTTAATAACAGCTTTTTTGCAACTTGTAAATTTTTTTGTTTCAACCATTCATGGCAAATTGTTTAGTATGACCATATATGTCAAATTAATTAAACTACTTTGCAACAGCCGTAATAAACAAAGAAAATTACTTTTGCATAAATAAAAACTTTGTTTTTAAATAGATACAATCCATTCTACACCACATCACTAGACTTATGTACGGCCAGAGCATAAAAACTTTTTTTACACAGAAATCTAGAGGCAACATTAATTAACTCAAAAAAATTAGAAGTCAGTTGGATTATGTGATTATACCCTGTAGCTGTTGTCATTTGTCAGTTCTCAAATAGCTGCTATCAAAAATGGTTCTTTAGGTTAAAGAAAAACGAATCAGCATTTAAAATAATTGCAAATACTAACTCATTCTCATACTGAATATGACTTAATGTAAGTCGAAACATGTTTATGGTAAAGAATTTTGTCGTTTATTTTAAATGCTTAATCAATCTGGTGCTTCTGAGATCATACGGAAAAACGAATGAAACGTAATAATACAATGAACGATCTTCACATCTAATTCTGTAAATTTTCGGAGCAAACAAGGCGATAGCAAACAACAAATAATTTTAGTTAAGAATGCTGTGATAATATTTATGCTTTGGCGCCAATTAAGTGTGTCCCTTATACTGCAGATCTTCTGCCATATTTATGTCGAGTCAAAAACTAAAGAGGTTCATGTAATGGTCGGCGAAACAGAGGAAACGCATCCAGGGGCGGATCTAGGATTTTTCAAACATCAGTCATAAAACATCGGAGCCGCTCCGCACCTGGGGGGGGGGTCTGAGGCATTCTCCCCTGAGAAATTTTGAATTTCAGAGCCTTAAAAATGCCATTTTCAGCGTTTTAGAGCAATACAAAATGTATTTTTTGGGCATCGTTTTTGCGTAAAAACAACACATTTTGCTTACGTTTTTTTCAAAAAAAAATAAAAATGAAGTGAACAATACTTGAATGTTTTGCCAAATATTTAGGCTCATTATCATGCCAAATATATGGCTCATTAGCATGTCTAGCAACGTAAAATTTATTTTACAATAATGCTATTCAAAAACAGATACAATCTTTAAAAATTTCTACCAAGTTGTCAGGCATGGACCCCCTAGAGACCCCCATTCAAACCTCTATGTAATGAGTTATATTAGAAATTTGGTACTACAAGTGACAGTTCATAGATATAGAAAAGCTCAGACTTCAAACCATGCAAGTTTATTGTAACTCTTTACCCATCTCCTCATCAGTGCCAGCAAATTCACTTTTTGAGAAAAAACTCAAAATTTTTTTCTGCCAAAGATTAAGCAAAAATTATCAGAGTGAAAATTTGCAGTTAAGGACAGCTTAATGCCATAAATCTTTATTAGGCATTTCACTAGACTATTATCTCCTGTAAGTATATGCAAGGTGTGCTATATAGCAATCACTAGTAGCATTGTATTTGCGAATACAAACAGAATGTAACCAACATGTCTTTAATTATATAATTACATGAATGTTAAAATTGGTTCATGTGTCATGGTTACTGGTTATGATAAATATCTCTTCATATGATCAAAGCTCGTTTAAATGTAAATCTGAAATAATTTAGTTTAGAAATTATAATGATCATCAGAAAAATTACCCAGTGATCATGAAAAATACTTTGCTATTTTGCCAAATTTCAAGGTTTATCTGCATAAATAGAAAGACATTTTTACTTTATAGAAAATGCTTTTTATACATCAATAGCCCTTTGGAATTTATGGCAAACAATCTGGTATGAGCTGTAGATTAACACACCTTTACATCTCTACATGAGGTGTTCAGTTAGAAAAGGGGACAATATGTGACATGGGACAACATTTCATGTATGTGAAATACTCAGGTTTAATACCATTCCAGTCAAATTGTCAAAATAAAAAGCTTCATGGATCAGAAGACTCAAAATCACAGGTTATAGTAAACAGCTTCTCATGTAATCAATGTTAGTTTTCTTAAATCTTAAACAATATGTAGTATAACTGTCCAATGATTGAATGATCAATGATCAAAAACTGAAAAGCCCCAAACATTTGTTTATGATAAAGTAAATAATAGTATGGCGCCTTATGGCTGCAGATTTTTTGTCCATTGAAATATATTTGCATGAATGTAGGATTTCGCTGCCATATAACGGCCATGATTCCCCAAGCACTAAAGAAATCATAGCTAAAAGTCCTTCGGCAACAACAATTTTAGAAGCATTTGATATATTACATTCATGCATACACTTCACTTGTCCTTTACTTACGATTTTGGATGTAAATTTCTGCTGATAAAACTCAAAACAATGTTGGCTTTCTATTGAACATCAATGACTGAAATGTCGCTCGCGAGATCGTCTTTGCCAAGCATTTACAATTTATACATAAATTTTTGTATAAATTGTAAATGCTTGGCAAATGGTCAAGCCACCCCGCTTATCAGTCGGTTATTGCAGGTCAATTGAAATTCAACTGATCTGGTTACCAATGAGATATTCATTGGATTAGTCATTAGTTTTCAATAATAAATAAAGCTGGATTTTTATCACGAAGTAAATGCGATAATAAAGTAAGAATAATTAATGAATTTTTAATTAACATGAATAGGTAATTTTGGAATTTCAAACATCAGTCGCGCGACTGATTTGACATACTCCAGATCCGCCCCTGAACGCATCAACTGATGATGCTGGAAGCGATTTACATCTCTGACATATTCAATGAAGCTAGTGATGGAGCCGACAAACAAGTGCAAACTGAGCAGCTTGCGCTTTTTGCTCAAGAAATGTGAATACTCACAAGGTTAAATAGTTGGAATGTTATTAAACAAAAAAAATGACAGCATAATGCTATAACTAACAACTACAAACAATAACGACCTTATCTAACAGCCTTTGAGAAATTAACCTTCCACTCCTCTTCCTTGTAAATGAGAGAAGCCTACTCAACAGCAGAGAGCCTTATACGCTACAAGTCCAGGGCTTGTGACCGGTATAGCAGAGTTAAAAGGTGAAAGATTTATCATAGTTTAATCAACTGAATATTCCTGCTCATATTAGTTTGGAAGCATGTTGAACAGTTCATATGGACAAAGCTCGAATTCCATATTAAATATCAGTAACATAATCCGGTGTTAATGTTAGACAATACATCATTGACCTTCAGTGAAAGCATCTCGCTTTCCACTGGAAAAGAATGAATCTAATATCGATGCTTGAATACGTTCTTAAAACCCATGCGATAAACCTATATACGTGCAAGCAGGTCATCCAATTTCGACAATCTTGAAGATCTTCTAAAACTTGGCATCTTAGCAGAAAAATGAAATTGTGTCGTGTGGGTGTGGTCAATAGCGTGACCAGAAGACACAAATCATTCATGTGCACAATGCGTCAAATTAAGTCTTGTAAACACGTGCAGACTGCAAAGTGTATTTAATTATTAATGTGGTCGAGTGTATATTGTCAGATAACTAAGCTAAAAAGAGAAGCGAAAGCAAGCAAAACACGTCGCATCTAGAGCTTTAGGAAAGGGAAGGAAGTTTCATTCAAAATGCGGGAAAATGGAAAATACCAACAGTGATGGAAATTCTGTGTTTCAATTTCAAAAGTAGAACTGGAAACACTCTACTCACTAAGTCAGTCAGTGATTAACTTGTTCCAAGAACTTGTGTAATCGACTTTCGAATTTTTTTAAATACTGTCAAAAGTACTACTATTTGTGTAATTTGTGATAACACCATGTCTTTAGATCTACAATTAGAAGATTTAAAGAAATTGTCAAAGATGTACGCTTCAGAATACAACAAACCTGAACTTCATGACCGCATTCTTGTATTTGATGTCGTGCCAGACGGTTGGGAAAATAAAATATTGCTTGCAAAGAAGTCAATCGATGAAGAGAAAACAGGAGAAAATTCACTTACTTTAACATATCAAAATAATGATAACAATGTTGGCTATGATGAAAAATTAAGAAACGATAATATTAAAAGTGGAACAGGAAGTACTTCCGGTCAAAGTGAAGGAAAGCAAGCTGTCACAGAAGGCTCAATGTCTGACTCAGAGAATGGAACAAATGCTTCAATCATTCGAGAACACAAGATTTTTGTGCATAGCTCATGGCTAGCTGTACAAAGTAACTATTTCCGCTCACTTTTTTTCTCAGGTATTTGATAAAAACAATACAAAACAAAAATAGCATAATGCTTTGTCCAACAACTATAAACAATAACAACCTTATCTAACATTTTAATGTCAACTTCCACCCATCTTCATTGCAAACAAGAGAAGTCTATTCAAAAATTGAGGATCTTGCGCTACAAGTCCTGGGCTTGTAAACAGTAGCGTAGCCAGCCTGCAGATTTACTCCCGCTATGTAAATTTTAAATATTTACCATTATTCATTTCTTTAGAAATTTATTGTTCTCACGGTCAGTGAACACAAATATATTTGCATAGCGGGAATAAAAAGTCGAGCTGGCTACGCTACTGCTTGTAAAGTGGTCTAGCAGAGTTGAAAGGTGAAAGGTTTATCTTAGATTAATCCACTAAATATTCCTGTTCATTTTTGTTTGGAAGCTTGTTTAACAATTCATATGCATTAGTTCAAGTTGTAGCGCAGGGCTCTCTACTTCTGAATAGGTCTTGTTAACAAGGAAGAGAAGTGGAAGGTTAACATTCAAATGTTTTTAGATAAGGTCGTTATTGTTTGTATTTGTTGGATAATTAAAACATTATGCTAATTTTTTTTGTGTTGTTTAATAACATTCCAAACTATTTATCGTTTACGTAGTTATCATAACTCATTGACTATGTCAAATGAAGAATTGAATTATGCTGACTTTGTAATATTATATTAGTATGAAAATGGTAGATATGATTTGAACATAAATACCATAACAATTAAGGCAAACAAGTTTTAGAAGAAAAAAATGGTTGACTGCCATGCCTGATCAAGTGTTAGACAAAATAAACTGTAACAGCCCAAACTTACATTAATACATTTACACCATGTCTAATGAATTTTCATAAAATAAAGTTCTAGTAGCAATGAAATTACATTTACTATATTTTGAGATCCAAATACATCCAAGAGTGAGGTGTTGTAATTTGATCTTTAAAAATGCGCTAATTGTCATTGACGAAATCATAAATCACAAAAGTTGATTGCCAAATCATAAATCCATGATCACCTTGAAATACAGGAAATTTCCAAAGCAAATAAAGAAGGATATATTTTCTAGTATAAATAAAATACATTAATCATTTGGCATAATCTGGTTAAACCTATGAAATGAATCTCACCAGGCGTCAGTCGTGTCATTATGTCAATAAAAATATAATTATATTTATTACAATTTTTGACACCATTTGGCTATCTTGACTTTGGCATGTAGCGCAAAAGTACATATCACTTTAACTTATAAAATTTTTAAATTTTTTATTTTTAATATACATTTTTCAAAATGATAAAACTGCTCATCTACCTGGAGAGGAGGAAAACCGTACAGTTAAAGCTGTTTTTTCATTTCAGGCATGAAAGAATCAAAATCTAGAGAGGTTCATGTAATGGTCAGTGAATCAGACGAAAAGCCTCATTTGATGATGCTGGAGGCTATTTACAACTTAGACATATTAAACGATGCTAGTGTTGAAGATCTCTTGGCAGTGATGGAGCTTGCTGATAAGTACTATTTAACACTTCTCTTCAGGATATGTAAATACGTTCTTACAATGCGTGTGACAACGCTAGATGCATGCAAACAAATCATGTACGTCATTAGAGAGAAGCATAATTTTGAGAATGTTGAAGATCTTCTACAGTTAATGGAAGTTACGATGAGCAAGAATTTCACTCCTTTAGAGAAGCATTTTTACACAGAGAAATTTACGAGTCAGTCGAAAACGTTTGTTCAGCATCTTTTATACTGTAAGACTCTTCAAACACGTCATGAGAATACTGTGTTTCAAGCACTTATGCATTGGATGGAGGTGAACAATGTTGACCCAAATTCCCTTGGAAATGACGTAGATTTCTTACGATCAGTTCGATTTGAATGTTTGTCAGTAGACTATTTGTACAACGTTGTCAGAAAACATCCAGTGGCAAACAAAATGCCAGGATTCAAAGATTGTCTGCTTTCTGCAATGACTTATCACGCTTTGACTACTGACGCTTCGTTAAAGAGCCTCAATGACGAGGATATTGCTCCCAGGCCTCGACAGTTACTTCCGCCTACAACATCTTTGTTTACTTGGAGAATTTTAAAATCACAATTGGCAAATACCTATTCCCTAAGTTTAGTTTCAGATACATTTTGGCTTTGTGGCTACAAAGCAAACATGCAGCTTAAATATTCATATGATTCTAGGCGTTTTACATTTCAAGTTTTGTTAACACTTTTGGAGTTGACAGCAAAAAGTAGTGTTAATTTAACATGTTACATCAACACACCAGATACAGATTTTTTTTTGGAGACGGGATTTCGATATAGTGTATTCACACACACTAGTCCGTCCCAAAGTACCAATAATATTACGATTAATAATACTATTTCTAACTTTGCTATTAATATAAGAGTTGGTTAAAACATTCTTATACAAATTTAATGAGAACAGTATATGTGATTATCCATTGAACAATGACATTTTTAACCCCAAAATAATTAGTAAAACGTTGTAATTAAAGTTGAAGTTCATCTGAAACAGCTTTATTCGTATTTAAGTCAATAGATCTCTTAAATAAAATATCAGGCACGTAATGCGTGAAAAGCACTTTGCAGTGAATTTTTTCCTGTGACGGCATTTTGCCAACATCTCAGATCTTTTGTTCAACATGCCAATCTTCTCTTCTAAACATAGACAATGTGATTCACCCTCCTCTTTTTTACCGGTGTGCAGAGGCGTAGCCAAGGTATTTTGCGCCCGGGGGCAAACTACCCTGTGCTTGCATGCTGCTGCGGTCTTGCTTGTGACCTGTTTTTTACCCTTGTAAAAATTTTGTAAGCCTCATTTTAGAGCCCCTGTACCTTGGCGCCCGGGGACATATGTATCCCGGCGCCCCCTCTAGCTACGCCTCTGCCGGTGTGCGCTTCAATAATGATAGTAAAAGGTATCTCTTGTTCTTTGAGTTGCCATGCATCTCCAGAGAGTTCAGTTTTGTTTCTGTGGTGAACTGATAGTAAAAGGTTTCTATTGTTCTTTGAGTTGTCATGCATATCCAGAGAGTTCAGTTTTGTTTCTGTGGTGAACTGGTGGTAGTGGCGTACTAACTTTGTAGACCAGTTATGATACATGTACCAGTTTGGATCGATTTATTGGTAATCGTTCTTGTTATTTCAGCCTCGTAAAAAAGAGATAAGGTCAGGCATTTTTCCATCAAGTTGGCTATATTTTACTTTAGCTTTTTCAGGTTTTATCGGATGACTTTACTTTATTTTTTATCCCAGAAAGCGGGCTACTAGCGAGTTGATGTGAAAAAATTCCTTTCTCTGTACATAACCGGGCCAAATATAAACAGTCCCAAAATACCAACTTTCTAAAAAGAATAGTTAATAACTTGAAAATACTTCTATACCTTCATAAAATGATATGTTGTGAAACATAGACTGGTCTTGTAACACATGCATGGACTGAAATGGAGTGTAAAACATGGATTGAACTGGACTTGTAAAACATGGGCAGGAGTGGACTGTAAAGCATAGACTGTAAAACATGGATTGGACTGGACTGTAAAACATGGGCAGGAGTGGACTGTAAAGCATGGACTTGTAAAACATGGATTGGACTGGACTGTAAAACATGGGCAGGAGTAGACTGTAAAGCATGGACTTGTAAAATATGGATTGGACTGGACTTGTAAAACATGGGCAGGAGTGGACTGTAAAGCATGGACTTGTAAAACATGGATTGGACTGGACTGTAAAACATGGGCAGGAGTAGACTGTAAAGCATGGACTTGTAAAATATGGATTGGACTGGACTGTAAAATATGGGCAGGAGTGGACTGTAAAGCATGGACTTGTAAAACATGGATTGGACTGGACTGTAAAACATGGGCAGGAGTAGACTGTAAAGAATGGACTTGTAAAATATGGATTGGACTGGACTTGTAAAACATGGGCAGGAGTAGACTGTAAAGCATGGACTTGTAAAACATGGATTGGACTGGACTGTAAAACATGGGCAGGAGTAGACTGTAAAGCATGGACTTGTAAAACATGGATTGGCTGGACTTGTAAAACATGGGCAGGAGTAGACTGTAAAGCATGGACTTGTAAAACATGGATTGGGGACTTGTAAAACATGGGCAGGAGTAGACTGTAAAGCATGGACTTGTAAAACATGGATTGGCTGGACTTGTAAAACATGGGCAGGAGTGGACTGTAAAGCATGGACTTGTAAAACATGGATTGGGCTGGACTTGTAAAACATGGGCAGGAGTAGACTGTAAAGCATGGACTTGTAAAACATGGATTGGCTGGACTTGTAAAACATGGGCAGGAGTAGACTGTAAAGCATGGACTTGTAAAACATGGATTGGGCTGGACTTGTAAAACATGGGCAGGACTAGACTGTAAAGCATGGACTTGTAAAACATGGATTGGGCTGGACTTGTAAAACATGGGCAGGAGTAGACTGTAAAGCATGGACTTGTGAAACATATAAAATGTGGATTTGTCTTGAAATGTAAAAAGGTCGGTTCCGGTTACCTTATAATAAATGATGATATAGACATTGACATAAACAACTATATAGTCACATAAAAGCAAAAAACATTTGTACATCTATAAGGTAGCGGATCTAGCGTTCGTCAAAGTAAATTATACTTGTTTAATTTTAAATTAAGAATACCTTCAGAACAAAACAACTGATTATCAACTTCTAAATAATAAACTTTTACCAATGAAGTTTCCTCAAGTTATCATTTTTGGGGGGTTTTAGTTTTGTTTTCTTTTTTGTTTACGTAAACTACTTAATTAAATCACGCTTCGTGCTGTGAAAATCAGCAATATTCTTGTCAAGATAAAAACGTTGTAATTAGCTACTTTAAGTAGAAATGTAAAATGTACTTAGAAATAAAAAATCAAAACTAAGTTAATCAACTCTGATCCAATTATTTCATATTTTACAAGTCCAACTCAATCCGTAACTTGCCTTGTGAAATCGATTATTCGGTGATACCAAATCCGGTTAAACCTGATGCAGACCGGTATTTGTCGCTTTGTAATAGCAAACGGTTCATTGCCAATTGACACGTCGCTTGTTCACCTTGGGTATTGTTAAATTTGTAACACTATCTACTCTGTAGTACAACTATTTGTATCTTTCGTAATAAGACCATGTCTTGCAATCTAGAATCAGAAGATTTACAGGAATTTTCGACGATCTACGCGTCAGAATACAACAAGCCTGAACTTCACGACCGCATTCTCGTGTTTGATGTTGTGGCAGAAAATGAAATGTTGTTAGCATATAAATCAATTGATGAAGAAGGAAAAGGAGAAAATTCGTCGACTTTAAAGGATCCAAGTGATTATCAAAATATCATCGGTGATGATGAAAAATCTAAAGACGATAATATTGAAAGTGAAACAGGAAGTGTTTCCGCCCAAAGTGAAAGCACATTGACAGACAACAAAGAAACGCAAACTGACATTGGAGACCGAGAATTCCAGTTTAACACAACAGAGAATGGCATAAATGATTCATTCATTCGACAACACAAGATTTTTGTCCATAGCTCATGGCTAGCTGTACAAAGCAACTATTTCCGATCACTCTTTTTCTCAGGTATTTGTTATTTATAAAAACCCGAGACTTCTAAAGATTTTTTGCTCGTGTTTTGTCGGTTTGTGTAAGGGCTCTTCGATTTTGAAAATAAAATGAACTTTTTATCTTTATAGTGACGTGCACACAGTGAACTCCATATATATATATATATATATATCTAATTATTATATTTAGGAAGTTTATAAGTGATGATTCTCCGTGTAAAACAGTGCGCGATGCCCGAGAGCAGAGCGTAATTATATGTAGTGATGTTGAAAAAAATCACAAAAACTACAGATTCATCCCGATAAGCCTGTTTCGTGATTTCTCACTCTTCAGGGGATTTAATGAATAAATACTTAAATGTTAAAATATATATACAAGATGACGGAAGTTAGTATATTAACTAAGGTGTATAGTTACAAGTTAGATGACGGAAGTTAGTGTATTAATTAAGGTGTATAGTTACAAATTACATAGGAGTGTTTTGGATCTATGGCGACAAGAGGAAACAAGTTCGTTGTGTTTATTGAGGGATGATTTGGATGGTTGGTAGAGGAAGAAGAATTTTTCTTTGATGCAAAGGTTGCATCTTTAACGGTTTGCTGTGTGTGATGATGTTCCATGAGATGTCGTCGTCAATGTTGCTGTCTAACACATATTTTAACATTTAAATATTTATTCATTAAATCCCCTGAAGAGTGAGAAATCACGAAACAGGCTTATCGGGATGAATCTGTAGTTTTCGTGATTTATTTCAACATCACTACTTATAATTATTGTATTTAAATATTTTATAGTTATTTAAATATTGAGTTCACTGCGTGCACACTGTCAGTGAATTACGGTGGCCCGTATGTGCCACAGCCTCTCCGTAGAAATATGTAGCTGTTCCGTACAAATCAAGTTTCTTTCGTACAAATCCGAGTGTTCTCCGTACGAATATAATGTTGCTCCATGGAAAACGAACTGCTCCATACAAATGTTAACCTTCTCCTTGTTGAAATGCTGCTTCTCGACACTTAAAGAAAGGTTGCTAAGAGCAAATAATCCCTTCTCCACGCTGAAATTATCCTTCTCTATATAAATAAACATACAGAACACTCTCTTACCCCTTGGCAAAAATAGCACACGTTCACACAGGCAGCGTCGGGGGTAACCGCTCTGATTACTGATTTTTAATTTGTCAACTGACTGTAGTTTGGCGATAACAGTTATCAGTTATAACATTTAATTTGTGCCAAAGATGACACAGGCGTCGAATCTGAGGCCAGTCACTCAATAATAGACTACTTAAGATCGGGATTTAAACTAAATTATTGAGCCAGCAAGAAAGAGCGAAAATGCATGGAATAGCTAAAGTTTCAGTTTTTTGCAGGTATGAAAGAATCAAAAGCTAAAGATGTTCATCTCATGGTCAGTGAATCAGAGGAAACGTCTCATTTGATGATGCTGGAGGCTGTTTACAACTCTGACATTTTAAATGATGCCAGTGTAGAAGACTTGCTAGCAGGAATGAAGCTTGCTGACAAGTACGAGTTGCGCTTTCTCTTCAAGAAATGTAAATGCGTTCTTAAAACGCGTGTGACAACTCTAGATACATGTCGACAGGTTTTTCACTTCATTAGAGAGAAGTACAATTTTGAGAACGTTGAAGATCTTCTACAGTCAGTGGAAGTTACGATGAGCGAGAATTTCACTCCTTTAGAGAAGCATTTTTACACAGAGAAATTTACGAGTCATTCGAAACCTTTCATTAAACATCTTTTGCACAGTGTCACTCTTCAAACACGCCATGAGAATAATGTGTTTCAAGCACTCATGCATTGGATGGAGGTGAACAATGTTGATCCAGATTCCCTTGGAAATGACGAAGATTTCTTACGATCAGTTCGATTCGAATGTTTGTCTGTAGACTATTTGTACAACTTTGTTAAAAATCATCCAGTGGCAAGCAAAATGCCAGGATTCAACAATTGTCTGCTATCTGCTATGACTTATCATGCTTTGAAAACACATGCATCGTTGAAGCGTATTACCGAGAATGATATACATCCCAGGCCTCGACAGCCACTTCCGCTCACAACGTCTCTATTCAGTTGGAATATTGTAAAATCGCAATTTTTTAGCTATGACGAGAGTCATTTTTTAACTTCAGATACATTTTGGCTTTGTGGCTACAAAGCAAACATGCAGCTTAAATACATTAGTCATAACTCTAATAGATATGTATTTCAGGTTTTGCTAACACTTCTCGACTTGCCAGAAAAAAGTAGTGTTATTTTAAGTTGTTTCATAGATACACCAGATGAAAGTTCATGCGCGGAGAAAAGGATTAAAAACGAGTTCACACACGATACTCCGTCACAAAGTACCGATAATATTTCAGTCAATAAACAATACACTCGTTCAAACATTGATATAAATATAAGAGTTGATAAAATATTCTAAAAAATTACCGAGCAAAGTATTTACAATAGCCATTGAAATTATGACTTAAGTTTAGATCTGAAGATCTAAAATATCAATCTGAAATAATCTTTATTATATGTGTAACATAACCAATCAACTACACGAATAGTTGCCATGGAGATACCTATAAGCAAAGCTGAAGTTGAAGTTAAATAAAACGGAGCTAAAAACGTATATAATATCAATTACTCAAACAATTACTTACCGCAAAAAATTTCTTTTATATTTTTTGTAAGTGTGAAAGTTGCATCTCATGTCTTTCTAACACGAACAATATATTATCAGTTGTAAACAACAAATATTTGAATTGATCGAGTTTTCAAAGATCTACGCCGACTACGCTGAACAATCCACGCAGACTACGCTGAACAATCAACGCAGACTACGCTGAACAATCTACGCTGAACAATCTACGCAGACTACGCTAAACAATCTACGCTGAACAATCTACGCAAACTACGCTAAACAATCTACGCTGAACAATCTACGCAGACTACGCTGAACAATCAACGCAGACTACGCTGAACAATCTACGCTGAACAATCAACGCAGACTACGCTAAACAATCTACGCTGAACAATCTACGCAGACTACGCTGAACAATCTATGCAGGCTACGCTGAACAATCTACGCAGACTACGCTGAACAATCCACGCAGACTACGCTGAACAATCTACGCAGACTACGCTGAACAATCTACGCAGACTACGATGAACAATCTACGCAGACTACGCTGAACAATCTATGCAGACTACGCTGAACAATCCACGCAGACTACGTTGAACAATCCACGCAGACTACGTTGAACAATCTACGCAGACTACGCTGAACAATCTACGCAGACTACGATGAACAATCTACGCAGACTACGTTGAACAATCCACGCAGACTACGTTGAACAATCTACGCAGACTACGTTGAACAATCTACGCAGACTACGCTGAACAATCTACGCAGACTACGATGAACAATCTACGCAGACTACGTTGAACAATCCACGCAGACTACGTTGAACAATCTACGCAGACTACGTTGAACAATCCACGCAGACTACGATGAACAATCTACGCAGACTACGCTGAACAATCTATGCAGGTTACGCTGAACAATCTACGCAGACTACGATGAACAATCAACGCAGACTACGCTGAACAATCTACGCTGACCACGCTGAACAATCAGCGCAGACTACGCTGAACAATCTACGCAGACTACGTTGAACAATCTACGCAGACTACGTTGAACAATCCACGCAGACTACGATGAACAATCTACGCAGACTACGATGAACAATCTACGCAGACTACGCTGAACAATCCACGCAGACTACGTTGAACAATCCACGCAGACTACGTTGAACAATCCACGCAGACTACGTTGAACAATCCACGCAGACTACGTTGAACAATCTACGCAGACTACGATGAACAATCTACGCAGACTACGCTGAACAATCCACGCAGACTACGTTGAACAATCCACGCAGACTACGTTAAACAATCCACGCAGACTACGTTGAACAATCTACGCAGACTACGCTGAACAATCTACGCAGACTACGATGAACAATCTACGCAGACTACGCTGAACAATCTATGCAGGCTACGTTGAACAATCTACGCAGACTACGATGAACAATCTACGCAGACTACGATGAACAATCTACGCAGACTACGCTGAACAATCTACGCAGACTACGCTGAACAATCTACGCAGACTACGCCGAACAATCCAAAATTTCATGATCGCATTCCAGTGCATAATGTCGTGGCAGATATTTGAGAAAAGAAATTTATTTTGTTTGCCTATAAGTCAGTTGTTGAAGAAGGAAATACCGGCGATGATGAAAAACATAAAGACAACAATATTGAAAGTGAAGTAGGATATACCTCAGGTCAAAGTGAAACCGCTTTGTGTGACTTTGACAGATAACCAGAAACACAAGCTGTTGGACTCACAGTCTGACAAAACAGTAACAAAAGATTCGCTGATATAAACGACGAAAGGTATTTTTTATCTCATTAAAAGCGCCAGTGCAATCGTACTCTTGAATCCTTTGTATATGCCACTGCAATGACAAATTTATGTTACACCTCACATTCTTTCAATCTTTGTTTACTGAATTTCAAAACAATAAATTTATAGTATGAACCCTAGCTATATATCTGGGCTAATTAAACATAATTTTCACCACCATTGTAACAATCATGTTTTCGTACTTTCACAGAGAAACATACAGTTTTTAACACATCCAAATGTCAAAAACAGCTACAGTTGATCACTTTATCTTTTCCGCCATTGTTTAGAGAAGACGCGATACCTCCAGTGGCGGATTACTAATTACGGGGCCTGTAGGCTAAGACAAAGTTGAGGGCCTTTAAGCGATATCTATTCCTCCCACTAAGTTCAGTTTTCTTTTGCTTTGAATTTCCTGTTAGTAACCCCATAGGGTGAAAAATGGAAGAAGTTCATTTTAAAGTTAAAATGAAATTTCAAAAATCATTGACATGGTCAGGGAAATAGGAAAAGCCAATACTTCATGAGTTCTGAGTATTTAACATTTGAAAAGGAGATAGTACGAAAGCCATTTTTCCTCTGCATTCAATTGCATGTAAGGTTTTCAACAGCATAAATGATCTAAGTTAAACACATTAAGCTAGCCCGGAAAGCAAAAACGTTGAAATCCTAATTGTGTCCAAATATAACGGACCTTTCGAAAGCCCGGGCCTGTAGGCTTAAGCCTACTCAGCCTACTGGATAATCCGCCCCTGGATATCACGATACTAACGATTACTTTGAAATAAAATCAAATTAGGTTCGCGATGACTATATATGGAAACTACTTTTTTCTATGACCATATATGGTAATAACAACTGTTTTGCTATGAGCTATGACCATACAAGGCAAACAATTGCTTTGCTATGACCATAAAAAGAAACAAATATTTTTCCATACCAAAAATTTTATTCAAAGGGTGATAATATCCATAAAATATCGTCAATAATTCCTATAAAACTTAAAAATTTGAAAACGCTATTCATCCAACTATGGTACATTTCTTCATGCAAAATTAACATAAATGGCGAAAACTAGAAAAGACATTGGTACTGAGATGATAGTCAGGTGCAATCTAGTCTTTGTTTTTGTCCTTTTTTTTCTTTCCGGATTTTGAAGGCGGTGGGTTGGGTTGTCCCAGCTCTGCGCGACGGAGACGTTTTTTCATTTCCAGAGGCATCTTCTCGTAGCATTTTCGGCACAACGGTTTCATATCGAACTCATGAAATTTGCTCCTGAAGAGAGAGGGCGTAAAGAAACAAATAGTTATAAATTTATGCTTTTCGTAAGGTGAACTATCTCCACGCATGCCTTTTGTGAATGCATTATGATATTAAATTTATACAGATCAGAAAAAACAGAAAATTATAAAATAAAAATAATAAAACGCGTGCGGTGATTGGTCTATAGCTGTGTTTGCGTGCGGTGATTGGTCTATAGCTGTGTTTGCGTGCGGTGATTGGTCTATAGCTGTGTTTGCGTGCAGTGATTGGTCTATAGTTGTGTTTTCATGCAGTGATTTGTCTATAGCTGTGTTTGCATTAGCCTATAGAAACAGATCTGTGCTCAAACAATCAAATCAATTGAATCAGTCAAAGTGAATTTGCAAATCAATCATGAATACACGTCGGAGGAAAAATCAAAACTTTGTTATAAATTAGTCTGTTTCGCATTATTGATATATTATAAAAGAAATAAAAGATGTTTTTCGTGTTTGCACTGACTTATTCAAACCTCGGAGACGTTTGTGCAACCCTCGACCTTCTGTCTTGCTCTCATCAAACCTCGAGTTCTCCCAAAAGTCTCCTCGTTTTTCATAAGCCTGTGCAAGCACAGTAAATATTTTTTATTTCTTAAGTGTAACCTTAAAGTGAGCTGAGTATCACAACCAAAGCAAACAAAGTGGTTGCTACACCAAAACTTCTCCATTGCGTTTACAGCTATAAAAAATAAAGACAGATGAATTAACAATTATAGAAAACAACACTGACATTCAAAAGTAAACTGATATGTTCCTCGACAGAGTTACTGTTACATACATTTGTAAGCATCTGTACAAAATGTCGTGAAATAAACTTTACGCAACCTCGAGGGATTTCATTAGAAGCATGTAACCGGCGATTTTCACCGGAAACTTTCAATATCCTCACCGGGTACTAGTACCATGTATTAAAATTTGTATTTAGTTGTAATGGAAAGTTTTCAAATAGTGCACAACCCCCCCCCTCACACACGCACGCGCGCACGCACGTGGGTCAAATGGTTTATGTGAATAACCACCCCAAGATGATCATAATCACTATTCAATGAATGCTAACATTGTGTGGAACAAGTTATTGAACACGTGACATAAAATGGTTCTTCTTCCGGTGTTACGTATGTAAAGACAAATATTTTGCTCGTAAAGAGACTTTTTTGAAATCGAAGCCAAAAACTTCGCTGTACGTCTTTCTCGCGTGTGATTGAAGTAAATGTAAGAGATATCTTTGAAAGTATTACATGAAGTATACGTACCATCACCACCAACAATTCCGTGATTACACATGAAGCAAACTTCGCCAAACAACTACGTAAACAAAACAACGTTATTTAGAATATAGTTACTTGGAGAGGTGGGATGGAAGCAAAAATATCTATGAACTTTTATTGTGTCAAAACCTTGCCTACATTACCGCTCGCGTAATTGTTAACATACGGTACGCGTATCAAACGCGTATGATACGAGAACGATACGCGTATGATACGAGAACGATACGCGTATGATACGAGAGCGATACGCGTATGATACGAGAGCGATACGCGTATGATACGAGAACGATACGCGTATGATACGAGAACGATACGCGTATGATACGAGAACGATCCGCGTATGATACGAGAGCGATCCGCGTATGATACGAGAGCGATACGCGTATGATACGAGAGCGATACGCGTATGATACGAGAACGATCCGCGTATGATACGAGAACGATCCGCGTATGATACGAGAGCGATACGCGTATGATACGAGAACGATACGCGTATGATACGAGAACGATACGCGTATGACACGAGAACGATACGCGTATGATACGAGAACGATACGCGTATGATATGAGAACGATACGCGTATGATACGAGAACGATACGCGTATGGTACGAGAGCGATACGCGTATGATACGAGAGCGATACGCGTATGATACGAGAGCGATACGCGTATAATACGAGAGCGATACGCGTATGATACGAGAGCGATACGCGTATGATACGAGAGCGATACGCGTATGATACGAGAACGATACGCGTATGATACGAGAACGATACGAGTATAATACGAGAGCGATACGCGTATGATACGAGAACGATACGCGTATGATACGAGAACGATACGAGTATAATACGAGAGCGATACGCGTATGATACGAGAGCGATACGCGTATAATACGAGAGCGATACGCGTATAATACGAGAGCGATACGCGTATGATACGAGAGCGATACGCGTATGATACGAGAACGATACGCGTATGATACGAGAACGATACGAGTATAATACGAGAGCGATACGCGTATGATACGAGAACGATACGCGTATGATACGAGAACGATACGAGTATAATACGAGAGCGATACGCGTATGATACGAGAGCGATATGCGTATCATACGCAAAATTATGTTAACAAATACGCGAGCGGTACTGCAAACCTTAGTCTAGTCATAATAATCTCTTAGCCCTAGTCTTAATCTTTTTTTAAAACTGCCACGTCAAAATGAAATTGTACACTGTTGCAAAGTTTTTTCCCGCCTTTCTCAGAATATACGTCATCCTCTTTCCAAATGAGCAAATTGGACTGTGACAAGAGGTTTAGCTTTACATGACAAAGTTGCAATGGTACAAATAACAGATTCATGATGGAGAAAGAGACGCCATCATATTCACGTCATAGAAGATTGATTATCGTTAATAGTAAGTTAACAAAGACTAATAAATTACATACCTCATTGTAATGAGTTTCACAATATGGCAATCCATTTTTTTCGTAATGCAAATGACCGTAAAATGGCTTTTCACACTTGGCACAAACGAAATGCTATCAAAAACAAAAAAGTTCAAGCTGTCAAGGGCTTGAAGCAAAATGGCCTTTTACACTAGCACGACACACGTGCGTAGCATGTTCGTAAATGATGATCGTCCAGGTTAATAAAGTCCTGAGAAGGACTGTTTTTGTTGTTGTTGACTGACGTTTCGACAACCTTAGCGGTAGTCATCTTCAGAGTCAAATGAGGAGTAAACGTCAGGTTAGCCGTATTTGTTATCTGGTTCTTACGTCATTGTATTGTGTGTACAGGAAATGTGTATTGTCATTGTGAATTAGTGTGAAGTGAAATATTTTTAGGTGTGAAGTGTAACGTCGTTATATCGTTACAAACATGTATTGATACTCCCGGGTTCAAACTATTTACTTTAACACTTGCGTAAGATGTTGGGTAAATAAAGCAAAAATGTACCTCGACACACCATTGTTTGCCAAGAGCATTCACAACTCGTTCTTCAATAGGTCGCCTGTAACAAATGTTAATGTAAGTTGTAACGGTAATACGGGGGGGGGGGCTTTAGTACGAACTCACAAAACTTACCTACAAGCCCCGCAGATTGGAGTTCCCGTGAGATCGTGACATCGCAGGCAGTACAATTCGTTGTTGCGCTTGCGACATGTGTGGTCAAGTTCTTTACTAAAAATATAAATCACGACAATTACATCAGTGAGTTTAAAACGTGCCTTTCTGAGCCATGACGTGCAAGGTCATTAAGGGGGTGAGTGGGGAGAAATACGTATTCATGTATTCATGTTCTGGCTTTAAGTTCTTTCGAAATCAATTGAGGTCAATGACGGAGATTGTGTTAATTTTTCTTGATCACAGCTTTACTTCACGTGAACACAAACCACAGACATAACGGCTATTATGAAGGTTAGCTATGTTTTTCCGGGTATTAGTCCAAATGGTGGGAATAAAAACTCTACGAAAGAAAGTTTTATGCAGTGCGGTGTTTGAAATTAAATGAAGATAGGATCTTCGCACTTTTGCTGGACAATTTAAGCAATTGTCTCATGAGAACCTGAAAAATTCAGGTGACTCAACAGGAGTTGAGTCACCTGATCCCGTTGAGTCACCTGAATTTTTCAGGTTCTCATGAGACAATTGCTTAAATTGTCCAGCAAAAGTGCGAAGATCATATCTTCATTTAATAAAAACTCTGTTAGAAGTAACTATTTTTGTAAAACAAACGAATAGTAATAAATATGTAAAGCATTATATGTACAACGATATGACGATTTCTGTTTAGTAACCTTACGTAAATGAAAAAACTGGAATCGTATTTAAGTAAGAAAAATCGTTACTTAATTTGCGCAAATCGTGGAAATTGAATAAAATCGCATTTATTGAAACTTATTGCCTGAGCTGATTGTATGATTCGTATACATTAACTGGAATCCCATCAATCATGATTGGCAGTAAAATCAAGAATATTAAATACTTACCCACAGGAATAGCAGTTGTAATGCCAGGGACATACAGGTTCACCCATGTACATAATGTGTTCTCCTTCCGGGATGTAGATACTGAAAACAGTGGAATGAATTGAAATTTAATAGATGCAAATCTAAGGTAAATAATTACGTAATACGCAAGAAAATAAAAATGACGTTAATGCCGATGGCAGTACTGGAAAAACAGCTGTCGACAAAAGTTAACTGAATGAGTGATCCAATACATATTTTAACATACACACTGGGGGCATGTGGTCCCGCACTGAAACAAAATTCTCCCCCCCCTATTTGGCGGTTTTTTTTGTAATTAATAATTCATATATTTTATTGCGGATAATACAAATTCAGTTGGCTTGTATTCATGACACGTCTCTTGTGTTGTTATTAAATTGCTCTACAAATTCATAAAATAGCGTTTACGAAATTGCAGTTTTTACAATTTCACTGGTGAAGGGTATTTTTGTACCCTCTGCCACATTAGCTCACGTTTCACGCCCTTTTGAATACAATGGTCAATCAGTATAAAATCCTTAAAATATCCCTTGAAGTGATCCGGAGAAATGTGTGAGCTTGTTTTGAGCACGAAAAAACACATTTAAGTACTATGTTAAAAGTGAAAAATAAACAAAAATGCGACAACAAAGTATTTACTGCGTAAACAAAGTTCGTTGTTAAAACAAAAAGTCAAAGAAAACAATAGAGCAGCTTAACAGGGCTAACGGTAGGCAAGAATAATGATATTTTAAATGATATATTTACGTATGTATTAAAATGTAAAAGCAAAAACTTACTGACACTTCCTGCACACGTAACGTCCAGTGCCTAAAATAAGATACCAAAATGTCACATCTCGCAAGAAAGTTATTTGAAGAGGCATTAGTTTCCTCGACGAGCACAGTATAGTGAACAAACAGTAAAGCAACACAATTCATTTTTATTGTGCCACGCATATCTTATTCCCATTAAAAAGATCGCCAAATATCAACTACACTTTTCGACCAATAGGACCACGAGCTGGCTAACCAAAGTCAATAGTCTCAATATAAAAAGTACATCCTGTTGCACAGCAAAGTGGTTCTACTGTTTGTTTATTATGCTATACTGGGATCATACAAAGCTTGTCCCACAGTTTTGATCACCCGGATTACGTAGTATCCAAACTGCGATGCTACGTAATGGCGCAAAGGTTAATGAGGTTTTTTAAAGATCGCCAATCGATCTTTAAGATTTCCTCGAATTAATAATATGTGAATGAAAAGGATGAAAACAACGTATTTTTTCCTCTCCCGCGCGAATAGTCTTACATAAAGTACTTAATCAACTTATCGTTGGACAAACATTTCCAAGGGAGCCCATTTCACTTTATACAACTCAAAAAATATCACAACTTGAAGAAAAATTTTGCTGCCTACCAATTTGCGTTTTCACATCTCAAAAAATATTACAACGTGAAGAAAAATTTTGTTGCCTACCAATTTGCGTTTTCACATCTTAAAAAATATCACAACGTGAAGAAAAATTTTGCTGCCCACCAATTTGCGTTTTCACAACTCAAAAAATATCACAACGTGAAGAAAAATTTTGCTGCCTACCAATTTGCGTTTTCACACGAAATATTACTGGCGCAATGAACGTCTGCGCAAACGAATACGATATTTATTCACACGTGCTTCACCACGGTCCAAACACGTGATACAACGACAATGCGTGTCATTGTATATATTAAAACCAGTACACAGAAACGCATACAAATTTCAGAAGATGTGGACACAATAAGGAAAACAAGCCAATGACAAATATAAGACTTACGTTTGGTCTTCTCATCAGCGTTACAGTTCTTGCACAGAGCTCTAATGAAATTACAAAACTGTCATTAAAATTTATGTAGAAATGTGAAATACAATCAGGGGCGCACATCCAAAAAACTACGGTGTTCCACATTTTGGGACCAACTTTCGTAAAGTTTTTATTTCATGAAAAATTCCACAATGATCAGCGAGACCAACTTTTTTCATCCTTGATCAGTTTTTGGACCAACTCTCTGATGTCACGACACCAAAGTCCCCCTAGTGTCACACACCACCAAAGTCCCCCTAATGTCACACACCACCGTCCCCTAATGTCACACACCACCGAAGTCCCCCTAATGTCACACACCACCGAAGTCCCCCTAATGTCACACACCACCAAAGTCTCCCTAGTGTCACACCACCAAAGTCCCCCTTGGTGTCACACCACCAAAGTCCCCCTTGGTGTCACACACCACCAAAGTCCACCTAGTGTCACACCACCAAAGTCCCCCTAGTGTTAAACACCATCAAAGTCCCCCTAGTGTCAAACACCACCAAAGTCCCCTAATGTCACACACCACGAAAGTCCCCCTAGTGTCAAACACCACCAAAGTCCCCCTAGTGTCACACCACCATACTCCCTAGTGTCAACAACAACCACACACTCTCCACTATCACCCCACCACAGCTCCTAGCTGTTGTCTCATGTAGCTGTTGTCTCATGTAGCTGTTGTCTCATGTAGCTGTTGTCTCATGTAGCTGTTGTCTCATGTAGCTGTTGTCTCATGTAGCTGTTGTCTCATGTAACTGTTGTCTCATGTAGCTGTTGTCTCATGTAGCTGTTGTCTCATGTAGCTGTTGTCTCATGTAGCTGTTGTCTCATGTAGCTGTTGTCTCATGTAGCTGTTGTCTCATGTAGCTGTTGTCTCATGTAGCTGTTGTCTCATGTAGCTGTTACATTTGTACAGCTTATAGCTGTAGGTAAAGAACAATTTGCTGCTTTTGTGGCAAATGTAATACATTATCATTTAAATGATGATGTTTTAGTACATACCTGCCAGCGTTCTTAACAAAACCACTATCAGCAAGAGTAACATTGCAAATTTCACAACGGAAGCAATCTGGATGCCAGCAAGCCTGCATGGCACGAATCACTCGACCAATAATAAAATCACCTAGATGTAAACATATAATAAATATATCAAAGTGTCTAAACACACAACCTCTAGTGCAGTGTGCGAATTAGTTGAGAAAAAACGATGTGCAATTTTTTTGACAAAAGTGTTTCTTTAGAGGCATAATCAAAGCGATATTACGTTAATTATTATATAGCGCTAATTGCTAAATTAATATTTTTAAACGTGAACAAATTCATATGGTTTACGACAGTGTTTTTCGTTAAAACCGCTGATTTTCACACATCGTTTGAAAAAGTGATGTGCAAATTGCACGTTGCACACACCGTTAATTCGCACACTGCTCTAGTGAACGTACGGTTTATAAAATACTTAGCTGTAATATATTACAAGTATATGGAAGTGCCCGCACAACAACTGATAAACTTAAGGTTTACAAAAAAACTGTCAGATATTACATACATATCAAAGTGAAACCTTAGAGAACTGAAGGTTTATGAAGAAGCTGTTACATATTTACAAGTTTATCAAGTGCCAAGATAAACATCTTGTAAACTTATAATAGATGTTACATATAGTACAAGTACATCAAAGGGCCTCTACGACCTCTAGTAAAGTTAAGATTTACGTGTGAAGAAGCTGTTACATGCTACAAGCACTGGAACAAAAACTTAAGAAATATGACATTAAAATTTCATACCACACTTCTTGCAACGTGGTGCAAACAGCGTTTGAAAGCAGTGTTCACAAAATCTGCGACCATCATACTACAAAAAAAGAAAAGAAAAGTGAGCACGATACAACCTTATGACTGAGAAAAATGTGGTTTTAGAACACAAAAGTAAGTAAAAGATTCAACTAACAAAGTACTTTATGTTTCTCTCAAAATTGCTCTTAGCTACGTAGTCAAGTCCAGTGTGCGAATTAACGGTGTGCAATGTGCAATTTGCACATTGTTTTAGCTAAAATGAAAACAATTGCACATCACTTTTTCAAACGATGTGCAAAAATTAGCGGTTTTAACGAAAAACACTGTCGTAAATCATATGAATTTGTTCAAGTTTAAAAATATTAATTTAGCAATTAGCGCTTTATAATAATTAACGTAATATCGATTTGATTATGCCTCTAAAGAAACACTTTTGTCAAAAAAAATTGCACATCGTTTTTTCTGAACAAATTCGCACACTGGTTAAGTTACAATCACATCGATACTCACGTATGTACGTATGCTAATATCGTAGTAAACAATCACATCGATACTCACGTATGTACGTATGCTAATATCGTAGTAAACAATCACATCGATACTCACGTATGTACGTATGCTAATATCGTAGTAATTATAAATGAAATGTTTGACAAACATACATTTCCACACAAACATAACCTCACACTATTTAGACATCCAGTTGCATAACAACTATAAGACCTATCCTATTGTATCCTATTGTATCCTCTTGTATCTTCTTGTATCCTATTGTATACAAATTATCCTATTGTATCCTCTTGTATCCTATTGTATCCTATTGTAAAAATTCCATAAAAATTACTAACTCTTACAACTGGAAGAACAACATACACCCCACTCAAACTCAGCTCTTGACTAAAGCAAGCCATGAACTCACACTGTCCTTATTGTCACAGTTAGAAAAGCCCTTCAAATACATAAAAAATAAAATTTCATCCTCGTGTCATAATTTAACACCTTACTACTCTGGGCATAAATAACTAACGGCCAGCTTGTGTACATCATTCTGTATTATAATGGTCTTGAAATAAGACTGAAATTTTAGAGTTTCAATTGTTTTATGTTTACGTACATATAACTTTAATCAAGTTCACAAGATGTATTTTTTTAGATTATGTGTTATAGTATATATTACGAACATGTTGCTTGGTCAAGACTTATGGTCTCTAGATGTTTTTGACGGTAAAAATAGATAACTAAAATAGATAACTATTCACACCTTGTTGATTAGAATGTGTATATTACTATTCTCATTTTGATGTTTGGAATGTATAAGTAAATGCTCACATTGATGTTTATAATGTAGATGTGACTACGTACGTACGCTCACATTGATGTTCAAAATGGCACATAACTAAATCTTCACCTTGATGTTTAGATTGCGTATGTAAACATATTCCGCTTGACATTTAAAATGTGTATGCAAGCTTACACTCATATGATGTATGGGATTGTACAATGCAAGTGTAATGAAATTCAAGCACTTTCTAATCACATATCAAGGTCATTCATATTTTGAAAAATGTATGGACAATTAAACGCTTTAATTATCAAACAAGACATCATAACATAAGAAAGCATAAAAATGAAGAACTTAAACTTATTTTCTTAATGAATAGAGAATAAATAGTGTGTTTTCATGCAAAATGAAAGCCGACTCGTAGGTACACAAGATACTTCCATGTTTCAACATAAAGATTTAAGTGTCATCTCAGCTTCTCAAAAAAAAAATTGTATACTGACATGTTTATATGAAATTTCATCAAAAAATTAGAATTCGAGGACATTGAAAAACATCTTTAAGCTTGGAATCATTTATTTTAAATCATGCCTGTACATTTACATTTTTTTGAAGGCTGCCTAAAAAATGCAGTAAGCCTTGCATGGTCCAAAGTTGTCGTGCAAACAAACTGCACTAATTCCTTATTCTTATTCATTCAAACCCAATTCCTCAAAAATTCTGGTCGGTGAATATTGCAAAACGTTATGGGAAAATTTAAAGGTCGCACTTTTCTTAAATGACCAATGTGCACAAGTACTTTGGATTGATGTTTGCATCTAGCTGTAGGCACTTGCAGTTAGCACAGCTACCTAGGATCTCAACATCTGACAGTCATGTTTTAAATTCAAGGTCATACAGGGCCATTCTATAAAAACTGTGTAGTAATTGTGAGAAAATACAAAATGTATATTTTTTACTTTAATCTAACCTCATGGACATTCAATAAAAACTGTGTAGTAATTGTGAGAAAATACATAATGTATATTTTTCACTTTAATCTAAACTCATTGGATGCATTCATTAATATGTATATTGTTAAAATTAAATTGGCTTGCTCATTTCTGGCAGTTGAGATTGCTCCAACACTTGTTTTCATGAATTGCAATGAGACTCGATCAACAAAAAAATAATGGGCAGGAAGTCTGAGGTTAATGTCAGTCAATTTTCTAAACCATTACATTCCTACATTATTTTGCCTAATCTTAACAATCATTTTTCTAAATTACTTAAGTTATTTTATTCACTTCCATTTAAGGAAAAATTGAGTTCTAATGCTGCTCTCTGACATGGGTCAAATTCCACTTCATTTACACACTGAATCACTGTCTCTACTTATGATTGTCTCTCATAAAACCTAATTGTTCTCTGTAAGAATAATTCTGTTCGTGCATGTTTCTAATAAATAAGTCACATACTCAAAAGATTTTGGAACTAATACAAAAGGACATAATAAATATATATGTATTCACCAAAACCTGTCTTTCTGAACTATTTACATAATCCAAGTTTGTTAGGTTTTAATACCTACCTAAAGAAATGCTGGGGCATAAACAATTTAAAAATTGCTAGCTAGAACTACCAAACAACTGGCAGTCTCTGGTTCTATACCAAACAAGAATACGATACATCATTTTGACTAGACATAAATATAAGACTTTTACCTCATAGAATATGCCATCGGGAAACGTATTAAAACATTGCACACAACTAAAAAAAATACAGATATAATTATCACGACTTTAGAAATAGCAGTAGATTTTCTCACAAAATTTACTGCTAAAATTTTGTCACGAAGTAATCATGAAGAGCAGGGCGTATACGTAATCCACCTTAAAAAAATGTATATACATACGCTCGTTGTAAATTTGTACATATATACTGACAGGATATTTAATATAAATTCCTGATTTCGAAGATTGGGAAGCTCTTGGTAGAGCGGTGTGTTTTACAATAAAAATTATACAGACAATAAGTCTTATTGGGGGAGCTTTCTAGGGTCAAGTTAGTCGTGTTATTTAAAAGAAAAACTGGCCAAGTTTAGAAAATCAGGCAACTGCCCAAAAGCTGGCCATGCTATTTCATCTAAGAAAGAACAAGAAAAACAACCGGGGCAGGTACACTTGTCAAGGACAATTGTGTTTATAGTAACTTGGTAAATACGCGGTAGAGCGTTTTTAGAAATGTTTGTCATGGCAGTCAAAAATCGCCGCAAAATTATTGAAGAACAACAAGTTGTATATAGTCACTACAATACAATTAAAATTTAACAAATAAATTAAACACAAACAGACGGAAAACCTCACAACTAACTCGCAGATTATTGTTCATTTGGCACTTACATAAAGCAACGTTCATGTAAAATTTGTCCGTTTGAATTTACCATTCGCTCATCTGGAGCAAAGCCTTCGTCACATATATTACAAACTACTCCAGTTAGGCTGTTTTGAGTTCCTTGAGCCTCGATCAAAACGGGCATTTTCGTAGACTACTACTCGAAAGTCAAAATTTGAAGTCAATCCGAGCGTTTATGAATAGATTTATTACGTATATGATTTCTTTCGTGGTCGCGGGTCTTCGAGAAGATGACAAGTGCTCTGCCCCGGATATGACGTCATTTTGCTGAATAGGGGAACAAGAGAAAGGTGTGGCACGTTGCTTAATACTTACACTAGTTGTTATAATTTTCACGATTTTACTTTCTGAAAATAATGGTTCTTGTTGGAGCCGTAACTCTACCTCATGCAGGAATATCTTTCGATGGCGAAGGTGCTGCAAGCCCCTCTGAATCATGTCGTAGAAGATACGCTGGGCTTCCTCAGGAGTTACAGGTAGGAAACGTGCTTGAATTTTTTACATTCATAACATAGGAGTCACGGATCCAATTACGTTATACATAAATTCCTCGCAAGAGTCATGCTGGGACGTTACAATAACACGCAGATATGAACAAGTGGCAAATATATGTTTGTTGTGATCAATATAATATATTGATTGTATGTGGAGTAAGTCAAATTTTATCAAAGAAAGATCTGGAAATGGGTTGCCTTGTGTGCGTTGTTTTTATAAAGAAAAATCTAAATAAGCTAATCTATTCAGAAAAAACTATGTATATTTTTATGATACTAAACAATGCTACACATAAACGCGACATTTTAAAAATTAAATCGCAGTTCAGTATTTAGCTATTGTAGAAATATTTTCATCTTTTTACTGTAGAGGTGATGTGTGACAGAAAATATACATATGCAGGTGCATTATAGTTATTATGTAAAACTGACATGCTTACAAAATTGAACTGTACCTACTAAATGTAACTAACAAGTCGTGACTGAACAGTTAGTTTGAATACGCCTTTAGCGTCAACACAGCCCAGGGCGGATTTATGGGGGGGTGGGGGTGGACTGAGTAGTTTTGTACTTCACCCCTTTTTTTGCTGTTCGAAATTTTCAAAAAAGTATTAAATGTTGTTTGTGAATTACGATTAAACATTCTGAATTCGTATTTCCAGTAAAATTTATTTAGATAAGTTACTAAATAGTGATCGGTACACACAAATTAAGAGCGCGCGTTTGTTACCGCTGACCATGTGAACTCATTCATGCTTAACATGATGGCATGAAAATGCAAATAAGACAACTTTTATTAAAGTAAATGGTTTGAACCCGGGAGTATCGTTACATGTTTGTAAATGTAGATCGTCCAGGTTGGTATAGTCCTGAGAAGGACTGTTTTTGTTGTTGATGACTGACGTTTCGACAAACTTAGCGGTAGTCATCTTCAGAGTCAAAAACTTTTATTCAACTTTTACTCAACAACTTTTATTATGTGATTAGCATAAACCAACGAAACTCCAGATGAAACATAGACGGAACACATGGGGCAGTTTTGTTAAAAGAACTTTCAAGAAGAACAAAAATCAAATAAACTATAGCAGCTTACTAAAAGTACCATTCTTTTTCTAAATTGCTACAAAATATGATTTTCAATTATTTTAGAGGTGTAAGTGTTCTCCCAGACCCCTCTAGGTGGAATAGTTCAGTATCCCCACTTTGTCACCCCTTGCAGAAATCTTGTACCCACCCCAGCAGCCCTAATTTTATGAGGTTTAACTCATTTAAGATTGAATACATCAAAACTAGCATTGTGAAATACTCTCAGTAGAAAAAAAGATCGATGAAGAATTCTTACATTCAGTCAGAATTACAACCAAAATTATATATCATTCTGCAACTAGCTCATGTAAATACGAAGCCTGTAGCTTTCGCTTGGAGACTTTAGCAAGCAAAAATGGGCTTGGACTGGGTTCTATTTAGCAGCCTTGCCATTTAAACTTTAAGAGGCCCTTTATTTGCAATAGAAACTTGAATAAGTCGGAAGAATATCAAGCGACGTGTAGACGCAAAAATATTTTGATGCGATACGCAAAGAAAACGATATGGTTAAAAATACATCCGGGTTCGTGTGGTCTGTGAACGGGGCTTTACACTTCAGAGTCTCAGAGCCTTACGAAAACCTTCAGATGAGTTTAGATTGAGAAATTTGCAATTGTTAAGTACGTGGTAAATTTTCCATTAATTGATTTTAGTTGCTGGATCATGTCGTTGACCTTACCTCGCCAAACTATGCCACTGTTTTTAAAGCCTCTTTTTATTTCCAACGCTCAAGTTATTGAGAGTTTTTTTAATATATGAACGGCGTACAAAACCATTGACGTTCAGGGGCAGATCAAGCTTTCGCGGAGCCCCTGGCAGTCAAAAAGATCCCCCCTCACCCAACAGACATCCTTTATCCACAAAAACTTTAAAAGAATTAATATTTTTTCTCAACAATGATTTTCTTACAATGACGAGCCCAACGTTTCTTACGATATATTTTACTAACATAACATTTGATCTCATTTATAGTTTGTAATAAAATGCCAAGTTGACATTAAATGGAAGAACTCACAATTTTGTCTTAAATACGAAGTTTCAATTTAAAACTAAAAGCTTATCTTCCATGTTGCAGTTTTTGTATTTACTCTTGCCACACAAAGGCAATGTTTCCATTGAAAGTATTTGCTTTGCGCGTGCGTGGCCTTCAAAACACGGGTCCCTGGCAACCACCCTTAACGGGTCCCTGGCAACCACCCTCAACGCCTTCTCCTTAATCCGGCCCTGGTGACGTTGATTGCATAAAGAGAACTTGAATTAGCAAGTTTATCATTCATTTGAAAAATCTGCACGTCTGATTGCCTAAAAACAATCTGATAAACTCTCATATCCGATGAGGATGACGTATAGGCGTCAGATATTAGGAATAATCCCACGCTATACGGCATTTGCATTTAATATTCCAAGCTCAGACGTCATCACTCACACACGATAAGAAACAAGCGGTGCGATAAACAAAAAGAAACAGCATTAAAATTTGATCGTAATTTTACACCTTTTTCACATTTAGTTAATATATAATTCTTTTAATAAATAATCATTGAACTCGGTTCTTGCATTATCTTATCAACAAATTCAACAAAGAGTTATCGAACCGTGGTATGTTTCATCCGATAATAAACAAATTGCTAAATACTTTTATGCATATTATGGTTGTGTAAATCAGACATTACAAACCCACGTTACCTACAAACGTCGACTATTTATTTTGAAGGATCTGTACAATAAAACTCTTATACCTAAATTTATTAAAAAAGCCTTAGGTTTCACTTGTGTTTGTATTTTTACTTTAGATTACACATGTGTTTATATTTTGATTGCATATTCGCACGATTGACTTTAAAGAGGACTGGGCGAGGGGTTAATTCCGCATAAATTGTTCGACTTTTGTTATTCTTTGTGTTTATAACTTATTGTTTTTAATATTTTCAGACGACCCTCACTGATCTCTTTAAGTGCATCGTAAAAACTTGTCAAAATGCTGCATCTCTGAAGCCAGATCTTGTTGTATTACACACACCACATGGTATTTCATTGTCTAAAAGTCTTGGAGTATATTTGAACGACGTTGCTAAAGGAGATGCTACGTGGAAAGATGAATGGGCTGATTTCAAAGTGGAAGTGCCATTGGATAAAGCGATGTCGGAAAAAATAATTGAGCATTTAGAAACGGAGGGAATCAATGTTCAGGGTGTGAGAACGTTTGACGTTCTTGAAACACCACTTCGATGGGGAGAGGTTATTCCATTGTGGTATTTGAATAGAGAGTTCGAAAACACCCATAAGCATCCTAAATACGTCATTATTAGTCAGCCAATCAAGGAAATCGCCGTGAAGGATGTAATGATTGATATTGGTAGGTCTCTTGGTAGATACTTTGATCAGACTAAATTTAGAACCTTGTTCGTGGTCAGCGGAGATCTTTCTCATGCACATTTTAACCATTACAAAAATTTACCCTATTATTCACCTGATCCGAAATGGGCCTTACCTCAAAGTTCATGTAAGGCAGAGCTTTTTGATTGTGCTATTGTGTCTTGGGTAATTTCTCAGCCTAAAAATTCAGAAAGCAAAACCACATCTAATGGTGTTTGGAACGTCGCTAATGCCCACTATTGGCTATCAAAGGCCGAGGAGCTTGAAAAGGAAGCATACTCTTGTGGTCTTGGTGGATTTTTTGTTCTTCATGGAATTCTCTCTCAATGTAACAAGCCAATATACAGTAGAATGTTCGGGAGATTTGCACCGTTCTATTACGGTATGATGGCTTCTTCTTTTATCATTAAAATGAAAACTCTGCAATATGAACATCAAGTTTTCAGTTAAGAACGTCCCACAAGATGACTCAAATTAGTGGAATTAATTGAATACAGTATGCTCGGCTTTATATGTTGTTTATGTATTTTGGATGCACTACTGTGCGTGTTTGTTTTTACGTTACCTGTACAGTAAACACAAACCAATAAACATAAAATCCGCATATTTTTTAATGTAATCAATAATACTTTTCCACCTGTTTGACATACTGTTTGACATATTGTTTGACATACTGTTTGACATATTGTTTGACATATTGTTTGACATATTGTTTGACATATTGTTTGGCATACTGTTTGACATATTGTTTGACATACTGTTTGACATACTGCTTGACATATTGTTTGGCATGCTGTTTGACATATTGTTTGACATACTGTTTGACATATTGTTTGGCATACTCTTTGACATATTGTTTGACATACTGTTTGACATACTGTTTGACATATTGTTTGACATACTGTTTGACATATTGTTTGGCATACTGTTTGACATATCTGTAGTTGTGTCATTTTTGTATGCTCTGGCGTGTTCGTTAATTTATAAGATTTTCAATGTGACGTATACTTTTTGAGATGGAGAATCGCTCTACATAAAAACGTGCCTACAACATCTAACATAAATTTGGAAAACAAAAATAAGAAAAGTATCTAACATGAATTTGGAGAAAAATTCAATTTGGAAAATTATAGAGACGAGGAGTTTGAAAACTCACTTTTATTTTATCGTATCATTTGTTTGATCAAAAGAAAGTTTTCTAACATCCAGTAAAACACCATCCAAACTTTTTTTCAATTCTCTCAGTTTATCTGCATGATAAGAGGTATTCTTGTCTTTCATGCTCGTCGGTTTTTTGATGGAATCAATTCGAACTTTAAGACTTTTAATTTCTGCTATTGCAACATCAATTTCATTCATATCTTTTTGAAGTTTCATTATTTTCATTTTTGTTTTCCAGTCCGGTTGTTTATCGCTAAACAAATTACTTCCGAAAGCTAGTCTACTCATTTGCACATGTGATCCTTCTAGCCTAGCCTTAACCGTCATGCATGATAAGTATTGAATTTTTGTTAAATTTGGATCACAATTTTTGGGATGATAAATATGAAATAGCCCTCGATCTGTTGCTCTTATGACTGTGATGTTAGTATTGATGAACTTTCTGAATAATGCAACATCCTCTCCGCCCCAACCTTTAATGGACGTATTGAATCCTTTTGATCTCGTGAAATCGTCTCTGTAAATGCAAGACATGCCGAAGCCAAAATCAACCCAAAGACCGTTTCCTTTTTTTGCAAATAGCCGTCGCTTAATGTCTGGAATATTGCTATAATAAACTGTTTCAGGGTTGTATAAGGAAAACACAATAGGGAAATAGACCATTTTACCAGGATCTGTATAAAATCTACATCGATCAATAAAACTAGCGTCAAAATACACATCAACATCGCAAAAAAACATAATGTCATTTCCTTTGCTCCACGAGAGAACACCTGTTTGCAGGCCAACTCCGCGAGAAAAATAAGCATTTGAAAAAATCACCTTATAGTTACGGAATTTCTTTTTCTTTTCAAACTCCTTGAGTGAATTAATTACATCCTGTTTGCCATCATCACCAAAGTACACCACTGTCAAGTAAACATTAAGCTGCAAACAGCAGTCGCCAAAATGTTTCAAAAATAACTTAAGTTGCGCTTGTCTGCCAGACAATGGAATTATTACATTAACTCGTCGCTTCAATGTGCTAAAACTCTCAATGCTCTGCCGAAGCTGTATATTGTTATATGGACGGTACACTTTAACTCTTTCATATTTGTCAGTCGACTTTGGTATTTTAAAGATGAAGTCATATTCCATTCCATAAGCGCGATCTAATTTACTAATGCCATTGACTAGATTGAGTTTTGTAATCTGTTCATACTGTCCTTTGTGCAATAATTTCTTGTTTACATGATTCACAGCAAATTTCAGTGTTTCTTGATGATCATCCAAACGTTCTCCTTTGATTGTTCGTGAAGGTTCATCGTTCGCACCATCTTTGTTGACACTAAACACTGTTTGATATGTAAAACTATCATATGGCGTTATATCAAATGGCTCGTTTTGGCGTCGTATTTTAACTCCTGCAAACATTCTCTTCCACGATGATTTTGACTCATATTTTTCTTTGTCCTTATGCAGATGCTCAAGTGCTCTTAATTGCTGCATCAATGCGTGTTTGTCTCCAGTAAGTACGTGCATCCTATGTAATAACAAAAGGATTTCAACTAAAGCTACTCCAAGACCAACAACTAGCAAAACCACTGAATATTTGTTGTTGCAAAGCCTTGCCATTGAGCCAATACACAATCCAATCTTTCCAGGTTGATAACAGTTTTGAAATACACTGTTTATTATTATTGACCTACCGAAAGAAACAAGCACACGGCGTACATGTAATATCATTGATAAACATTTTGCTCCTCATATTACAAAATAACCCCATCCAAAAATCGATAATATTTATGTTGAACCTGATACCTACGTACGTATTTGAAGCTTAGCTGATGCCTCTTCAACGTTTAGCCAGTGTGCAGGGTCAAGAATTATCTTTCAGAGACAATATTATAACTTGGGTCTATAAAGAAATCTTGGACATTTCTTTTTGATTAAAATCATATTTAGTTCTTAGTAGATACAGTTTTTGGTACAATGTTCTCTTTTTAAACCTTTGCTATGCTCAATTCTGTTTCGTCAATAGTTGTTTCGACTAGAAATCAACTGAAAATGCTGAGTTGATGCTAAAAAATATTAAGAAATTTATATAAACAGTTTAAAACACTGGAGAGTGTATTATGTGCGCTTCTGATATAGGCGTGCATGTCTTGAGGGCAGGGGGGGTGATGTACCCTCAAGAAAGTTTGACGATTGAAAAGTCGGGGAAATTTTTAAATTTTTGGTGGCAAAATATACAGAGAAAGATTTCCTGCCTATACTTAGTACGTGCTAACGATAAACCTTGAGTTTGGGTCTATAAGCTATAAATGTTCACAGTCGCTGGAAATTTACAATATTTCCATTGTAACCTGCCGACAGCAGTTGTTTGCAGCAATTGAAAGATGTTTAATGTTTGAAGCACTCGAAAATTCCTTGACTAAGTATTGAAATACTTGGCTTGTTCTTGTCTAGAGATTGAAACACTCAAAACTTTTTGTGAATGTATTAAAGCACTCAGACGTCTTTGCCAATGTATTAAAGCACTTAAATGTCAAAAGTCCTTGTTGATATTATTTCAATATTTAAGATTGCTTTAATTTTAGCGATGAAACTACACTGTTTGCGTGGTATGATGAATTTGAAAGCAGCCGTAAAATATTATTTCGGTCAACGAGTCAAAGATAAAGAAAATGCATGACGTCATTTGCATATTCGCTAATCACGTCCCAAGTTGAAGCTTTGTAGTTTTTACGTGAATTCCTTAACATGGAGGAAACTCTAGCGATGCCCCACGCGCATGCAAGCAGTGAAAGAATAAAGTACTTGCAAATTACATTGTTGACTGTTCCTCCTACGACGTTCAGAAATGTTTTGGATTTCCAAATTCAAAACTTTCAAACAATTTCTATATTCAAAATTTTCACTGGGACTGCCCCCCACTGCATCCCTTATCTTCTACCGTCACTGGTATGAAGCCACGTTGGCGTGGTAAAGAAGTCAAAGAAGTCTTCAAATAACTTTTGATAGGATTCAGTATGTTATGTTGGAAGTGACAAATAAGTTTGCCTTTTTCATACAAGCGACATTAAACAATGAAACTAAAATCAAATATTCGTTACATCATTCAACTGTCAAAAACAAGATGAAATTTAATTTTAAATTCTTGAACATTACTGGTACTTTTAATAGTCTAAATGCTGGTATTTTCACTGTCTCTTTCCTTTCATAGATTTAAGTAAGTATTCTTTCACACAGAAATTCATAAATAACAAAAAGAGAGTGATGTCATAGCCAATAAATACCCAAAGCAACCATCGCGGATAGCTGCATCCTTTAACGAACATTGCATTTACCAGATAAATAAAAACCATTGAGAATTGGAGCTGAATAAAAAAAACATACAAAAATTGATGTTACCCTCGTTTAGTTACTGATTATCAAGACATTGCTAATGCAAAAGTATTCTCCATTGAGGTTTAAGTCGGTATATTTCTTTAAGGAGTTTTACACAAATCATAGCAACTAAGGATTTCTTTTTTAGTGTCTCGTGATCACACAAAGCAAATTACAATGATTAAAAAAGCTCAGTCCGTGAAACATAAACATAATAATCTAAAATATTAACTCACCAGTTGAATAGTTGTCAAATATTTCTTCCACCATAGGTACTTTCTGTATTGAGGACCAAGGGCAGATATCAAGTAGTAAAAATACATTACTACATGGACGAGGCAATTCAACATCGCGCCAAAGTAGGCTTCAGATATATGGATAATTAAAAACGATTATAATAATTAACAAAAAAAATATTATGCTTGATGACACCTAAACTATATATAAAATATATATCAGCTCAATTGAATGTCACACAATACCAAAGTCCTAGGATTCAAAAAATCTTGTTTTGTTCACTTACATGTTCCTCCTGAAAAAAAAAAGATGGATAATACGAGAAAATTTTTACTGGCTTAAAGATTGAGTTCAAAATATCATTCATGCATTGCGCGCGTGGTTATGCATCTCGAATTAACTGTATAAGACTACTTCACTAGTAATCCTTTTTGCTAATCACTCTGAATTGAATTATTCATTTTTTAAGAAAAAATAGTTCATATATGTAATTCTACAATTATTACATCTTTTTTTATAAATGTATTACGTGAAATTGTCTGGCCGAGTTGGCTACACTCTCATATGAAAAAAAGCGCGCAATGAATTATGGTCGACAATCACTCTTTCATATTGAATTGCACGAAGAGAACCACTAAAATTAGGAGTTAATTTAACATAATTTAGTTGAAGTTTTTTTAAAAACAATCGACAGTATATTTACGTACTGACAAAAACAACAAAATAGTGATTTAATTAACCTGGCTGCCACTTTACAACGACCCACCACAGAAAACAAGCACTTGTATGATGGTAAGCGTGCAGAAAGGATACCGATTTCTTTCTCAAGATCAGAAAAACCTTAAATATCAATAGTTTGTGTCAACATTACATGCGCCTAGCATTTGTTCAAAAGGCCTTTTTAAAACGAAAAATATCTGCGTACTTTTATGGAATAACTTAATTGTTTCGTTAAATGGTTAGTTGTTGACTCTGTTGTATTGCTTTGTTTCGAGAATAGTTAAGGAAGGAGGAGAGAATTAGTAGTATTTAGTAGTATTTAGTAGTCCTCTGTAGTCAAAATATATTAATTACTCTCATACAAAACATAAAATAAAAACAATGTTTGTCAACATAGCTGAATAAATATTTTACTTAGCCTAGAAAACGAAGCACAAATTTTTCATTTTGTACATCTGTCAAAACATACCGTGTCGAGAAATTCCACAATCTTTGAAAGAAAAAACAGCCAATTCACTCTAGCAAGCTATAGAATAATGAATTGAACATTTTAACAGAATATTAATTATTAACTATCTTCTGTATATTGCTATCCTAAATTGTCGTGTTTTGTTTATGTGGGAATATTCTTCAATAATCCTGTGAGATTTAAAAATTAATATTATAAATACTAGATTTTTAAGATGTAGTTACCCGAACTAAATCCTCGCGATCTTCATTTTCAACTCCTTGACAAAAGTAGTTAAAACTCGGTATATTCAAAAGAGCCTGTACAAACTGAAACAAGACGTTTTGTAATTGATATATTGGTCTTCAATGACATACAACTCTACATAATATTTTTGGTGTGTTTTTTAATATGTACAACTCTTTGGTTTCTACTTGCTATTCTTGTTGTCATATTTCAAATACTTTTTAATTCTTCCTAAGATGAAGTAGATTACGAAAATAGCTAGCTAACTGTTGCTAACAGCAAATACGTGAATGAAACAAATGGTACACATATTGGTTGCCATGGTAACTAATTGTAACTCACAAGTCAAAATGTTAAGCGCAGTGAACTATAATAACAACTGGAACGGTAACTCCTTTAGTTTTTCCCATGATTGTTTGAAGCCAAACTCTCCCCTTAAACAATGCGTATTTTCTTGGCGACCGACGTTTGTTTTGGCTTGTTGGTAGTTGAAAACAGTGAAAAATTATTTGTTTTCATTTTTTGACACATTTTGTGCTTTAAAATTGCATCTACCATAATTAGCGTATGCCTCAGCAAGATATTTCGAGAAGAAACATAATCGGCAAAAATTGTGGACGATTGTTTTTAACAATACATTACACCAAGTTTATCGGCCCGTTATATGCAATGTGTTCATTTTCTTTTCTATCTTTGTATGCTTTACACGGACAGCACAAGCATAGGGTGTTATGTATTTGAAAAATAAACTTGATTTTTACACATTTCAATCGAGAAAATAGTTTTTTAAGAATCCTTCTGCGAGGATCTTGCACTTTTCCACACTTTTCTTTATGACACTGAGCTATATATATATATTTGCAGATGCGTATATTTTTATTTTTTGAGAAATGCTCTTAAAAACACATTTTTCTACTTGGAAAGTTGCTCAATTTTTACGAAACTTGGTAGGATTATGTATTAAAAACGCAGAAAAAGCAACAAAAAATCGCGCGGATTTTTGGTAATTTTTGTCTTTGCTTTAACGTTTTTCAGCAATACTATAAGTTTTGGCCAATTTTTTTGACATTCTGCAAGTTTGACTAATATTCTTCAAGTTTAATAGTATTTTGAAAAACTAACACAAGGTTTACTTTTGAAATTTTATAAATATAAAAATGCCATATTTTTCGCAAAAGGGACCGGAGCTACCTGCAAGCTGGCATCATGCTGGCTTCTAAGATGGCGGCGAAGTTATCATTCCAGTTGATATTATAGTTCACTGGTTAAGCGTGGTCAAAAATTGTAACCCATAATGGCTACCAAGGTCATAAATACTCATTGAGCAGATTTTTTCAGAACGATGTAGAGTTTTCAACTAAGGAATATTTTTCTTTTTGTACACTTTTCAGCATGCGCGTAAACTTAGCAAGTTATCTACTAAGGCCATGGCCCTCCACATGTGTCACATTAAACTTATCTTCTTACAAGTTTTCAAAACACGTGTGCCTTCTATTTGATCATTATTATAATGTCCTTATTACAATGATCATTGTTGATCAATCGATTGTGGCTGATAAAAAAAGCGGTAAGAGGATTGAACTCCTTCAAAACTCGCAAACTGAGCCAGAGATGAATGACACATTTCTAATCAAAATACTCTAGCGTGAGACGGAATAATCCTTCTATACAACGCCCTCTCTAACCGTACCTACACATGCCCGCTTCTTAGCAATTCTGTTTAATTTTGGAAATAAAGATTAAAAAAAAGATGTGGACAGCACACGTAGCTAAAGATCAATAAATTTCATTAAATATAGGTAATATACCTCACAGAGCATAGACAGAGACAGAGCAACGAGCAACATATTGTAAACGATAAGAGCTCCACGAATTTCTAGTTTTCGTCTTGAAGTCATGAATTTCTGACCAAACAATACCAGAATTACGTAGCAAAATAGTATCAAAGGTAGTGACCATATATTCGATATCAAGAACCATTTCGAAGTTCTTGGATCAACTAAAATGTGGAATGACAAAATAATCGTATTTCTCAATTATATAGCAAAATAAATCTTCGTACAGATACAACCTACCGTTGTTTGTTGCTGAATGATAAAATATTACAAATTTTCTTAAACCACCAAAAATACGAGAGCTAATAAAGTAGTCGTCAGTCATGTTATAGTTACAAACTTTTTACTATTTTAAACCTAACTATGAAGAGCAGTGAACAGCTATAGGTTCATCTACGATATTAAAAAGCACGACAAACAACATCATTATAGACTTAGAGTATTAAGACACGTGGTGACAGGAGATATTACGGTCATAAGAGCGAGGGATTATTCGTATGTTTGTGACGAGTCGATGTCCAAACAAGTAACATGGAGTTTTCTTTTTATTTGCTGCTTTTCAGTTTTTTTCTTTCATTAACTGTTTGTAAATACACATATCATATAGCTACGCTGAAAAAAAGCTGAATAGAAACATGCTTTATAAAGTTATCTAGAACATTATTTGAAAGTCAATGGTTTGATAGGATTATTTAAATAAATGATTAGTCCTAAATCAATTCTTGTTGACATAAATTGAAAAATGCACGTTACACCAATTTTAGGAGTTTGCCAAATGTTCCTCATATGAAAATGATTATTCAAACTAAGCTGGTAGAAAAACTAGATATTTATGGTAACGGAATTATGAAGTTAAATCAAACTGTTTTTAAAACCGTTTGCTTCACAATCATTGCTCATTAACTCTTAACACAGAATGCAATGCACACAACATCTCTTGTAGCATTTTAAATATGAATGTAGTTTACAACTTTTTGCTCTTCTGACAAAGTTTATATAATATTTTTTTAGTTGCAAGATGCAGTGTTACGCCGAAGACGATATGATAGTCTTTTGTTTACATTTATGCCATTTAGGTAATAGATATTTGATGAACAAACAGTGAAAACCTGACGATGGCACAGGGTATTCTCATTGAATCGGCTGGACATTCAAGGTTAGCACTCGACCCTGCACGTTGTCACGCGATAGACATTCGCCTGCCTTGAATAAAGATCAAATATTCGCGAAAAAAAGCCGATTGAAAAAATGCAATTTTGCATGTTAAGTGTATGGGAGCTCATTAAGTTCAAAACAGCAATGCTGCAATAGCTTTCCTTTTAGTCGTTTTAACAGTAAACGTTTATAGTTTTATAAGCATTGATTTGTATAATTGACCTTTGTCGTTTCACTGGTGGCTAGCTGATCTCTATTGAAGGCGGAATTACTTTAAAAAAGAGAACAGCCGAAAAGAAAGGAATATACAAATGAGCACCCAGAGCGAATTAAAAGCACCCTCGCAAAATATGTCCAGAAATGGTACAAGGTTATTAGCAAAATAATTACTCATATCAATCATAAATTTTTGAAATTCAATGGACAAACAAAATATTTTGAATTTTAATTCTTTATAGATTGAAAAACTTTATTTACTGCATCCAATTTCAATTTTTCTTGCCTCGTCTTTCAAGTTTCAACAGTATATGCACCACTTTATTAAAGTAACTACGTAGGAATTTTATACAGTAAAAGGATATATTCTACAGATGATGACTTGTAATTTTTGTCGAGACGATAGACAGAATTTTTGTAGAGACGTGAGTTAAAGTATGTTTACTTTTACGGAATGTCAATCACTTTTTGTTTTATTAAAGTAAACAGGGGATATTTACGTAATTTGACTACTGGGGTAAGGTTCTTGCACAAGAGAACCTAACCTGAGAGTAGGTTACAAAAGCTGGCTATATTTTAAGAATGCTTTGTCACACTGTCATAAAAGATTATCGAAAAGTAAGCACACAATTTGATGAATAAGCATTCGGGAGTTTCTCCCTATGACAAAACGGTTCTTTCTACAATTGAAGGTTTGTGTAAAATTCTTCGGAAAAGTTTATAAATGTTCTAAAAGTAAGCAGAAAAACTGCAACGAGTGTTCCAGTAGCATTTGCAATCAAAAATTGTATTATAACTATAGCTAGCTTTTTATTATATTCAAGAATCCCTCCTTTTATATTATGGTATAATTTTCCATTCTCTGTTGTTATGGAAACATTCTGGAGTTCTGCACACATAACTTATTCACACAGCTTACGTCGCAAAAGTTTTAAAGCTTCTTTGCGAAGCAACGCTTGTTTCCAGAAGAAAATTAACGAATTAACGCATGAATTAATGACAAAATTTGTAACATACCACGAATGCGCAATTCTATACTTGAATTTGTCCTCTTTGAAGTAATAAAGAGTTGCAACTAGTCCAGGCAGATAACAGAGATAAAAAATACCCACGACAAGTGCACATGACCGTGCTAGTTTCGTTTCTTGCATAAAAAATTTTCTCCTTTTCTTTTTTGAAAGCTTGTTCGCTTCTTCGTCCTGATTTTCGCTGCTGTCGTTCCAAGGTTTCACTCTTTTCCAACAGTAAGAAAGATCATGGTGTACGCCACTGCATTTAAGACTAGCGTGGAACCAATGAAAAAGGCAAGACAAATGTTGTATGCCAAAGCAGACACCACAACAATAGGCGTTAGGGTTACGATGACAAATGACCAACCGATAATGTACTGAGTACACAACTTTTTTGTTACGTAGTTGCGATGTGCGATCGGATGCAATACACTCAAGTATCTTTCAAACGTCAATGCACATATAGAGGTAATTGATAAAGCACCAGGAACGATTCCTGTTACTGTCAACAGCAATATAATGATGCATTTAGCCGTGCCAACAATTTCACTGTACATCAGATATGTGAACGATGGAACACTGACTGTGGGGATAAGCAAATCGACCACAGAATGAATAAGAATCAGGTAGTTACAAGGTTTGATTTGTAGAATTGAGCTTTTTGATATCGTTGCAATACAAACACCGTTCAATAGAATTGCTGGAAATATGAGTACACAGTTCACAATGCAGACAGCAATCTGGTTTTGAACATATCTTGATGACGGGAAACGACGGATGATGAAGGACGGACTGTTTTCATACGAACAAATATACACTGATGCGTTGTCAACCATTTTATATTTACTTAAGGTTCTCCTCACTGATCGTCCATAACAACGATCATTATTGCATATTTTAAAATGTAAAACACGAAAATTTTGATGTTTGGAAATGAACCGGCATAGACCTGTTTGTTTTTTGCCATCAAGTTGGTAACGCATGACTACGATGGGGTATGGGTGTTAATTGAAACTTTATTGCGGTGCAGATTAAATTCTCTCACTAGTGGTATCACATAGCACTTTAATCACATCACTCTTTTAAATGTTCACGTGCAATACTTATTTTTTCATTCTCATTATAGACGTGCATTCATGCAGCAATGCAAAAGAGAACTGATGAATTTAATCTTCATGCAAATAAATTTAATGTTCATGCAAACTAACTTTAGCCACACATTTAACATTTGGCAAAAGATCTAAGTACTGAACTCTTTCTTACAGCAACATGAAGTGATATTTTTCAAAACTTGAAGAACTAACCACTCTTTAACCATACATCCAAACACTATTTTCATTAACCAAGTATTTTACAAGGACTGTGCTTTGCAAGCAAATAATTCATTCAATAAATGCTAGCTAATAGTTTTGCACAATTGCACTGTTTCAGCCGTAGTGTTTAATTCAACATGAGCAGTATGTCAACGTGCAACATATACGTAGCTAAGATATCAGTACAAAAATTCAATCCACTTTATTTACAAGAAAGCATCGTTATCTATAGTTATGTTTCTTAATCATTCTTGACTGTGCTTACAACATTCACTTTTGGAAAAAAGACATCTCGTTTTAGTTTTTGAAAGACTCGTATTGTCTCCTTTCGTAGTATAGGTCTTTTCCAAAAGAACACAATCGAGTTCAAACTACAATTGATGGCAAAATTTGTGACGTACCATGAATGAACAACTCTGTAAATCAATTTGTTTGTGTCAATGAAGTAGAGACTTGCTACAAGACCGGGAAAGTAGCATATGTAAAACAAGATCACAACAAAAGCACATGATCGAGCAAGTTTTGACTCCAGAAGAATGTTCTTCCTTTTATTCAGTCTAGTTCGGCCACTTTTTATTCCTGATCTCTCGCGCTCACGGATGGAATTATCGGGTTGAATTCTTTGGCCAACCGCTACAAATATTTTTATATAGGCAGCTGCATTTACCAGTAGGCTTATTCCAATTACAATCACCATTCCCGTGTAATACACAAGTACAAATCTGGACGCATAGGGCACACCGATTGATAGAATTGCAGTTGAGACAATCATATAGATAATAAAAACCTTTTTCGTTAAGTAATTCAGATGAAAGATGGGACGTATTACACCCATATATCGTTCAAATGTGATAGCGCACAATGAAGCGAGAGACAATCCACCTGGAATTAAGCCAATAGTGGTAAGAACGAATAATGTTGTACAGCTGCTATTACCATTTATTTCACTGTATATAAGGTACGTGAAAGATGGGATTGTTAAACAGGCAACCAAGAGATCTGTAACAGACTGGATTCCAATAAGAAAATAACAAATTTTTCCGCGGAGAAGACGGCTTCGCAAAACTGTGATCAGATAAATCCCATTGAGTAAAATCGCTGGTATTACAAGCACAAAATTCACGACACACACCAGCATTTGATTCAGTATGTATTGATTTGATGGGAAAACCAAGATGATGAACGCTGGGCTATTTTCTGTGCCACAAAATTTAAAAACTTTCTCGGTTGTTGTGTTCATTTTTGTCGATTTGATGTGGTGTCGCTCTTTTGCTCTTCCGAAGAAAAATAAAGCTTTTTATCAATGTATAATTGGATTAAATAGGTAACATGACAAATCACTAATTGCACCGCAAGTAGAGATTATACGTGTAAAGACTTGCTCCAAAGAGGTGACGACTTTCGCATTTGTTTTTTACAAAAGTTTACATGCAGTCAATATGAAGATAACACAGTTTTAGCGTTTGGCTATGGCTATATTTAGCGTAAACTAAAATTTGAAGTACAATTATATACTGAGCAATAATTTTGGTGACGGTTTGTTGATTATTCTGGTATTTTGTGGTGAGCAGGCATGCAGAAACACGGAAAGTTAGCTATAAAATGTTCTTTTCTGATAATTTTAAAAAGTTAATACGCGGTGTTTAAGGTTTGCTTACACAAGTCTGTGCTAGCCTGTATTACTAGCTCGTGAGATCAAACTCAGCGCTTTATTCTTTCATGATAGCAAAGAGCACAATGTGCGTAGCGTGCATTTTCCCATCAAAATCAGTAATTCCTCTCCCCACTTGTAAGCAGGCTTCGCAGCTCCTTTGTATTTAATTTCAACATCGCTTAGGAGCTAATTGTTTGAATGAAGTTTCACAGCTAGCCTGGTCAAAAAGCGCATGATATCAGAGATATGCGTATAGACTTCACTAAGCCAACTGCGATTACTGGCTTCATGCAATCAGCCCTTTAATTCAATCAGAAATCAAAATACTATTCTGTAGACCTAACCACATTGCTCGAATTGTTTCTGAATAGTTTTCATATTTGGTCTACGTAAAGATAAACAAAAAACTTACGATGTTTGTGGAATGGCGCCAAAGGTGTCATATTGACGTAACAGAACAGCATTAGCCAATAGACGTAATAAAATCATAACAAAACCAATACCATACGCAAAGTTATCATTTATCAACAAACACAAACTAAATAACAATTATTCATATTCAGAAACTTTTTTTTGAGCCTCGTTTCACATATTTGCTCGTTAAACCGTAATTATTCTTTGTGTACTTTTGTTGACATTGCTAGTATTCAACAGACTTGAAATGGTGGAGAACCAACCTGTTTTATATACTTTTGCTGGGTAAACATTTTGGTGTTCAGTCACTGTAGAATAACTGACTTCTTAAGAATGAATTGTTATGCTGTAAATTTTAGTTGGCAGTAACGGTATTAAACATGCTGGCTACATCGCTCTGTCTATATATTTAATGGCCACTCAAATTCATATGAAATTCATTTGACGATACTCGATAGACTATTGACGACACATTGAAGTTACATAGATATTTGGTAAAATCGAGCATTTCCTATAGAGGACACGCAGCGCATGAGTAACTTTCGAGTTTCAATTAAGATAATTGTTTTTCAGTCATAGCTTACAGCTGCACAAGATTAGTCTCAAAGTTAGTCGCATGTCTTTCGTCAGCTATAAGACAACACCGCACAAACTTTAAAATGACGCATTCAGAAGACATTGTTTTGCAATAAGGGCAATCATTCAAAACAAAACAAAAAAAGGTAGAAAAAGGCTCCCTCTGCTATATTTATGATTTGTAATATTTTTATCAAAATCTTTAACATTGAAACAACTTTTGTACTATATACGCGTGTTTGAATAAGCAGTTGATATATGACCAGAATGAAAAATGTGCGATTACAAGACAATAAGCTACTGATCCCTGTTCATCTGTCAACAAACCACTAAGTTTTTTTGTTCCAACGTGACTGTCAGAGTTTGCCAAACAAGAAAGGCAACAATAATCAAGTCGCTACTCAAGCCGCCAGGAGAAGGTTACTTATTATTCTCGATGGAGATTTTACCATAAATTCTACACGCTATGATAGAAGTGTGTTTCACTTATGCTGTCACAAGTTAATAAAATGGCCATTTGAAAGTTCGCACAGGAAGTTCCAAAATGCATGGCAACTTCCATGATTACAACTTTGAATAAAAAGTTCAATTTTATTTCTGATTTCAAACATAGAGTGAGGACGGCTACTTCTTTTTATTTGGCAAAAGAAATTACGAGGTCAAAATTCGTTGCATAAGCATTTTAACGAATATCAATCATTTCTTTTCATTCAATATGGAAGATGACAAGTTTATAAGACAGTATAGATCAGTTTTCTAAAAGTGGAATTTTATCGTTGAAATTTAAGGTGCTTTAGAAAATCCCTAAAAGGCACACCTCTTTGCAATCAAAATTGCTTTTATTACTCCGCTTCACTAGTAATAAGCAAGTATCCGTTTCCCCGGTTCATATGAAACTAGGGGCGGATCTAGGGTATGTCAAATCAGTCACGCGACGACATATGTTTATAGTTCAAAAATTATTTATCAAATTTAATGATTACAATTTTTTTGATCATTAAATTTTCGTTCTGTAATCGTTTGAATTTCATGGTCAAAATTCTGTTTTATGTATGAAGACCTATACAAATACCACCTCAGTAAACAGATCAGGGATGGCTCGACTGGTTCGACCAATAACGGAGTTCGAGAACGCTTATTTAAGCCATTGCTTGAATTTAGCAGCACAACATTGAATCCCTCGGCATTCACATCTCATAAACCAAATACATGAAAATTTTCACTGTGGATTTGATTTGACGTTAAATTTTGCACTAAGATCTATGACAAACAGTAACAGAAAACTTACTTGTTCACTTGAGCGTGAAAAGATGGTGGTTCTGAATTGAAACTCCCAGAATAATATTCTATCAATCACCGACAGATGCATAGAAAAACAAGCCTTAGATGAATGCCCCCATATTGTACAGAGTCCGTTTGGCTGTTACCAGTGATCGCGCTCTTCTTGAATGTCAATTTCATTTGGTCAATTATTTACCATAAAACTTTTCCCTTCAAAATTTAAAAATTTGGCTCCTAATTGTACCTTTGGACCCAGTCTACTTCAATCGCTTAATAAAAGTCACTACGACAATCGTACGACAATAAATAATACGACAATCGCTTAATAAAAGTCATTTCACAGTAAGTACGAGCATTGGCGACCCAGTAATCTGTTTAGGTTTTTTATGCCATCGATTTAGGTAGTAAATATATCCTTGATTAATATGCAATGTTTGTCACGCGCGCTATCTCGCGTGAGTTACACGTATGTATGGCTTATGGGTCTTATATAAGAGTTGATGATCCAGGACTATATTTTTATATGACGTAAGAACCAGATAACAAATACGGCTAACCTGACGTTTACTCCTCATTTGACTCTGAAGATGACTATTGCTAAGGTTGTCGAAACGTCAGTCAACAACAACGAAAAGAGTCCTTCTCAGGACTTTATTAACCTGGACGATCATCATTTACAAACATGTAACGATACTCCCGGGCTCAAACCATTTACTTTATAAACAAATGTTTGGGGTTTTTCAGTTTATGATCATTCATCATTCAATCATTGGACCGTCATACTACACATTGTTTAAGATTTGAGAAAACTAACATTGATTACATGAGAAGCTGTTTCCTATAACCTGTGATTTTGAGTCTTTTCTGATCCATGAAGCTTTTTATTTTGACAATTTGACTGAAATCGTATTAAAGCTGAGTATTTCACATGCATGAAATGTTGTCCCATGTCACATATTATCCCCTTTTCTAACTGAACACCTCATGTAAAGATGTCAAGGTGTGTTGATCTACGGCTCATACCAGATTGTTTGCCATAAATTCCAAAGGGCTATTGATGTATGAAAAGCATTTTCAATAAAGTAAAAATGTCTTCCTATGTAAGCAGATAAACCTTGAAATTTGGCAAAACAGCAAAGTATTTTTCATGATCACTAGGTAATTTTTCTGATGATCATTATAATTTCTAAACTAAATTATTTCAGATTTACATTTAAACGAGCTTTAATCATATGAAAAGATATTTATCATAACCAGTAAGCATGACACATGAGCCAATTTTAACATTCATGTAATTATATAATTAAAGACATGTTGGTTACATTCTGTTTGTATTTGTTAATACAATGCTACTAGTGACTGCTATATAGCACACCTTGCATATACTTACAGAAGATAATAGTCTAGTGAAATGCTTAAAGTGCTTATCTCACAATTTTTTTTCGAATTTTCTGATTGAGGTAAAAAATCATTGCAAAAGTTATTTTACAATTTTCTGATTGATGGCTTCGTTTATGAGATAAATGCGTTTCTTTTCTCAAAATCGGCAATAATGGAGAAAATTGCTGCGCGTTCAATTTGCTTGATGAGAGCCTGAATCGAGAAGTATGTGACGTAACATAAGGACAGGAAGTTTTCTTAAGTGTGATTTTTGCTACAATTTCTACTTTATCTACTACGGCTCTGCATCAAAATGCCTGATAGATGTGCAGTTTTCGGCTGTTCAAACCGAGCAAATTCTGCGGAAGGAATTTCTCTTCACCGTATACCGTTTTGATGAGCGTCCTGAAGCGAAGCGAAGACGTAAAATCTGGGTGAATTTTGTTGCAAGAAAACGCGCTCGATGGACTCCGACTAAGTATTCAGCTGTTTATTATGGTGATGGCAAAGTAATTTGGGCAAAGTTCAAATCTTTCCTGAGTCACATAGTAGACAAGCACACCAATTTGAATGATCCACTATTTTCAAGTTGTTTTCATGGCCCTGATATTCAACCAAGGGAATATTTGTTAGAAGGTTTGTGAAGGCATTATTTAAAGATAACTTCCCTAACAGTTTATCATCATTCTTTGTTGTAATGTTTAAGGTTCAGTTGCTCATGAAAAGCTTTGTGCGAAATTGTTAAACCCACAGCTGATGAAGTCAATTCACCTGGCTTCACCAGTTGCTTAAACAAGTTGTTTGGAAGGATTCCATTCTGTCCTGACTCATTTTGCTCCAAAAATGATTCATTAGTCCTATGTTGGAATGTATTGCTGGTGGACGAAAATTTCCTATATGACAATGTTTATTGTTTTGCAACTTCCAGAAGTCTTTATTGTTTTAGACACATTTTGGCATCCATCCACTTCAACAACAACTTAAGGCGTGATGTAAAGATGAAGGGCAATTCCACGAATATGTCAACTTCAGGGTTGAAAAATTTTTTCCAGATATGTTGAAAATAATGATGTTACAACTTCATATAATAATTGTGCCATTTGGTGCAAGACATTTTTTACTGCTGGCTGCATGTCGCATGACTGGCGGCCATTTTGAAAGTTAGTGGTCAGCCATGTGGTCAGTACCCCCAGATTAAAAAGGAGATTTAAAGACTTGTACTGCTGAAGGAAACTGCCAAAAAGTAAGTTTAAGTGCATTCTTAGTAAGAGCAAATCTTTGTTTTTTATTTTTTGGGAAAAAAATTGTACTTTGGTTCGATCACAAACTTTTGTTAGCCTATTTCATGCTACTCAGAGCTTTGTTACGTCAGTTACCAAGAAAGTGATAAAAGATGTGCTGTTTCTTTAGAAAAGCTCAAAGAAAAATGATACCCCCTGTGTTCTTAGCATATGGGGAGATGGGAAAGGCAACATGCAAAGAACTTTATTTGAGCTTCATATTTAACAGTTTTATGGTAACTGATGTAACAGTTATGGCATGTGACCTACAGTAACTGACGTAACATATCCAGGTAAATGATGGCACAGTCTGAAGTTTTTGATGTATTTTTATGTAGAAACCTGGATGCTCTGAATTGATACTGTATTGATAGTTTCAATATATTAATGTGGTTTGAATAAAAAAAATAATGAAATCTTTTTCATTGTTTTGCCTGACCAAACTCATAATTTTTTTAACCTGTTTCTTGTTTGATTTCAGTTTCACCGATGTTGGATCTTTAATGATGAATTATGTGAATGTATCTTAAAGCTCAACCAAACTTTAGATAAATGCCTTATGTTAACAATTTTTCAATTCTTTTTTCAGAATGCCGAAGTCCGCAGCAGAGAAAATGAGAGACTACCGGGCTCGTATGAGTGATGCTAAACGTCAGCAGATGAGGGAAACAAATAAAGAGCAACAAAGAACATGCAGAGCTCAATGGACTGAGAAAAGAAGAATTCAAGAAAATGAAAGGAGCAAGGAAAGAGTAAAAAAATCAAGACAAGCCAAGGCCTCCACCTTGAACAGCGGCAACCAGGACAGAGCCCTAGCAAATGAGTACACTGCTTTTGGTAGCAGGCAATCTCTACCAAAGGCAATAAAAAAGGCTGCCAGTTCTCTTCCAAGGAGCCCAAGGAAGAAAGCAGCAGTAGTCAAGAAACTGTCAGACACCTTTGTTAAACAAATTGAGAAGGGCAAACAACGCACACTTTCAGAAGTTGATAAGATCGTGAAAGAGTTTTTTCAAAGTGACACTGTTGCAAGGCAGCTTCCTGGGAGAAAGGACTTTGTAACTGTGAAGAAAGATGGACAAAAAGTTCGTGTGCAGAAGATCTTACTGTCAACTGTCATGGAGACGTACCAGAAGTTCAAGGCTGAATATCCAGAAGTGAAAGTAGGCAAATCAAGCCCACAATAGCTCACAATAAGTCCCAGAAACCACGCGAATTGGTATACACAGATATTCTTGGTCCATTTGAAGTGCCTAGCCTCAGTGGATTCAGATATGCAATTACCTTTGTGGACGAATACTCGTAGTATGCAGTCGTTAAATTCATGAGCAAGAAAGCACAAGCATTTGAAAAATTTAAAGAGTACGTAGCAGAATCAGGATTACCTCGAAAATTGAGATGCGATAATGGAGCAGAGTATACATCGAAGCAATTCAAAGCTTACTGCATAGAATCAAAAATAAAGCAGGAATTTACAGTACCCGAAACCCCGCAACAAAATGGAGTTGCCGAACGCTATAATCGAACTCTAGTTGAAATGGGACGATGTCTATTAATCCAAGCACAGTTACCAAAACGTTATTGGATAAGAGCCTTATCCACAGCATCTCATATCAGAAATCTCACCGTTACTGCCAACAGTGAACAAGGTAAAAGTCCTTTCGAGCTATTCACCCAAAAAACCCCAAGATTAAATCATCTACGCACTTTTGGCTGCACAGCATACGTCATGAAAAAGAAGATCAACCTAAAGAAATTGGATTCAAGATCTGTGAAAGCAAAATTTATTGGTTACGATGACAAAAACACGGCTTACATCCTGCAAGAATTCGAATCAATGAAAGTCATCAAAGCACGCAATGTTGTCTTCAGAGAAAGTGAAATTCAACCTTTTTCAGCAAAAGATACGATAAATCCAGAACAACCAAATCTTATGAGCCCCAACATGGATTTCGACGATGATCGTTCGAAAGATGAGAAAACAAAGGAACCGATTCAAGATGAAGTGGGGGAAAATAATGTACCGATACCCGCTGTTCAACATCAGCAAGAAGATGAAGAAAATCCAGAGGAAGAAATCTCGCTTCCTAGAGAAAGCAGAAATCGGCGGCCACCAGAAAGGTATGGATTATACTATACGTTCAACACGACTAACGAAGAAAGTGTACAAGAACCCAAGTCTTATCATGAAGCAATTAATACACCGCACGCTGAAAACTGGAGAAAAGCGATGAAAGCAGAATATGATTCACTAATGGACAATAACACATGGACAATAGTGAACGAACCAGAGAATGTACAAGTCTTACCAGGAAAATGGGTATATAAAGTAAAGTATGGAGCAGATGGTCAAATCGACAAATATAAAGCAAGATATGTAGCCAAGGGTTATGCTCAAGTCGAAGGCTTAGACATTTTCGATACTTACGCTCCAACATGTAAACCCGACTCTTTTCGAATCCTGCTCGCAATGACAGCACAAAAAGGTCTACATATTGGCCAGATGGATGTTAAATCAGCATACCTTCACTCCAACATAGAAGAAGAAATTTATCTAGAACAACCAGAAGGTTTTACCAAGAAAGCAAAAACAGGACGAAAGCAAGTTTGCAAGCTAAACAAATCAATCTATGGATTGAAACAAGCGGCAAAGAATTGGTATGAAGCATTGGCTAGTCTACTTATTAAAGAAAAATTCAAACGTAGCTGCAACGATTATTGTTTATTTGTGAGAAAAGAAGATGGAACATCCTCATACGTTTTAGTTTAGGTAGACGATATTATAGTGGCTGGTACGAGTGAAAAAGCAATTAATCATATTAAAGCAATGTTGAGCAAAAATTTCAAGATGGACGACCGTGGCACACTGAACTGGTTCTTAGGAATGCGAATTCTACGATCTCACGACAAGATTACCGTTGACCAAGAGAAATACATCGAATCTGTTCTTCAATAATTCAATATGAGTGATTGTAAAGCAGCAGCAACGCCTAGAGAAGTAAATCTGAAACTAATCAAAAGCAACGGCGATCAGAAGTTAGTCGATGCAAGGTTATACAGAAGTTTAGTTGGTTCATTACTATTTATTGGTAAACAAACCCGTCCAGATATCCTTCACATTGTTAATCAGCTATCAAGATTCCTAGATAAACCAGACATGTCACATTGGAAAGCAGCAAAGCATGTATTAAGATATCTTAAAGGAACTATCGATTTACAATTAACATTCTTGAAGAATTCCAATCTCGATATCGTTGGCGATTCAGACGCAGATTGGAGTGGTGATCTCAATGATCGCAAATCAACTACAGGATATTACTTCAAATTTGAAGGGAACGGAGGTGCAATCAGCTGGGAAGTGAAGAAACAGGCAACTGTAGCACTTTCGTCAACCGAAGCCGAATATCAAGCTATGGCGGCAGCTGTACAAGAAGCAATATACCTACGAGCACTAATGAAAGATTTAGGTTATCCAATGAAGAAACCAACCAACATTGGAGAAGATAACCAATCTTGTATATAGATGTGTCACAATCCCGCAATGTATAAACGATCAAAGCACATCGATACGAAACTACATTTCATTCGAGAAAGAGTACAAAGCAAGAAAATAAAGATCAGTTACGTTCCAACCGAAGAAATGACAGCAGACATTCTTACAAAGTCATTATCTCGAGTCAAAGTAGAAAAACATCGAGCAACACTTTTATGGATCTAGTTAACCACATAGCAGACTCATCATGAGCAAGCTGAGTCTGAGTGGGGGTGTTAACATGATACAAATAACATAAAGTATTTAATTTGTAAAGTTAATGTTATTTCAGTTCTTTAGTTATAGTCCAGTGGACACATGACAATCATACGATCTTACATACTTCCTGCACATATATATTTTGTTGTTGTAAAAATCAATTCCTTTTTTTTGAATAAAGTTCATAATCTAACAAGAATGATGGCACTTTCCAAATAAGTGTGGTGTATCCAAAGTTTAAAAATGGTGAAGGAACTGTGAGGGATGTCAGAGTTAAGCCCAAATTTGGTAAGTTGTTGCTAAATGTGTTGCTTTGCATCATGTCATAGTATTGAATATGACAATAATTTCTTTTTAGAGTATGTGGATAAATTATTTGAGAGTGTGATGCTGTCAATAAAAGACAAAGACGCATTATCAAATTCACAAAATCTTTTGAAAGAAATGTCCCCATCACCAATGAATGTCATGCTGTAAAAGCAACCCAGATCTGAGGTGCTACTAAAACAGGTCCGTCGAAAATGCATTGTGGTCAATGATGTCCCCCCTCAATTCCAGGTAATTAATAATGATTATATAACATGTTGTAGCTAAACATGGTTTGAAAATCATTTTTGTTAATAATAAAATGTTTTTGTTTCATGCCAGCAGCTACCAGTGTGCCATTCAGCTGTCAGTCAAAAGTGGCAGATTGCCCAAAAAATAGGAAAACTTAATTTTCACATCACTTGTTTATTTCATTTTCTTCGTACCCTCTAAATTCCAACTTTTTATCATTAAATTTTGATCTTATTGCATAGTATGCACATGCTGGTAATGGTCTTCTTTCTTCTCTTAAGCATCCATAAATCATAGATGTGAATTCTCGGTATGCAACACAATATATACAATATTCGGTATGCAAAACCTGAATATAAAGCCAAATCGTTACTAATGTGTCATAACACTAAAATATACTTAAATACTGGGAAATAACATAATATGCTATCATTCATGTTTTCAGATCCTGTTTCTCTGTATCGTCTTTGTTCACTGGTTTTGTATTTCCTAGCAGCCATTTTTAGCGACCACTTTTCCAAACAAACTGGTCTGAAACCTGGGTATAGAGTGACACAACATGGAATAGTTGACAGATCTGCCAGAACCGACTGGTGTGTTAAGCTTTCAGCGACAAACTTAAGTTCTTGGCAGCACCAGGCCTCTAGAGGATTCTGAAGAAGTGTAACTTGACAAAAACCACACTTGCACCTGATCAATAAAGAAAATCACATTAAAAAATTGTAATCGAGCATCTTTTAACATTTTTTTCCCAAAAGTAAATAAAAAAAGCGATGGTAATCTTGAATAGAAAATTGCACGTCTATGTCTATATTTCATAACTTGAAACCTGAATTGAAATACATTTCATAAGTTGAATTGAAATTAGAAATTCTATTACTCACCAAGAACTCAACTCAACTGTGTGATCAAGTCTTTTTTGTAGCATTTCAAGTTTCTTTTTATGTTCATTTGACTTTTCCACGTAGTCTTCATACCATGCTTGTTCGGCCATTGGTTCATCAGCGTATAGATAGGACTCGGACTCGCCGTGATTTTCATCTATTATATTATATTCCTGGTCATTAATGTTCCTTGTTTCATCTTCGATGATATAACCGGGAATATAATCATACTCCGAATCACATTGCGAACTATGAGAGCTTTCCGAATCCGAATTCAACTCCGCCATCTAATCGTTGATAACAAGCCCTTGACTTGTTCCTTAAGTTTAGTCACAGAGACTTGATCCAGGCCCTATGCCAATTATCAACTTTTACTGTCAAATTTCATATTTGATTAATAATAATTCGAAAACAATGCAGCGCATGAAAAAATTGTAATATAAGTTTTAGATTACTTTTGAAGAAGCAATACGAAAATTCGAGAAAAAAAATTGAGAGATAAGCACTTTAATAAACATTGCCCACAAAATACATTTTGTATTGCTCTAAAACGCTGAAAATGGTATTTTCAAGGCTCTGAAATTCAAAATTTTTCAGGGGAGAATGCCTCAGACCGTGCTAGGTGCGGAGCGCCTCCGACGTTTTATGACTGATGTTTGAAAAATCCTAGATCCACCCCTGTATGAAACTATTCCACAGCTAAAGCTCGGTTTCTATACAATCATTGAATCGTCAATCGTCGAAAAAATAGGTAGTTTTGTCGCAGCGATTAAATGGAAACATGGTTGGGCGATCAGGAATGTTGATCGTCGAGTCGATGATCGAGTCGAATCAAGTTCTATCTCGACGATCGAATTTTGCCAGCGGCAATGGCGACGATTGTTATTTTCAATGGAAACTGGGAGTCGGGCGATTCGACGATTCAACGCGCAATAAAAATTTATACTAAAATAATCTTTTGAACAAAAAAATCTTTTCTATTGAGTGAAAAGTTAGTTTCACGCAGATATGTCTGTTTCACTCGTTTGCAGTAATGTTGTAGCTGGCAATCTTACCCCATGGCGACAAACCAAATGATAAAACCCTCCAGCGCAGCCACTTGTCCGATTGTACCCATGACATTGACATAAGCCAACCAAAATCGATGAGTACAATGCACTTACGTGGAAAATCAATATTGAAGTTATATTTACCACTTTGATTTACCAGAAGTATTAACTTGGCATTCCTTTGCAATTTGAACAATATCTTCTAATTGTAATTAGGATAGTGATGCCATATTAAGTTTTCCGGTTTTATTAGTAGATGGAGCATACTTGAATCACCTATATTTAATGTAAGACTTATTAATATACTTGACAAATCAAGTTTTTTGAATAGTTTTGTCCAGTGGCTACTAAGTGTAAAAAATACTGAATTTATCGCACCTTCATGGAGAGTGTTCTCTTTCAGGTATAAATTATTTTTCTTGCTTCCAGTGTTGTATATCGATAGTAAGATCAGTAAGACCATTGGTATATATGCTTCGCGCTTTGACTATGACAATATTCTTGCCTGAACACCTTTATTAAAGTATTACCGTCCTGCAATCACAACCTGTTCCTTTTTGTGTGTGTCTTTTGGTTCATCAGCACGAATTGTGAAATCAATTCCCTTTTCCAGGTCCGTATCAAAGTCTCGCATTCAGCCATTAGTGGACCATGTAATGGCTACTTTTCTTTATGCTCCACAGGAACATGAATCATCGCCATGGTTGTACACAGTGGACCTCTGTGATAAGTTAACCATTTTCCACCGACGCAAATCGATAAATTTTCACAAAATTTCAATAGATTTCCAGTAACTACGCCCATACCATGAATATAGCCAGCCGAATTTATCAGCAAATTTGACGCTCAGACGTCCTTAAAAAACGTAGACTTTTCTACGACTGACATCCTGCGGTCTAGCCAGCGATCTAGCGGTCTAGCCAGCATAAATATCAACGTAAATAATTCACTAACAAAATGCATGCATGGAACGATTGCAGACCTTCTCGGAATTCTTCGGTTACATTTTCGCGAACGAGTCTTTTAATTTCATTCGAGGAAAGAAGGGGGAGAAAAGGGGCTACATCTCGATACTTGCTCTTTAGCAAGGTGTATTTATTTTTGTGTTTTGTATAATATATGTCCATATATGGAGGAAGTACGGTAGGTACAGATGATCACGCGCCAGATGATCACGCGCGCCAAGAGAACGTCATCAACTATGTCTGCTTTTTACGGTAGTAAAGATATAAGCTGCATTCCTTGAACGTGACGTCATACAAAAAATTTCGAGTGGCTTCTTAATTCCCGGAAACAGTCGTTTAATGCCAAGAAAAGATACTTTACACGTGACGATGATACAACTTGTGGCGCCGTCAAATTATTATGTGATAAAAGTTATAAGTAAGTAGACGTTATTCGCAACTTACGCGTTCATTGTCTAATGCAGTTTTTAACTTATCTTCTTGCTTCAAATCAAGAAATAATTTCGTTGGTTCTTGGATAAATTTTTAGGCATACATTTATTGAAGAAAAAAGTGCTTGGAATGGCTCGCCGTTCAACCAAACGATTACGATTACGAAAGTGGTACAAAAAAAATGGAATTGAAAACAGCTATTGAAGAAAATTTTCTTCTTCAATTTGCCTCAACGTCGTAAAAGATGCAAGAAAGTGTAGGCATATGTAAGGAGCACATCTTTTGTCGTTATTGTATTGAAGAACACCTACAAGTAAATGCACAAAGATTTCCTCCGCATCAAAGATTTCCTCCGCATCAAAGATTTCCTCCTTGCTACAGCGCGTGTGGTGAAAAAAAACATGATGTAAAATTGTAAAAATCAACTGTCAATATGCCAGTCGTGGTAACAGGTTGTCCTGAATTTACAAATGTTGAAGATCCTCATAAGCATGTTGAGCACTGTGACTTTGATACCCGTCAGTCCAGTGTTGTGTTCTAATGAACGTTGTGGTAAGGAGATAAACAAACAAGACAAATTTAATCACTCAAAGATATCCGCCAAAAATCCTTTTGTGATTGGCGAAAAGTCTTCATGAAAGGGGGCTTTGCATAGCATTGCAACAATGGAAAACGAAAGTTTTCTTTCCTTATCATTAATTTATGATAAGAATGGAAAATCATTAAGACATTGAATCTAAAACAGTTACCTTTGACATGGAAGAGATTTCCCGAAAAGCTTCTAAAACATTGATCACTTGTACCGTGGGGTGGATCACAAATTATTGATCACTTGAACCACATCATGGATCACAAAATATCAATCACTTGTACCATATCATGGATTTCAAAATAGAAATCCTTTGTACCATATCATGGATAACAAATTATTGATCACTTGTACCATATCATGAATCACAAAATATTGATCACTTGTACCATATCATGGATAACAAATTATTGATCACTTGTACCATATCATGGATCACAAAATATTGTTCACTTGAACCATATCATGGATCACAAAATATTGATCACTTGTACCATATCATGGATCACAAAATATTGTTCACTTGTATCATATCATGGATAACAAAATATTGTTCACTTGTACCATATCATGGATAACAAAAATTGTTCACTTGTACCATATCATGGATAACAAATTATTGTTCACTTGTACCATATCATGGATAACAAAATTGTTCACTTGTACCATATCATGGATAACAAATCATTGTTCACTTGTACCATATCATGGATAACAAAATTGTTCACTTGTACCATATCATGGATAACAAATTATTGATCACTTGTACCATATCATGGATAACAAAATATTGTTCACTTGTACCATATCATGGATAACAAAATTGTTCACTTGTACCATATCATGGATAACAAAAATTGATCACTTGTACCATATCATGGATTACAAAATATTGTTCACTTGTACGATATCATGAATAACAAATTATTGATCACTTGTACGATATCATGAATAACAAATTATTGTTCACTTGTACCATATCATGGATAACAAATCATTGTTCACTTGTACCATATCATGGATAACAAAAATTGATCACTTGTACCATATCATGGATAACAAAAATTGATCACTTGTACCATATCATGGATTACAAAATATTGTTCACTTGTACCATATCATGAATAACAAATTATTGATCACTTGTACCATATCATGGATAACAAATCATTGTTCACTTGTACAATATCATGGATTACAAATTATTGATCACTTGTACCATATCATGGATCACAAAGTATTGATCACTTGTACCATATCATGGATTACAAATTATTGATCACTTGTACCATATCATGGAAAAATATGATTACTGCTACCATATCTCATGTTTTTCATGGTTATGTAATATGAAATGGTTGTGTTGTGCATTTAAAGATAGCTGACAAATAAAGTTAATTGTTTTTAAGAATGCGAAAAAGATTTCAAAATTTTGTCAGGAGTCTGGTGGTTTTATTGAAGCAATGTCTCAATACCATATCTATGGAGAGACAAAGTTTTTCTTCTTGAATGCTGCAATGACAATACAAGAATATTTAACGGTATTATCCTGTTTTACAATAAGAAAGGTGATATCACAGCAAGCAAGGTCAATTTAAATATATAAAATATATATTTAATAATAAATATATAATATATAATAAAAAATAAGAGAGTGGAAGACAGACATGGCATATTTCACAAAAATTTTTTTGACAATTCATAAAATGAACTCTACATTGTTGTTGAAAGGGTATTTCTGCATGGGATCTACAAGACTTTGGATGCACTTGTTCTGTGTTAGAGCTGTATTGTTTCTGAAAATATTTATTATAAATAGAAACTAATTTACGCAGAAGTTTTTAACCAACGTTTTGAGACCTTCAAAAATCAATAAAAATAAAAATGCAGTCATAAACACTTTGATGTGTGAAACAAAAAAATGCAAGTTGTGTTTAGCAATGAGATATTGACACACTTTTAGTTTATTTCTCTGGTCAGGATAGCATGAGTAAAATAATGACAGCAAAGTTGAGAGAATTCTTGCCTCAAATGCTGTAAAACAAGGGGAATATGTATTATGTAACTATGTAAGTAGCATAACTGTTTAACATCTTATTATTAAAACCGACACAGCTGTCCATAATTGATTTAAGCTTGCTAAATATAAACCATGTTCTGCAAAACTAACACTGAATGGTTTGAATTTGAACCTAAAGAGATTGACAATCATATGTTTCTAGGGTTGTGCAGTAATCACATAATACATAAATATAAACAAGAAATCTTCTCAGCATTGAAAGA